CCCCTAACCACTTCACTACCGAGGCCGCTGGCTCGAGCTCGAAACTGTATCGTTGCGGTAATGGTGTTCCCTCAAAGTGACGTAAGCAGTTAGTGACGTCAAACGGCACCTGAGAAATCTTCCGTGTGCCGTTTCGGGGTATTTCTCTTCTCCATAATCAACGGAATGGGCACACGGGAGGGACTAAGGCTAAAGTAACGAAACGATATGATTTCAGTGGCGTTCGTGGCATAGTTGATAGTGTTTCGGATTGGTGATCAGGAGGTTCAGGGTTCGAATCCTGCTGGCAGAATTAACTTTTTATCAACAAATTTTTCATATCATCAAGTTTGGTTGGTTAGGTTAGGTTATGACAGTTTAATTTTATAATACTAAATTTTAAAATTAAGTTTATAATTAATTAAAAATTATAAGTAATTATTAATTAGATTTTTATCTTATATATTTTTTATATTAGCAGCAAGTTAAGTTATGTAATGACAGTTTAATTTTAAAAATTAAAAATTTATTTTATAATTTTAAAACAATACTTTATAATTGAAAAGTAAATTTTATAAAAAAAATAAAAAGATATATTTTAAATTTTTTTAACTTAGCAGTTCTAGCGGCGAACGCTGACACTACAAGATATGTTAGCCTTAGGCCCTGTACACATGAGGGTGGCAGCCGCCGCGGTTGCTATTTTGCGGGAACCGCGGCGGTTGAAAGTACAAAGGAGCAAATGGGACGACCGTTCACATGCAACCGCCCACTTCCAGTCAACCGCAACTAACCGCGGCGGTCGTAGATTTCCCTTCGACCGCCGCGGCTGCCGTGCGGTTGGAGTTACTTGAGTTGGCATGAGAGCGTACACATGAGGGCGGTAGCCGCCGCGGTTGACTGCAGTTTCTACTATAGGATCACAGACATCTGCGCGCTTGCCCTGTGGACATCGCTCTCTGTGTTGGTGAAGTGTGTAGCTGTGGCTGGAGTTGATGTAGTGCTCGTAGTGTAAGTTTAAATGACCATGCGTGCTGCTGTGGAACCAGAAAACTTTGACACTGATCTGTTCATTACAGAAGTACAAAAAGAAGATACGTTTAGGACATAAACTAAAAAAGATTGCGTAGCAAGAGTTAGTTGAGTTTTTTGCTGAAAAGAATTGTCAAGCGTTATGCGTTTAAAAGAAAAATAATTGGTTAAATACAGTACTGGCTGTCAAGTGACGGTCAATTAACACCGCAACCGCAGCGTAACCGCGGCTCCAACCGCTACCATGTGTACGGTCCTAGGCGGCCGCCGCTGCGGCCACCGCGGCGGCTGCCGCCTTCATGTGTACAGGGCCTTAGTCCCTCCCGTGTGCCCCACCGCATAATCAACCACTAAAAGCTAACGAAATTAAAATTTTGTTTCTTCTTACTCTTACTTGTTATCTGTCGATTCGATTCGATTCGACTGTCAAGAGTGTCAAGATCAAGCAAGAAGTCAAGTGTCAAACTGGATCAGGCAGGATGGGCAGGATCTGCATCTGACTGAGACAGACAGACAAACAAGAGATGCCAACATTTAACTGTGTTTTTAGTGGATGATAATATTATTCAGAGTATTTAGTAGTACACCAGTCACCGGATTTTGGACGACAGTGTGACGAAACTCATTTTCTAGCTCTTGAACTTTAATCAAGCGGGCTTACTTAGTCCTTACAAAAAACAAATAGCCTATTTTTATCTGTTCCTTTGGTAAGTGATATCTGATTTATTAAGTTACGATCAGCTTTTAGCTTTAGTCCAACGCTACTGTGAAAGACAAAAATTTCTAGCCTAATACTGTAAGTTAGGGCCTACTTGCACTTTCTATCAGTAAAGACAAAATATGAAAACTATCTGAAAGTTGGCACAGGTCAAAATCTAGGCAGGCTGCACTTTACTTTGCGTCCTACACTCATTCGAATAAGTGTAGGACTTTCAAAGTAAAGTGCAGCCTCTAGGCATACGCCTAGAAACAGTCTAGGGTGCAGTTTCTTAACTGGGCTATACTAATATCGATTTGATTTGAAAACCTTCATTCAATTATTTTCATTGTCAGCAAGTTTGGTTAGTTAGGCCTAGGTTAGGTTATGACAGTTTCATTTTATAATTGATATAATTAAAAATATCCAAACCAGTTTCACCATTTGTCTTAATGAACCTGATCTCAACAAAGCAACTGATAATTTCCTCTCAGCCATTGCCAATACCGTCAAGATCCACTCACCCATGAGGAGAACAGGGGTTTCTCCATTTCCCAGGTGGTTTTCTCCTTATTTGAAGAACCTGTTTATCTAAAAAAAAGTACTGCACAAATGCTATAAACAAGCACCATCTGCTTCGAACTATTTACGTTTCTCCAATGCAAGAGCATCATGCAAGGTCGCAGCCAGAAGAAATTTTAACCAGTATTTGGCAAGAATTGAAGCAGGCATCCCTAACAATCTTAGTTATTTTTGGAGTCATGTTAATGCACAAAGAAAGTCATCCTCCGTGCCCCCTAATATTGTTCATGATGGCCGAACTGTTACGGAACCACAGGAGATGTGCGAGTCTTTCCGAGAGTACTTTTCCTCTGTCTTTACCAGTTCTTCCCAGGATTTCATTCCTGATCATTTTGATAGGCTTGGCAATTCAGCAAATTTTCAAATCAGCCCTGATGATGTCTTGGCAAAGCTTGCTAAGCTCGATGAGACCAAAGGCTGGGTCCAGATGAAATTCCTCCTAATGTTCTGAAATACAGTAGACACATTCTGGCTGAACCAATATGCAGACTTTTCAATTCGTCATTGGCCTATGGAATCTTCCCTGATGCCTTGAAGAAAGCTTTTATTGTACCCATACACAAGACTGGACTGCATAATACTGTCTCCAACTATCGACCCATCTCTATCATCTCTGCGTTGTCCAAAGTGTTTGAGGAACTCTTTTTGGACAGAATCAAGCTCAAAGTAGCCAGCATCATCTCCCCTCGTCAGCATGGATTTGTATTAGGACGTTCTACCGTCTCTAACCTAATAGTCTTTCAAACTAAAATACTTGAGGCTTTCATATCAAATCACCAGTTGTGTGCAGTTTATTTGGATTTCTCAAAGGCGTTCGACACAGTTGACCATACTCTTCTCCTAAAAAAACTTGTCAGCCTGGGATTTGATAGCACCTCAGTTCGTTGGTTGGCTAGCTACCTCTCGAATAGGCGCCTGTATGTAAAATTTGCAGGTGCACTGTCCTCAGAATTTGTCTCCTCCTCAGGGGTACCACAGGGATCTCTTCTTGGGCTTCCACTGTTTTCACTGTTTGTAAATGATCTACCGGAGACTACAGTATTATGGCGGACTCTTTACTGTTTGCTGATGATGTGAAACTCTTTTCAGCTGTCTCAAAAGAGGATGATTGCCTGATAGTTCAGCACAGTTTGGATTCCCTGGACCAATGGTGCTTGACTAACAACATGAAACTCAATATTGGGAAATGTCAAGTTATTACCTTCCATCGATGCACCGCCTGCCCCTCTGGTCTTCAATTACAGTGTTCGAGGAGAAGAGTTACGGAGAGAAGAGACCTGGGAGTTATTTGGACCTCGTCATTGAATCCTGAAGCTCAGGTAGCTGCCATCTGCAGGAAGGCGAACAAAATGCTTGGGTTTACTCTTCGATTTTCCTGAAATCTCACCAACTTGACCGCACTGAAAACTTTGTACTGTGCATTGGTGAGGCAGCTGTATGGTTCATCAGTGTGGAGCCCTCATCAACGTTATCTCTGCGACGAGCTGGAGGGGGTGTAGCGCAGGTTTGCCAGGATGGTTGGTGTGAGGAATGGCTACCTGTACCGCCAAGTACCGATTGATGAAATCATAGTGAGCTGGGTCTTCAGCATCTGGAAAGCAGGAGGCACATCGCTGATCTCAGGGGCGGCGGAAGCAAATTTTTGTTAGGGGGTCAGAAACCTATGGTGGAGGTCCACATCCGGGGGGTCCGGGGGTCCTCCCCCGGGAAAATTTTGAAAAATAAAAGCCTTAAAACGTGTTTTTAGGCTACCTGAAGAACATTTTTCTTCAAGCAGTAACAAAGAAAATTTACAATTTAACAAAGACGCTACTCTGTTCATTGTAAAAACATTATAATAAATAATACACATACATCTCAAACAAACATAAAATGAAGTACTGGTGCCCAGATTTTACTAAAGCTGTCAGCAATGAGTTGCTGCAGACGACAGAGAAGAGTAAACAAGGCCCTAGGGATTTATGTGTTCGCGTAATTTTGGCAAGCTCTGCCCCTCCCCCTCAAAACTGAATTAATAATAAGTTAAATTAAAATTGGCTGCTTGATTATAGTTAATCACAAAAGTAAGACGGTAGGGTATAACCAAGTAAGTGTGTCCACTGGGGATAAAAAATGGTTTACACAAAAAACATTACAAACATTGTATTGGCACAACATAAAATTACTAAGAAATACAAAACCTTTTTGATGAATTATTGCTAAAATAAGTAAAATCCCACACCAGAATCTCAAGATATTAGCCTACTACAAGTTTACTAGATTTTTAAACTTCTGCTGATGAAACTTCAGTAGGCCCTAACTTGAACTTCAGTCTTTGAAGTTCCCGAAAACTGCACAGCGACTTTCAACTCTATTGACAATCATTCTTGCAATGTGCTTATCATCAATAGATTTAGCAATGTCCCTATGGACGGATAAGATGGCAAGATGGTTCAATCTCTTCTGCGTCATCGTGTAACGTTTGTCTTTGTACTTATCTTCAGTAACTGTTATTAGGCCTACTTATACTTTTCTTCTTGGGCCGAAAAAATAAACGTATACAGTACGGAATGCTTTATATCTTTACATTTTTTATATGAACCCCTGACCCTTGACCCCCTTGACCCTTCCTAAAATTTCAGGGGGGTCAACTGACCCCCCTGATCCCCTGGTTCCGCCGCCACTGGCTGATCTCGTTGTCTTGCACAAGCTCCTTAATGGTTCACTTGACTGCCCTGAAATGCTTCAGCAGATTCAATTTCGGACTCCTCAACGCACCCGTTCGAGAGACCTGTTTGTTGGACAGCACCATCGCACAAACTACGATATGAATGCCGCATTCGTCTGCATGCAAAGGGCAGGCAACAGCGTGCGAGAGACTGTTGACTTCTTCTTGGACAGTGTAGCTTCGATAAAGAGGAAGCTTCGACGTAGTCCCTAGTTTGAAAATTTATCGTCAATATTTATATATTTGAATCATTAGGGCCTATGTAGACTTATTATATCTAAATGTAGGAACTTTCTTGGCAAGGCTGTGTTCTGGTCAATTTTTTATTGTTATTTTTATTATTTCACTAGGCTATATATTGTTTACTAGCTATACCCACGGGCTTTGCCCCGTTTAAATTCTAAATTTTCAAGATGAGCTCTTTCGCATGGCTCAATCACATCCTGGTTGAAGTTCGTTCGCTACGCTCACTCACCTTTAGGTTGGAGCTCGTTCGCTGCGCTCACTTGCCTTCAGGTTAGCTCGTTCGCTACGCTAACTCGCCTCGAGGTTGAAGTTCGTTTGCTACGCTCACTCACCTTTTGGTTTGAAATTAGCTGTTGTCATAAATGTAAAAGAAATAATAGTGCTGAACCCTGTAGGTAATCCTTGTAACTTTAATGCTAGATTGAACATCAAAGAACTGAACCAACTTGTTTAATTGAAACAGCTGTTAAGATTCGTTAATTCCATTTAAATATGAGTACTCATAAGGTTAACATGGGAAACTCCAGAGCCACTGGGGCGGAGCCCGAGGGTCCGATCAGAATAAAAAACAGCTTAGTTTTCCTATTTAATGCCTAAAGAATCAGTATACCAAATTTCAGCCTCCTAGGTAAATGGGAAGTAAGAGAATTAGTGATGAGTGAGTGAGTCAAGTCAGTGAGGGCTTTGCCTTTTATATATATAGATTTATGTTATTTGTTTTAGGTATTTATTGTAAATGTTATTTATTCTATCTGAATCATTATGTACATTCTTTACTATCAAATGCATGTATTTTTATAAGGCCAGAGTGAATGCTACATTATTGTTTCCATCTTGTTTGTTGTATGAATACAAAAATGGAGTTGTCCGTTGGTATGTAGCCTAAAATAAATAAATTAATTATTGAAATTTTCAATCGATATTAGCCCCAGTTAAGAAACTGTACCTACCCTTAATAAACTAAAAAAAAACAAAAGGTAAGCTATGCAGACATTAAGTTTACAATAGGTAGCCTAACTACATGCACTATTTATAGCTACCTATAAAAAATAAAATAAAAACTTACATACAACATGGTAATTATAATACAGTACAAAGGAGGTTAGGCTCTGGCCAAGGCCCCACTAGAAAAAACAGGCCATGCTGCAGCGCGGGTAGCGCAACACTACGTCACAGTGGTGGATAGTTGTACTAAACTCTTACAAACAGCCAGCATGTTTATTTACCTAAAACATATGGGAATGGTGATGGCAATTTATCAATGAAATCTATCCACTAGTGTGACGGATCCTGCAGCATGGCCTGCTTTTTCTAGTGGGGCCTTGCCCTGGCCCTCTTCCTTATTATACCAAAGTTAGCCTATTTATTTAAATTTGACGCTGTAACATTTCTTAATGAAATTGTAATAAAGGAATTGTCTATTATTGTCTATTTTCCATTTCAGTTGTTGTTGGCACAATTATCTAGAGCCATTTACCCAATCCAGAGATAAGAGTCCAATTTAATTTGTATAACAGTCAAGAAAATATGTTTTAAAAACTAATTTCTTTGACTTAGACTTAAAAAAATTCCATAGGCCTACTGTTATGCTAGTCTTCTTACTCTGAATGAAGTGAGTTAAATTTTGTTGGCAACATGGCATTACCGGTACTTCTATTATTTTAATTATTACAGACACACTTTGCAGGTTCTAAACATGGACTCCCTTTTTTCATTATGTTGGAGAGATTACAATAGTAGCATTACTGAAGCTTTTGGTTCTCTTCTTATGAATGAAGATTTGGTGGACGTGACTTTAAGTTGTGAAGGAAAGATGATCAAAGCGCACAAAACGTTGCTCTCTTCTTGCAGTCCATATTTTCTTGAAGTTTTTAAGGTAAATAGGCTTAAACTTATACTAACTTATTGTATGTTTTGGTAATTACTTTACTTTGTTTGAAGAGATTCTGTTGTGATAATGAAGTTATTAGGCTACAGTTTGGTACTTCTTGGCTTAACTAAGGCCCTGTACACATGAGGGCAGCAGCCGCCGCGGTTGAAAGTACAAAGGAGCAAATGGGACCGGTCACATGCAACCGCCCACTTCCAATCAACCGCAACAAACCGCGGCGGTCGTAGATTTCCCTTCGACCGCCGCGGCTCCCGTGCGGTTGGAGTTACTAGAGTTGGCATGAGAGCGTACACATGAGGGCGGTAGCCGCCGCGGTTGACTGCAGTTGCTACTATAGGATCACATACATCTGCGATCTTGCCCTGTGGACATCGCTCTCTGTGTTGGTGAAGTGTGTAGCTGTGGCTGGAGTTGACGTAGTACTCGTAGTGTAAGTTTACAATGGCCATGCGTGCTGCTGTGGAACCAGAAAACTTTGACACTGTACTGTTCATTAAAGAAGTACAAAAAGAAGATGCGTTTAGGACATAAACTAAAAAAGATTGCGTGGCAAGAGTTAGTTAAGTTTTTTGCTGAAAAGAATTGTCAAGTGTTACGCGTTTAAAAGAAAAATAATTGGGTAAACACAGTACTAGCTGTCAAGCGACGGTCAATTCACACCGCAACCGCAGCGTAACCGCGGCTCCAACCGCTGCCATGTGTACGGTCCTATGCGGCTGCCGCCCTCATGTGTACAGGGCCTAAGATAACTGTAATTCTTGATCGGCTAACTATCTAGTTGAGTTCTGAGTGTATTTGCAATTATTTAAGTTATATTTTATAGTTTAAAATTCACTTCTCTGAACTTAAATAAAAAAAAACTCTGGGCCCATATTTTCAAGTTGTGTATTTTTTTAGGAAAACCCTTGCCAGCATCCAGTCATAGTCTTCAGAAATGTGCAGTATGTGGACCTTAGGGCGATTGTTGAATTTATGTACAAAGGCGAGGTCAATATTCTACAGGAACAGCTTGAGTCGTTTATCAGCACCGCTGATATGTTGAGTGTGAAGGGACTAACCGACGGTGAGGGTGTGAGCAAAATTAAAGAGGTCAGTCTATTTGCTAATTGGGTGTATTTTAAATACAATGAACAAAGTATTAACCTCAGTCAAGAAAATCAAAACAGCAAAATAAAACGGTTAAAAAGCATATAGGTTTTTACATAGTTTAGGTAATAAATTGCCTTGTAGTGCAAATATAATACTACTAGTCACTCCAATGATTTTGAACGTTAAATCCAGCCTACTGCCTCTATTTAAAACTTTTTCTGTCATGATGTTAACAGTTTGGTTTTCTCAAATGTGAACATTTTATGTTGACTATGTCACTTATTGAATTATATTTAAAAAGAAAACACTCTTCTTGTCTTCTTCACTGACGTTTTTGCCTTGATGCAGAATACCACCCTTAGGGTGACTTGACTTCCACACAGATGAAAAATCAAGTGCCACTTAGTGTTTTAGAAAATAAACATAATATATTTAGTTTGAGGTAGTACAGGGTGCGGCAATAAAACCGATCTATTTTCTGTATAGCGCAGTATTCAGCGTTAGGTCGCCTGAGGGTAGGGGGTGTAGGTTTTTTGGAAAGCCTACACGATGCCATTATCTGTAGTCATAGAGCAGTGGTCACTTGAGCAACGCACGTTTGTTATAGAATTGCTTTAAAAAGTAATGATTTAGTCATTGCAATTAATCCAAAGGGATAAGAATTAAGATTGAACCTCAAATTAGTGTAACCGAGTGGTCAGACATGATCAAAGCAGAGCTTGTTTTTGGGCGGGCCTACGAGGACTGTTTTCCACAGCAGCACAAACTCTATCGAATGTTAGTTGTCTGATCTACTTTGGACGGCTTGTCAGCTTCCTTTTAAATGCAGAAGCCGAATGTTGGTAACCCACCAAATGATTGTCCATACTTGACAGAATCCATGTTGCCCTAATTACAAGAACGCATGTTGCTCTGGTGACCACTGCTCTATGACCACAGATGATGGCATCCAGTAGGCTTTCCAACGAGCCCAACCCCACCACTCTCAGATGACCAGTCGCTGAACAGTGCGCTGCATAAAATAGATCGGTTTTTTGCCGCACCCTGTACAAACAATAATTAATTTTATTGGTCTTACTTTTTCATTGACAGATCTATGGTACATGGAAATTTCCTTATTAGTTAGTCAAGAATTGAATGTATGTTTCCAGTTTTGTGAAGAGAAAATGCAAACTGAACAAGTTAAAGAACAGCTGACAAATTCAAGTAAAACTGAATCTTTTGACCACAAAAGTCCTTTAGCTAAGAAAAGGAAACCTAGTTCAGAAAAGCCTAACGGCATTCCTTTGGAAAAAAAAGTCCCAGTTAAAGAGGAACCAGAAAAACTAGACACTGTTTGTGATAACGTTGGATCACAAGTTTCTGATCCACTTGTCCCTAAAGGTTTGACATCAGTAACAAATACTTTGGGTGAAGATAGAGAAGATGTCGGTGAGAGTCTGAAAGTTACGGGTGAGTGCAAATACAGTACAGTAGTAAATGTAATGAGTATGCCTTATGACAATCTGCCTAGATTGTGAGTTAGGTGATTGGTAATAGCCAAACACAACACTGTTTAAGTACGGTACTAAAGTACAATCTTAGAAAGAAATAAAATTGGGTAACATTTTAAATGTTAATGGTGGCTTTTTTAAATTTTCCGAAGATAAATTTACATGAAAACGAGCAACTAAAACAAAATTTTTTATGAAGTAACATTTACTTCAAAATAAAAATTCCAATTACACTTTGGTTTTGTAAATCGGTTATGGGAAAGTTGTGTTGTTGTGTGTTTGATGTTATATCCAAAATTGATTATATTACTTTCGTTAAATTTAACTGTACAGTAGTGACATACGTGGGTCGTTAGAAGAGAAATTTGGTGATGAAGAGGTAGTTGATGATCTGTGGGAAATTAGCACAACAAACCATCCTTCTGATTCTGAGGATTTGTTGGTAGAATTTTGTTTGGTAGCGAGGAATTTAACCGGGCCTATGATGATTGATTTAATGATCTAATGACCGGATTTCCAACCTCATTTAGACGTTTGGATTAGTGGATATCCCCCCATCCTCCCCTATAGAGTATTTGTTTTAAATTTTGACAACAACTCCTTTCTGGGATTTGACAACTAGAGGAATAAATGTATATGCCCAAAGGGTCATAACTGAAAAAGGAAATTATATGAGCCCACATACTAGGTATACAAAATGGTCGAATGCAATTGTTCAAAAATTATAAAAAGTTTTTGCCATTCTTATTGATGTAATGGGTCTAACTGTTTTAGGAAATATAACAAGTCATTGGGACACTTTTTAGCAGGTCAGCATATTTTTATCGATGAAAGTGTAGTCAGTATGAAAAACCGCTTTAAAAACATATAAACTAAATAAGGAACAAAAACAGTTTGGTATAATATATAACACATCTCAATATCTTCCCTTTAGCAGCAAACCTAAGTACTCACTAAAATTAATGTTAATTAAATAGGAAATAAATCTGAAAATATTTAGGGAATATTTTAGTAGAAATCCAGCCATGTAAATGGAAATTCGCTTAGTCTGCAGTTTTGCTGTGGTGAGGGTATTTTTTATTGTTTGCTACCTTGCACTTGTTGATATTGAAACACATGTTGACACAGTAGAACTTCTTTAATCCGAACGTCCACTAATCCGAACGCCTCATTGCTGTACTCTATACACAGTACAGTAGTTCTTTATTGTATACTGTATTTATTGATAAACGCACCGTATTTATTTCAATTTTAATGTCCAGTACTGTTTATTCCCTATGTTTACTACTGTATTAAATAAACACTGTATTTTACTTTATAAAAAGCATTTTTCACTTTTCCCTAGCTATTGTTATGTAAAAACAACAATATGTTCTGTAATCCGAACTATTCAATAGTCCAGACTACCCCCGGTCCCAATTAGTTCGGAAGAAAGAGGTTCTACTGTATAAATCACAAGAAGTCTAATGAGAATTCTGGAGCATTTTTATGAAACTTGTAGGGCTCCCTATCGTGTCATGACACTGTTTGTATCTTTTAATCTTATCATAAGTTCCACGTAGCAAATTTCAGCTGATAATTATTGAGGCAGGTTTAATAATTTACTAAATGGTTGATCCAATCCTGCGGTGCAACAAATGTGCGATTAGGATTTTTTTAATGTTTAAACACTTTTTTCCTCATTAAACTCAACGCTATTTAAAAAGGGAATAAATCTGACATATTTAAAGAAATATTTATAAAAAATCTGATCCTTTGTAGACAAATGTACGGTAAGTTTGCTTTAGTTGAGGGTATTTGTACTTATATGTCATACTTTAATCTTGCGTGATTTACTCAAGGTTTACCAAGGTAATCAATTATGGTTTTTTAAATATAGTATGCGACCAGTACTTTAATTAACTGATTCTCACATATGCAAGCCCCCACTCAACTAACCACTTGGGCATGTCTAATTAAAATATTTAGGCTATTGCACTTTCATAAACACAGTTTTGTTTTGACTGTTTTATACTTTGTAATATTTTGTTTTACCCAATTGCCATTCTCGCTAGGCAGATTTAGTCTATGAACACTTGTTTCTTTAAAACACAATAGTTTTTTTTTATAGAATTTCCATAAACTTACAAGTCAAACATTGTAAGCTCAATTAAAAAGCAAAGTAATTTCTCCTTATGATCGATCGATATTGGTAGTTCTGCTCATTATTGCTCTTGAAGACCATCTTACATGTGAAAATTGCTCATCAAAATTTGCAATAACTTTTTGATCATAATCTCTTGTTATTTGTGTAACTGGTTAGTAGAAATGTAAAAATTATTGACATTTTTCCAGCTCACCCATCTGAAGAAGTTTCTTCTAAAGAAATATTAGAAGAGGTGATACAAGTGATTGAAGAGGGAGGCAACACCAAAGAAACAGCCTTTCCAGATAGTAATATTTTAGGCCCAGAATCTAAAACATCTATTCCTTTAAAGAAACGAAAAAACCTGGAAGAGGAAGAGAGTGAAATCCCTGTCAAATTGGAGAAGATAACTTCTCCTGGAAAATGTACTGCTGACAGTGTTACAAAAGTACTTGCAGAACCTGTGAAAGGAAAAGTCCACATCCCAAAAGGTCTAGTAGTGACGACAGTAAAAGCTAAATCAGTCGAAGGACTCTTTGATTTCCCCACTCAGGAGTTACAAACTGTACAAGATGAAACTATTGAAGCTCTACGTTCAGAAGATGCCACTACTCCTGTTCATGAAGAGACGACACAAGACGCCCATGACAATGTTCCTCTGGGCTTCAACCCAGAATTGGCTGAGGAAGCTCCTACCATGCAATCAGAACAAACTGAGCTAGAACAACCAGTCGAAGAGGAACCCAAGGAGCCAGAGTTTGACTATTTCGGATGTGAAATTTGTCAGACTGAAGCCAAACCAGTGGACCTTGAGAGAATCGTGTTCAGCCACAAGTGCCCTATCTGCCCATGTGCTTGCTTCTGTAGCCATCTACTCAAGGAACACATGAAAATTGTACATGGATGGTTCAATGTCCAGCGAAGATACACTCAATTTTGATTAGTCACAAAGAGTGTCGTGGTTTTGTGTTTTAACCGTAAATAAAATTTATATTCCAGAATACAAAACTTATGTAAAGTAGTTTTTTTATTTAAACTATAATCTGAGTGTAGACACACCTCATATACAATTTTTGGTTTGCAATCTGGCAACACTCCGAATAGATCGATAAAAATGGCAGGCAAGATTCTAAAAATCCTTATTTCCATCACAACCTGGCTCTCCCCAACCCTTCTAACCACACACCTTAACAAAAATGGTACTATTGTTTGTAGTACCGTTAGTAACTATTTGGCCTTTGACACATTACGACAATAATTAACATGACAAAACATTATTGACATTATTGACAATTAACATGTGTTTTACATAGGGAAAACATTTTTCAGTTTCTTAGATGAAGTGTAAATTTGAAAGTTGCTTGGGATTGCCATAGCTTTAAAACGATGTGTTGTTTGACACATGGTCTCATTTGAAATTTAAAGTTTGACCAACTAAATATTTTTTTAGAAAACCTTTTTTGATTTTTTTTGTGATATTGCATATCAAATTAAAACTTAGCTCACAAGGAATGAAATATTTTTATCAGGGTAGAGATATCTGTATTTCAAGAAAACTAGGTTATGGTACATCCTGTTTCTAAAAATAATTTAAAATATATTTTAAGTTATCTCTTGGGATTGGTTTTGTAATAAAACCTATGAATTCATCATTGTGGGACCAACAATATGTCTGTTATCAATAGTGGCATGATTCACCTTGTATATGAAAGTTAATTAAAATAGCCAACTAGTATCAGCATACATTCTTTAACAATCCCATTTGATCTCTTAAACTGTTTTTCTTTTCAGAAATTTACAATAAGATTAGGTTTAGTAATAACAAAGACCAATAACTAACACAATCAGTTTATGAAAATTAATAATGTACAATGTATTATAACATAAATCACATACATTCTGATAAGTGTGTATACAAAATATATTATGCATATGTATAAAACAATTATATTAAAAATAAATAGAGTACACAAACTTTGGAAATAAATCGATGTAGGTTTGGTTTTAAATATTTAAAAAATGCTTAAGATTTAAAGCGAAGATACAAAGGAACACAAAATAAAAGAAACAAATAACATTTATATACACAAAAAGCTTAGGTAACATAATTATGCCAGTTTAATATAAATAAACTAGAAAATTAACACAAAATAATTATGATTCATTTAAACATTCAAACCGAGTGAGAAGTATGATACATTATTGCTCAAGTTGGAAAAACTAGAATCAGAATTTTTGAACAAGCTACACTTAGGTTTGCCTATGTATTAGTAGCACTCAACATCAGGGAAATTGAAAAAGTCACAAGTACTTGAAAAGTAGATTTTTCTAAGGTTATGTAATAGGTATGGTATTCTTTTGTCTTCTTTACAGTAAGGACTAGATCAAACCTTAATTTATTTAAAACATGAAGAATCTTTTTATTTTTTCTATGTTAATGAAAACCGAAATGTTTAAAGTAAAACCTCGATTAACCGCCACTTTTCCGATCGCTTATCTCTTATCCGGCATATCATAGTAGCCTATTAATGAATAATGCCATGCATTTTTAGTTGCTGCCAATTTCTTTGATATTTCTCATGATGAGATGCAATTAAACACGACAGATTTAAAGAAATTTCGGAAGGTAACTTCTTTAATCGTTTCCGTTCTGCACCTTGGTGATTTATGTACCTTCCACTTAAACGATAAATTTATTTCTTTTCTATGTACACGCATATTTTTTTTAAAAATGAAGTGGATAATTTTTTTTTGCACGTGTTAAAAAATATAAATTGCCTTAACTGGTTTAAAGCATCAATCACTTACAAATATTCACAAATATAATTATATTGATTCCACAACTCAACTGTGTTTACGCGTCTGAATTGCTGTCAGTTGAAAGAGGTTCGTGTATTTTCCAAGACTTGCCACAAGTTGAGTAGAATATAAATAAACTCAAATCTCACCCTTGATTTAAAAAACAAGGAGAAAAGAGAGTTTACAAAAAGTAAACCAAAAATACACCATTACGAACAAATTGACAAAATTACTGGTGCAATCAAAATTGAGGCCAATATAATGTAAATCAAACAAGATAATTAGTTTAAGAAAGAGAATCATCAGTCAGTTGTATTTTAAACAAGGAAAAATTAAACTCTAAAACTAACTCTAAATCTAAAGCTGCCACGTGGATGGAATATTTTGTCGCTGCCAGCAATTTCACTTTTTTTAAAGTTATAAATAAAAAATAAACAGTTCAAAATAAACTAAACATCTAAAATCTTTATGGCTCAATAATTTTTACTACTTAGATCTCCCTTATTTAACTTACATCTGAATAGAAAAATTGGGCTACCAATTTCAAATTCAAAATTTATCCAAAATCAATTTCAAATAAAACCTATGTTAAAATTCTGTTAACATCAAAAATGTTTTTTATAGTTTTTAAATTTGAACATTTTGTATACATCCCTATTCGTCATTAAGTTACATTATTTTTGTAGATTAAAAAGTTATAAACAATCTAACATATTTGGGTTTTCACATACATACAACTGTATTAATTTCATATGACAGTTAAATATCAGGTTTGTTGGTTTGTGATAAAATAATACATTAATTAGCCTAAACGCTGACATATAAAACCTTCAAAAGTAACATTACTATGTCATTGTAATTAAATATCATAAAAATTAATTTCAAGTTTAGTTGAGAGTAAAAAATAAAAATTTATTTAAAAGCTGTATAAAATGTTTTGCAATATAGCACCTTGATAAACAGCACAATTTCAACATAGAGTTGTTAGTATACATGAACATTATAAAAAGCTGTCACTAACAGAATGTTTATTTGGCACATCAGATAGTCGATTTAGTTTATTTTAGGGATATCATAGAGTGAATTCTAATTGAGCTTATAATTTGGTCCATTTAAACATTTGAATAAAATAATTATTGTCTTAAACAAATCTTTTTACTTTCACTGAGTTAAAGTGATTCAATACGCTACATTCAGCCGAGTATCGTTGTACATATAAAAAAACAACCTTTTACGCATAAACATATGCATTCAATAATTTTTTTAATAACCTAAAGTAAAAAAGTTTATAAAGTTATCAAGACTTAATATGACTGAAATATGATGGCATTAAAAGTAGTATGAGTGTTACTTAGAGGTTTGTTTTTACACTCAAAGGCAATCAAATTACTGAAGTCTATTTCGGCCATATCTGGCAACTCAAGAGAAGGTCCTAAGAACACCATGCTTGTTTCTATAAGGTACAAATGCAAAAGCAGTATAGTGTTCCAAAATGATTTTGAATCAATCGCTGAGGACATCACATCAGTTAGTATTATTGCATCAAAGGCCATATCCGGTAACACAGATAAAAGTAGAACTACCATAGTTCAATTGTAGCTCTAATCTTAATGTTTAAAACAACGAATTATTGTGTTTGTACAAACAAGACAATCTTCAAACTTAACAACTGTCCAGTGTCAGTAAACAAATCAAGTTGTCCTCTTGCTTTTTAAATAGCGGTAGAGAATACAGCACCATTTTTTAAAACTTAATTTGTTTTTTAATTGAAAATAACTACTGCTTTGAGTGAATCAACAAATAACTGCCTGTTAATATGGCTGCGATTGACTATGACATGATATGAACGAGAATGAAGAGATCAATTACAATGAAATAATGTCCAATTTAGATTTTATAAATGAAAATACAGTACCAAAAACACTTAAAACAAAATTAATTTGGTGACACTGAGTGAAATCAATTTGAACATCCAATTGCAGGGTTGTGCTAAGAGCTTTACAACCTTGAAATACCTACCAACACTGGACATATATCAGTCGAAAGCGCCAAGTAAAATATTGGGTGACTAACTATATCTACATATTGGGCTGAGCTGCAGCAGTCCAAAAGTTTAATTTATTTTACTACGTTTAAAAATTGTAAAGTTGTGCAGGAAAAACTTGTTGTTTAACCCACATTGATGTTTTAGGAGATCAATTTGATAAATTTGAAAAACCATAAGGAATTAATGCCCAGTTTGAATAATTACTATGTAGGTAGAACAGACGTGGGTTGAAATCTAGAAATACAAAATTCATAAACACACTCTAATTAAAATTAATTAAGAATCATTTCTATAAGATTTTTAATTTAGAAATTTAAATAGGCTAAATAAATTTACCTATTTGCTCTCTTATGAACAAACTTTAGGATTGTTTTTGTTTAGTATTTTTTAAATTACATGGTTAAAATTATAATCAACCAAATAGTTTTTATGCAATTTTGAAGGTCCATTCTACATAAACTATTATCTATATATTTTTCAATTTGCAACATTATTGTTCTGATGACGCCGTGAGTACTATAGCTGAAAGTTCTGTTACTTATCAGATCCAAAGGAAATCACATCAAAACTAGAACTTCTTGTGTCATTGATAAACTTTTGGGGCTGCTTACCGACCGATTGCAGGACAAAAGCCCAATTTTGTACTTTCCAAAATGGTTAACGTAAAGTGAAGATTGCACAATTTATGTCAGTTTCATGTTTGAAATTAATTGTGTATGGAGTACAAAAAGCCTATTAATAAACTAATAATCTTAGTACGTTATTATTGTTAGAACTTGTTAATCATAATCCTGTATTAATAATGAATATTTTCTCACATTAGGAGCTTGAACATTTCCCCCAATATTTATAATGTATATGCCTATGTTAAAGAATACAACATTAATTTTGATAAAATAAGGTTAAATAGTTTGTATTAAGTATATGACTACAGTCCTCTAAGACCTAAAAACTCACCAGAAGTGAGGGTAAGAGCAAATTTTGGGTTTAGTCTGTGGTTCATAAGTGGCTTCAACTTGCCTAAGGGACTAAAACTTAACTAACTACTGGATTTTTGTCCTGCAATAAATTAATTATTTTTATTTCCTAAAATAACTATTTACATATAATAAAACACTGTAACAATATTTTTTAAATTACAAATGTTACACTATTTACTATTTATTGTCAGACTTAAAATGCCTTTTCCCACAATTCTTGTACAAAAAAAAAAAGAAAATTGCCAGCAACCCAATTTTATTGGTTAAATAATTGTTAATACACATTCATGAATTTTATTGTAACAAATCTGAAAAAATCAGATTCAGCCAGGCATCATCATGGCACATCATTTGCGGAGGGGAATCTAGAACAAATAGTCAGTTGTCCTCCCTCGCCTACGTGAGTTTTCTCTTTTTATACATCATGGGTCCATCACCAAATCGCTGTGTATCAGCTGTAGGAAATTTCCATCGGTTATTGGCGAAATTTGAAACCAAGCCTCTAGAACCAAAGTCTGAACCGTCAGACCAGCAATGCCCATGACTTTCTGGCCAAGTGATGAGAAGGATAAAACCAAAATAGAATTTAGGTTAATCAATTTTTTTAGATGAAATAAATATTTTATTGTTTTCCAGTACTGGTAATTTGTTACTAGTAACAATGATTCTTTTTCCTATTCTCACTTTTCTCTGGACATTGGCTACTTGGATCTTATCTCTTTCTTAAGATTCAAAGTAGTCCGTACTTTGGCATTAAATTTATTTTGACCCAGGCATTTTACGTCCGCAATAGGTATAAGGCTGATCCCTTTATTATATTTGCTCTGCCTGGTAAATACAAAAGCTACACATGAGCATGTAAATTGAAAAAAAAAACTATCAGTATATGAAATAGATGTACACTAAAAAGATAGAGGATAAAATTACAACGCTGAGTCTGTTTCATAGCTGGTTTAACCAGAGTTTCGGCATCGTGAGATGAAGCAGGAACTTTGTCATTTGGATGCGTTGGAAGGCAATGTGGCAGATCTTTGTTGCACTGTGATAAATGGCTTCAGTGTTGATCTCGTCGATTCCCTGTAATATTAAACAAAATGTTTCTGATTGGCGTTTAATTGTGAAATATGTTGTAAGTTAATGTTAAATTTGTTCATTAATATTCTATTTCCTTTTATTTTAAAAATAACTTGGCAAACTAACTGTCTGTGGCCCTTCATACGAACTCTTAAGAGCATTTGTGTTTTGACAATGTAGTCTTTAGGACAGTTTTTGCAGGAAATTTGGTAAATGACATTGGTAGAATTACAAGTGATGTTACTATTTATGTTACAAGATCTTTTAGTTTGGCTACAAGTGAAGGTTTTTGACGAGATGATTGATTTACAAGTGGCACATTGTGGTTTGTGGCATTGATTACAGCCCAAAGTTTTTCCTGATGGTTGGGAAGTGGGAGGTAGTTTGGGCTCATCAATTAATACTTAAATCTAAAACACCATCTGGTCTAAATTTGAGATAGTATACAAAAAATATTTTCTTTCTTTCTTTCTATCAAAATTTTCTTTATTACTTCCTTACAAATTATATGTATTTTAGATTTTTGCTAAACCATCTGATACAGAGTGGTAAACACTTTAACATTTCTATTTGTTTGATTGTTCCTAAAGAAGGCTAATGCCGAAATATAGAATTTTTTTTTTAAGAGTGTGATTAGTTTATTTTATATGTAGATTGATTAGTCAGAGTTGGATCTACCTGGGGGAGACTTTGGCACCGTCCACATTGGTATTGGCCTTGTAGCCACACTTCTGTATCTTCCTAGTGAGCCGCTGCACCCACAACTTCTGCTCGTCTGTGCTAGGCGCCAGCACTAGCAGCTCCTTGGCACTGTTGGGGTCGTAGTGGAGCTTGCATGGTGCGATAGCTTCCTCCTTGCCTACCAGATGGTCTCGGTGGACTTTGATGCGACATCCTACGTAACCCAATCAGGTCATATCAACTACAAAACCCATTATCTAACAAGGCACTCAAAGAAAATCGTAACAGAAGTAGATTTCTGTTTGTTTTGAAATATGTAATATCAGTTTCTTTACAATGTGCTTAGAGGAGAGAAGCTCAGTAATGTTGACAAGTGTTTAAAAACAAATTTTAATAAGGAGATTACTCCAAGTGTGCTAGACTAGACCTATGTCTAAAGATCCTCCAAATTAATTTCTCAAGCAGGTTTGTTGTAATGTTGACATTTTAACACCCGTTCTCACAACTGGTTTTCTTCTTAAGAACTGGTTGTATCAAGAATTTGCTTTTAGGTACCAAACAAAATATCACATTTACAAGATGTAATCAAATTATTTTTTTTTCAATATATCTTACACTGAATGTTTGAAATCGCGTACTTCTGCCTTTGTGTTTTGAGAAAAGATTATCACATGGCTTAGGAATAAATTAGGGAAGAAGGAATGGATATTCAACTAACCTACCCCATAGAGTGAAATATCAAATTAATGTGTGATGACAACAGCCTGGAACTGTTTTCTTGGACAAGTTAGTTGTACAGTAACACTTTGAATCCGAATCGTGCACAAAAAGAATTTAAAAATTTAAAATAACAGTAATAAAAATAAGGAAGGCAGAAACCATTATTGAGACAAAATCCTGGACATTTCCCAAGGTCAAGTAGATATCAACATCATCTCCCGTGGTCATAACAAATCATCATTGTCCTCCGCAATTAAGTCGAAAGCAGAAATTTTTTATCGTTATTGTGATAGTAAAATTTTGTCTTGACTCGGGCAAGTATCTATCCATCAAATACCGCAAATTTTGGTAAAAATCCAACCATCCTAAAATCTTTGAATATCCGCAGGTGAATGGTCCCAACTCATTCGGGCACTTGGAGTTATACTGTACATACATTCCTTTTCCCTAATGCATTGATTCAGTTCTATAAATTGTGAAAAATACAATGTGGCGAGCCTTCTCTATCTCATGTTTAACAGTTTTATAAACCTTATTAAAGGGAAAGAGAGAAAGAAATTACTGAATAGCACTCACGTCTGCATTCGAGTGCTGCGGGTGGCCTGAACATGTGCCACAGAGGTTTGGGACAGGCCTCACAGTTGGTAGGCATATGGTATGAGATTTGTAGAAACTCGTGGCCCTTGAACACCATAGTGCCTGGCTTGTCGTCAGTGTTCACTCGGCTCAGATCAAGGCTGCCATCTTCAGGCTTGCGTGCTTCACCCTCGCCTGCATACAACAGCTGAGAACAAGAGAAAATAGTCAGTATCACAGCTGCAAAGTAAGAAAAAATAATCAGTACCACCACCTGCAACACAAAGTTAAATAGTTGGTATCACAACTGCAAAGTAAGGTAAAACAACCAGTATTACGGCTGCAACGTAAGAGAAAAGAATTAGTATCACAGCTGAGGTGTAAGAAAGAATCATTACCACAACTGCACCAAATAAGAAGAGAATAAATAATACAGCTAGGTCAGGAAATCACAAATGGAACGTACAGGAAAACAATCACTATCACGGCTCCAACGAAAGAGAAAACCATCCGTATGACGGCTAAAAACAGAAAGGACTCCCGCTATTGCAGATACAATAATAATATATACTTGACCGCGGGAAATGAATAGAATCTTGCCGCAATAGTCTCCACAACCGTGGGAGATATTCAATAATCTACGGTAATTGTGCAAGACGTTGATAACGTTTCTGTGGCCACAAGAAAACACGATGATGTCACACCAACCACTGCAGATGATCTCGATATTACCTCGAGTTTGGCTTGATCGATAATCTCAGGCTGGCACAATTCATAACAGTAAAATTTCTTTTTATATTTGTTGTAATCAACTTCATTTACCTCTATGAAATGAAATGAAATGAAAAAGTGCTTTATTGTACAAATTAAATAATATAGTCTACCTCCATATGTACAACATATACAACACTAACTTGCACAATAAAATAAAATACATAGGTACTGCTAAAATAAAAAACCTAACACTTATTAAACAATGGTCAATGTTGACCGTCTGTTTGGTTGGCAACATAAATACCTTCTCCTTAACAAAAAAAAAAAAAACAGTTCCAACTGATAATATAATTTACCTCTAATAATATGAAACAGTAGAACCCCTCGTATTCGACCACAATGGTCGGAACAGCCAAAAGTTTGGATATTAGGAGGAGCATTTGGGCATTACACTATTTATGTATGTATTGTATGCTACTAACAAATAAAGGTTATTTGAATTTGAATTACTTGCAGTCTCCTCGACATCGGTATTCGACTCCAGCGACCACGACAACACCTGTGAGCGCAACTTGCAGTCTCCACGACTTCAGTAATCATTTCCCGCAATGGCGACAACACTCGTGAGCATAACTTGCAGTACTACTTCTGTAATCGTTTCCCGGGACGGCAGCAACACCCGTTGTTGGCGACAGTGATGATCGTCTGCCACGATAACGGCAACATCTGCGATTGGCCTTTCGGCTAACCGATCGTGCTCGGCGTTATTGCCCCCAACAGGAAACAAGTAGACGGTCGGGCTCTAGGTCGGATATCCCAAGGAGTCAGTTATTTCGAGGTCGGGTATGAAGGGTTCTACTGTATTCATTTTATGTGTTTGAACTAGGGTTTAACCTAAATTGGTTAGTTGGAATTTTTCATTGCTGCTCTTTTTTTCTTCGCTTGAAAAATGCCCCATTACCCCAAAATTACCTTATGGAAGGACACAAAGACAGGGGCTGATGAAGTATAATTAACCCACCAGTGAAAGAAAGTCAATACTATGCTCACTTCAGCTACATTTACTTTTATTCAAAACCTGGCTATAACTTTAAAATGACAATAATGGGAAACTAAAACTTAAAAGTTGCCAATAATTGAAACAAGCAGTTCTGATAGAATTGAATATTTTAAGATTTTAAACCATTTTCATGACACAACTAGGTACAAATATATATTCTGTGCATGAATTTAAAAGATTATTTGGTTCTAAATAGATTCATGTTACCTGAAATATCCTTGGAATATCTTTGGCATCTGCTCTAATAACGTCTCCCTGTGTAACAGGCCTCACATGGAACACCTTACTGAAATCATAGTTAAGGATGTAAAATAGTTAATGCATTAGGCGTAATATAGTAAACTCCCGATTATCCGCGGGATTGACTGGCGTGAACACCACGGATAATCAAATTTCACAGTTAAGCCGCAAAATTGCCGGTAATAGTTAAACAAAGGCTCCTGATCCAGGCATAGTAATATAAATGTGACGGATAAACTTCAAACCCAAAATAACAGTTTTTTTATAAACAACTACCGTACTATAACATAAATGAAACGCCTGTCATTAACATAAACATGAATATTACATTAATTAGAACCTTGAGTGGTTAATATTTCTTTGTGTTTAATAATTATCGATATGAAACTGAATTGTTCCAGGATTTAAGATGCCCTTTGCAGTTCAGAATACAATTTACATGTTACATTAGTGTTAATGGAGATCTGTTTGCTCCATTGCTACCAGCTTGTGTGTTAACAGTGTATAAACAAAAATAATGACACAACAATGTCAGCAGTTTCAAACATAAAAGTGCCAAAATTTTAAATTTCAAAGCTTTTGAATCTTGAAACTGGTCTATCAAATCTCAAATCCAAAACTTTTTCAAAGTTTTGATGGTTTTGAGATTTGGTTTTGACACATCACTAATATTGTCCTGAAAAAGTGACAAAGGCATAACCATATCACATATCAATTTTAAGGTTTAGTGTCTCATTACCAAATCTTGGCAAGTTGAATACCTACATAAAGAGCCTAAAACTATAGGCTTACAGTAGAAATCTAACTATTCATATTAATTAGGACAGGACCCCTCCCAGATAATCAAAAATACGAATAATATTGTTTTCAAGAAAAATGTATTTAAAGTAGGCAAAAAGACTAGTTTTAAACAAAGTTTTTACATTTACTTTTGGATATTAAAAACCAAAAGCAGTATTACAAAGAATATTATTTACATTTTCTATATCAAAATGTGCAACCAATTACCATTAACTGCAACAAACATAATTTTGTACGGCCAATTTTATCAATATTTTCTCCTTGAGGTGATCCGGTTGATTGGAGTTCAGGTAATTGTAGTTCTACTGTATTACGTAGATAATAAATAGCTTAAATACTGTCTAGAATATGGAAAAAATATGCTACTTACTTTAAATCCAATATTAGAACTGGATCAGTATTTTGCTTATCACTTTCAGAATTGTAAAATATGATTTTTTTTGACGACACAACAACATATTGTTTTTTCCAACCGTGCCTGCGGATGTTTTGTTTGTTAGGAACAGATAACCAGCCCTCTATCCTGTTATCTGGAAGCAACAAATAGGAATAAATAAATCAACTTATCATGAACGTGCACTCATTTTCGGTAGGTTAAACAGGCAGAAGTATAGTTAAATAAATTAAGTATGGTCTTTGTTGGTTTTTATTGTAAAGTGGATGATACTAAAAAACATGCTTTAAACTTCCTTAATTTAAAACAATCTGAAGTGTGAATTTTTCTCTCAGCACCATAGAAAACTGCCTTCTATAAACAGTGACAAAGTAACGTTAATAATGCAAAAATAATTTTGGATGGTTGATTTTTTAAAACATTAATGTAAAAAAAATAGCATGAAAAGCTGTCATTAAACAACACACAATGTTGGGTTAAGACTACCGCAGACCACAACCAAATCAAGGCCTTTAACTCCCTCATCACCTTTAAATTCAGCAACACCATTTCGCCAATGGCCTTCTGGTTTGTTCTCTGCTTCCAAACCCTTGTTTTGAACAGTTCTGTCCATCATTTAATTAATTGTTTCTAGTGATAAGTAGTGTATTTGGATGGTTGGAAATTATTTTACTCTCATGGTGTTTGAATTATCCAAATTTTATTGTACTGGTAATTAGGAATTGCTGTAACTCAATAATCAATTTTCAAAGGATGATTGAATATCATCAGAACCAGGTAAGACCCATCTAAAAGAATTTTTCAAAGACGCTACTAATAAAACATCTATCCTGTTCCTACAACTTATTTTCAATTCTCAAACTGCTTCGTACAACTACTGCAAGACATTTTGTCTAAGGTTAACACCAACCTTGTGAGAAGATTTCATCATTCTCATTGTCCGCGCTGCTGAGTGACGCTGTCTCACTGCCTATGGAGGCCAGACGACCCAGCAGTTGCTCAATTTCAGAATCTTTACTGTCTAGTTCCATCTGCAGTTTCAGCTTAGTTTGGTTCTCCTCCACCACTTGAGCTTGTAACTCTTGAATCTCCTTCTGCCACTTGACTGCCTCCTGTCCGTACTTCTCACGTTCCTTTGGATAGAACAAAGATAACATGATTCGGAACAGAATTTGAAAATTAATAGGATTGTTTGTAGGAAAACGGTACAATATAGTGTTGCTATTTAATACTACTATTGACTTTAAGATGCCAGGGTAAAATCTTATCTAGTAGAAAGATATAGTAAAAACTGATAGAATTCGCCAAAAATCAAACTTAGTCGAGTGAGTCACTTACGGAGTGAGCTACCATGAAAATTATATTTTTTTCCTCTAGTTTTTACACAAAAGATGATAGTTTGCAGTGATGTTTTTTTTTAAGCTTGGGTAATTGACATCAGGGCACTATCCAGCTTTACTCATTTTCATTCTAAGGCCGAGGGCACACGAGGCGGTTTTGCCGCGCAGTCGGTGTCGGTACACACAGTTCGGATGAACCGCTTCCTGCTGGGGTTTCCCAGCCTACTTACTGTATTAAAACATGGTCCAATTCACTCGTCATGGACGATACACTTATGTTAGTTTGTGCATTAGAAACGTGTGGTGAGCTGGAACCAAAGGTTAACAGAAATCCACTTGGATCAAAGGTTAACAGACCCTTCATAAACCGATAAACCATTTGTGTTTCAAACCTTTTAAGAGCACATGCAAAACCAGAGTTTGGAGTTTTTTGGTCATTACCGTAAGTTGATAGCATCGTTTGATGAGCTATTTGAATTGCTCTGACCGCATCAAAGTTAGGAAGATACACTCATGAGAAATTCAATTAGTGCCAAAGAATGTCTGATAATAACATTGAGGCAAGATGTTCTTTGATCTATTACAACTAATAAATACAAAATAAGAGGTGATTTTGTCTTATATATCACAGTTTGATTTTCATTACTCCGTGTATTGTCGTACACAGTCGGTAAACACACAAAATACAAACTCGTTCAAAACCACTAGAAATGCTTGAAGAAGAGCAACCGCATGATCAAACCGTATCGTGTGTTGTCTCTCTTAAGACTGTGTGTGTCATCCCCTCTAACGTGGTTTAACTTTGCATGGCTTAACTTCGTGTGACATAACCGCCTCGTGTGGCCCCGGCCTAAAACTGGCAACAACTTTAACATGGAGATGTTCTATAATAGTCAATGATTCTACTGAGAAATATCATTACAATTTACAACACAGTTCAATACAATTTTATTAATTATTTCAACATAGCAGTTAACTAACTTAAATTCTATTCAGAATCAGATTCACTAAATATTGAAGCAGCTGGTTCCAGTATTTAGGTAATCTTGACAAAGAGCACTCGGAAGAAAATTTCCAATTATGATAATTTTGAAAAGTGAATCGTGTTGTTGTTTTGATTTCTTTTCTAAAAGTCAGCTGATCTTAGAAATAAATTGTTATTGATCTGTTTTAGTTCATGTTTTGTTTTGTAATGAAAAACGTTCAATTTTGAAACAGACGAGAGGATGACATTGTTATTATTGATTAAATCATGATCTTGATTCTACCTTTGTATAATTTGACGTTTGACAAACCTGTGTCAGTTCCTGCTGCAGTTTGCGACACTCCTTCTCCTTCCGCCGCAGATCTCCAGAGGACACTTTCTTGTTCTTGCCTGTTGCATTCATGTCCTTCCTGTTCATGATCTCTGCCAGCTTGTTGACTGCCTGAGCCTTCAGCAGCTGCTCCTGCTTCAGTTGCTTCCTCAACTTGTCCAACTCCTCCTTGGAACCCTTTGCTAATAGGACGTCTGCACAGACACTCAGTGTAAGACGGAGTAAAAAGACTTATACAATATTTTTGGAGGGAAATTACTTGGCTGAAATACATGAAGGAAGGAGGGATGAATAACACAAATAACTTGCTAAAAAAATAGTTCAAGGCAGTTAACAGATTCAAAATAGTTTACATGACCCAAAATTGTAAATTTCTGTTTTTTACCATAATATACAGCATGAATACAAATTTGAAAGAGAAGTGTTTTTGATTCTGAGTACAGTATACCCAATCAAGTAAAGTGGTATCAAACTTAGGTCTTATCATTAAGACTTCAGTAATAGATACTTCGATACTTCCCTACTGGAATCTTAATGAACAGTTTGTTTTGAAGTATTGAAAATATTTTACTTTGACTAAGCTCAGCCTTTGAATACTTTATTTATCGTCCGATTCAGTTGAAACAGTGTTATAGGTAGCCTACTATAAAGATATTACATTATAAAGAACTTGATAGGCCTACCTTCTTGCATCAACATCATTTGATGATTCAGGTCATCCTTATCCTTCATTAATTGTTCTGAGTTCTTTTTCAAGTCCAGTTCTCTCTCCTTCATCTGAAACAAAATTAAAAATAAGAATATTTGTATTCAACAATACAGTCATAAAATGTTGAGGATGTAGTTTGAGAAAGATTGAAACAATTTAATTAGCTAGTCTGTACCCAAACAACCATCCTTGTTGTGATTGAAGGACTTAAATTTTTAATTTTCAAAAAGAGTGGTAAGCTAATGGTTGTAGCCTATATAATTGTGAAAATTTTGTCCCGTTACAATTAAAAATACATTTTTTTAGAATTTTTTTCAGGGAGTAAAAACGTAACTAAAATAATCAAATTCATGAGATACTCACCATACTAAGACTAGATTCCTTAGAAGCCATATCGGATCGGTGTTTGGCCAACAGATCTTTCAGCTCCAACTCCTTCATTGTCTTCTCTTTCTCCAGATCAGCCACCGTCTCCTCAGCTATAGACCGAGCTAGAGCCTGTCACATTACAGAAAATAACTAGTGGTCTGTGATGTAACAGGGTAATGATGCAAAACCCCATTAGCAGTCCCAAATCCATTAATAGGGAATATCACAAATAATTGTTGTACTTGTACTCAAGGTCAAGTCAATTGAGTCAGTATTTTAGATCATTAAAGTTTTATCACTTTTATTCCTCTACGACTTCCATTTATATCTAGCGTAATATTATGAGATTTCAACCCTATTTTAACATGAAAATAATAGTTTTATAATGACTAATTGGTTTCATATTACCTGTCGTCAGTTCCCAATTGTAATTTTCGTTACAACAGAAAACATGTTTTGAAAGAAAAATAGGTAAACATAAAATATGCATCAACAATCTCATAATTTACACAACCAAGAAACGTGATAGGTATACAGTAGAACCCCAGTTAACCGAATTCGGGTTAACCAAAACCCGGGTTAACCGAAACGGTTCCATAACATAATACAGGGCTGAAATATAAGTAATATGTAATGTAAAACGCTTTACTACTTTGCAGTTGTCTTAGTTTAAAGTATTTTCTAACCCATTGTAACATATTTTTGTAGCTGAAATAAAACACTGTAGCATTTATATAGGCTTTATTTTAAATTCATTTTTCTTATACACCGTGGTAATACATAGGGCATTTTTAGCATTTGACGGGTTAACCAAAAAATGTGTTATCTGAAATGGCTCTCCCCCCTTTATTTCGGATTATCTATCGCTAGAGTTAACAAACAACGCAACTTGTAGGTAGGGCAGGGGGGGGAGTTAAGGATTTCAAGGTCAAGATAGTTTTTGTGACTCGAGCCTCCAGTGAGAGGCTATAAATAAACATCCTTGTCTCATAAGAAAATGGTTGCTTGTTTCTTTAATTTTGACAAAAAATGTTATGTATTGTATTACGATAGATTTGACAAGCATCAATTAATTTACAGTAAGATAGATTTGACAAGCATCAATTAATTTACAGTACGATAGATTTGACAAGCATTAATTAATTTACAATGCTAAAGTTATTAAAATAAAGAGTTTTTATTGACCCTTTCCTAGAACTATAATTTATTCCACTGAAAGTGTTTGACGTAACCGAGTTTTGTGTTTATTAACTTTTCAAGATACTTTGTATTGACTAGTTCCATTGCATGTACACATTTTCTCAATGAAATCACTATCTCTCACCTCACTATCAGCCCGAGCCAGAGCTATCTGCAGCTGGTGAGCCAGAGACCCTCTCTCCTCCTCCAGCTCTAGGATGATACGAGACTTCTCCTCAATCTCCTCCTGTAGCTCCTGAGTCTGGGTCTTGTACAGAGCCTACAAACAGGTAGTCAATTACCTCAGTTCTGAATTCTGATAAATTCAAAATTGAAAGTCATAAATACAAAAGTGTTGACAAAAATGGAAGATTTTACAGAAAAATTATTTTGTAAGTTTAAAAAAAATATAATAGCTGAAAGAGGCCAAGGACACTTGAGATATGATGGTATCAACAACTCACAGAGAAGCATTGTTGGGTCTCAAACTGTTCTTGCAAGTCTTTCATATGCAGATCGTCCACAGACTTGGCAGTCTTGACTCTATGCAGCTCCTCCTCTGCAGCTCGTTTGCTCTCTCGTAAGCTGGCGACCTCGCGTGACAGCTGAGCCTCCCTGGCGCGTAGGTGAGCGACGTCAGACAGTGCCAGTGACACCTCTGACGCCAAGGCTGACTTCTTGACCTGCTCCTGCTCTATCTGGGACTGCAGCACCTTGGTCTGTCAATCACACGACTACAAGTGAGATACAGCTCATCAAAAATTATCTGAGTTCATGGATGGTTCATCCTAATTGATATTCAAACTAAGTACCGATATATTAATATTATATCAATCATTTCTCTTCAAAATCGTTAAAAGAGAAAACCCAACTTTTCCTCCTAAATATTTTTGGATTGTGTGGACGCCTGACGGACGTTTTAGCGAATTTCCCAATAGGGAAGTAACTATTACCGTAGGTGGCACGGTAAGACCTAGGCCCGGGACCGATTTACTTTTTAATTTTTATGTCCCCAGAGGTCAAAAACACCATTCGTTAAAATTTATATATATATAAACGCAATAAGTAGAGTATTTTTTGTCCGATAGGTTTAACATTTTGCGGTCGAATGGCAAGTATAGGTCGCCGCCCACCATTTTCCCAACTGCTCGAAAATGGCGACCTATACGAAAAAAAAAAAAAAAAAATTAAAAATCAAAAAAGTTTAATTTTGCTCTTGAATGGCAAGTATAGGTCACCCGGCGCCATTTTCCCGACTAGTCTAATGGCAAACTATACTCGGCAAAAAATGGGAAAAAAATTTGACCTCAAAGGGTTAAAGGTGTAAGGCGGGATAAACTTCAATGAGTTTGCGAACCAGCATGATCTGACCATGGGAACGGGGTTTTACGGGGGGTTTTATGGGGTAAAAATGGTTTTTATCATTTTTGACCCTCAAAACACAAAATTTCCTAATTACTCTCTAGACCTTTTTAAAGAGATTAAAAAACAAATCATTTAGTATATCAAAGTGTTTTTGGACAGTTATTGGTAACAGAGAAAATTTCAAAAAAATTTAAATTTAAAATTCCCATGCTATTCTTATGGAAATATTGTAAAATGTTGTAGTTTGCTTGTTTATGGATATATTTTGATCAAACTTGGCAAATTTATTTATTTTATACTAAGCTAATATTTTACAAAAAAAATCACACATTATTAGTTTTTGTGTAGCAGCAAACCTAGGTACTCATTAAACCTAATGTTATTTAAATAGGTTTAGTTGAAAATCTATTCAGACAAATGGAAATTTGCTTTGTCGGCAGGTTTGCTGCGGCGGGGGTATTTGAGGTTAGAAAATAGTACTTTTTTTATTTAAATGATCAGGTTTATATTTTAAGTGATGTTTGTAACAATAAACAAGACGAACGATGAAAATTTGATAGAATATTGTGTTTTAATTAAACATTTTTGACAGTAACAACACTGTAAATAAAGTGACGGAAGAGTGACTGAAACCTAATGACTGACTGTTTGACTGAGAAATTGCGAATGCAACTGTGACTGAACTGTAACCGAACTGAGACTGGACTGATATATGTGATTCGACCTTAATGGTAGTGTCGCTAATATTATTCACCTTCTCAATCTCCTGCCGATGTTCACCCTCCAGTTTCTGTAGCCGCTGCTGTATCTGCCGGTAGTCCACAGACAACATGGACATCTGACGTTCCTTCTCCTGCGACACTAGGTCTGCCTTTTGTCTGGCACCCTTCTCTTCATTCAGCTTGGCCTGCAGAGCTACCAACATAACACAGGTTTTATATCCATTTATGTTCTAACTAACTGTAACTTAATTTGCGTTTGAATGTGGTTTCTATTGACTTTTCAAAAGTTTAAGTTGGTTGCCAACGTATTAAAATTTGATTTTTAGTTTTTGTGAAAATATTTATGACTTTGAATGTGAACTTTGTGCAATTACATCCTGAATCCACCACTTATGTTTACATTCATTGAGGTGTATAAACATAGCATGAGTGGAGATATTCAATTTAAGTAGCCAACTTATTTGCTTGACTCTCCGTGAAAATAAAATAAAAAACTTTAAATCCTAAACTTGTTTTAAAGATATCCTTTAACTAGTTAATTTCATGTTTAGAGAAAGAATCAACACCCAAAAGAGTTGACAATCAGTTTTCAAAACTTTGATTATAAACAGTGTACATGTACAGTAATGTCTTAATATAGGTAAATAAATATAATCATTGCTACAAAGAATTTAAACAGGATGAAAATAGAACCATACTAATCACTCACAATTCTAGGAAACATTTGATTTGTGTAACACATTTTTTTATAGTTTTATATCATACCTGCCCTAAGTGATAGCAAACAGACAAAACATATGTATTTTTTTACCATACAAAATCACATTCATTTGTTTTCTACACAATATATGTTAAATATATGTAAAATGTAATATATTCATAATTCGTGCAAAAAGGGTTTAAATCAGACAATGTAATATAGGTCATTAATCCTACCTCGAAATATGCAATCCATGCGGTCTGAGGCATGTGCATATAGACATTTCAGAACAATAAGTTTTAAACAAATAACTTAAGACAGTTTCAATTAGACAACTTATTTTGATCATGGAAAATATGATAAAAGAAAGTACCTAAATCAGAAAAAAGGTAAAAATCCTTACTTAGTATGCAAAGATAAAATCATGAATCTTTTTATAAAGAAAAGAATGAACATAAAGGTTTAACAGATTCAAATACGGTTTGCTACCAATAAAATCACATTGATCACAGTTTCTATTTACTCATTTTTATTAGTATTTCAAGAGTGTGGCAGAACAAATTGAATAGAAAGTAATGCATGACCAATTCTTCTTTCAGAAACATCACAACATATTCTAAGAAATACAGTCTTGTGTAAATCCACAGACCTGTAACAACAGATCAATATTGTAATAAGGTTAAAGAATTCCCAGAATGCAATCATAATAAGATTTAAAATAATCTTGCCTTTGTTATTATCTGTAGGGAGATATCTGTCATCACAAAATAATAAAATGTGAAAAACAACCAATACAAACAAATAATTAATTTAATCAAATGAAATTGCTACCACAACTACCATAAAACAAAAATTATAAAAACATGTAAAAACCTGCCGTAGTTTGGATCTCCCTGGTTTATATAACTGCAATAGTTGATGTGACACATAAGATGCTACAGTTTACATTAAGTTGTCCTTTGATTTGCCTTCTTTGAAAAGTTGGTGTATTCAACAGGTGATAAGCAATTTAACCTAATACAACTTTATTATTAGAATGGAATGTCTAGTTCTATCAGTAGTCCATGACGGACGACTTTGAAAAGGACTGTCTGCATTCAGAAATGCCTGTTCTAGACAGTTGCTACTCATCAGGTCAAAAGCCATCACCGTCCCCTGAGTACATTTAATGCTAGTTGGGTCAAATTAGGTTGAAATAGATAGTTATTTGATACATTTAAAAAAAAAATAATCTAATGTGATACAAGAAATTATATGAAATATAACTAGCCTGGACAAACTAGTAAACTGATACCTGATGTAACCTGAACCAAATAATAAACTGAATCCCGCTGAGAAGGACGTAAAGGAAGTACGATATCAAGTTTTAGTTTCATACCAAGTAACAGAAAGTTATTGGTAATATAAGCGTGAAATCATATTACGCTCATTACAGTTCATTTCTGCATCCAGACAGTCATTTCTAAAACAGCTTTGAGTGTCCCTGTCCCAATGCGTTTGCTGATATATAGTGTTGGTCCATACCTTTGACCACTTCTATGTTGGCCTCCTCCTTGGTCAGCAGTCGGCTACGTTCTGTCTCCTCATGAGCCCTCACCTCCTGGTTGTATCTGTTGTGAGCTGCCTTTAGTTCCAGGGTGAGCGAGGCACACTCCTTCTCCAGTGTAGACACTCGTTCGTTCAGCTGCCGATTGTCCTCAATCACCTTGCCCTCTCGGTCACTTGCACGCTCAAGCTCGTGGTGCAGGGTGGCTAGTCTTGCTGTAAAAAAACCAGTGTTATAAAACTGCTCTTTAACAATTGAAACTAAACCAGTTGTATCGGTAAAATATGTTTAATTGCCTTCAACCCTCTGAGCCCCAGCAATTTGTTAATAGTTTGACTATGACAGTTTTATCATATTTATCTATTATCGTGTGAGCCAATAATTACAACACTTTTTATACACAGTTTTTTAGGATGAGCATAGGAGATTGCGTAGGCAGTGTGTTGTAGGAGGAAGCAGGACGTAAAATTGTTGGCTGTAAGTAATTACCAAGAAAAGTGGTAATCAGCAAGAAAAGTGCACTAGTAAATAAATATATAAGGTAAGTATGCAGGTGTCAAGTACTTTCAGTCAGCATCTTGTTGTCTCTGCTTCCCCAGTCTATAATCTGCTTGAAGGCGAGTGGCGGTACCAATAAAGCAGAAATGTCCCCCTGTGCATTTGACATTCTAGCCTGATCGTGTTTGATTTAAAATGCATTAATTTGTGTTTGCGAGTTGTGGTTGTTTTGTTGCTTGATTTTAGTAGCATGCTTCTGTTTGTTTGACTATGTTGTTTATAGCCTACCCTCCAGTTCCTTGTGTAGATCCGTGACGTGTGTGCGCGAGCTCTTCTCCTGACTCAGCTGGCCCTGCAATGTCGCCACCTCCTGCTGCAGCACGTCCCGCTGGCTCTGCAATGCTGCCAACACAACCTGCAGCTCGGCCACCATCTGCTCACCAGCCGCCTTGGCACCCTTCAGCTCTGTAGCCTGCTTCTTCAACCGAACCCCACTCTCCATCTCTGCCTTCAGTTTCTCTTGGACTTCGGACAGCTGAAAATCCCCACATCGATTGATGGCTAAAATTGTTAACTGTTTAACATTTCAAGTGGATAAACTTATTTATAATGGTCATCTGACCTAATGCTTTGTGATGTTTCAATTCAAAATTAATCAGTGACGAAAACCTGAATATATTAATGGCATTAGAAAACTGCCGTACACATGAATTACAAAAATAAAAAAAATATTTAACCTGGTTCATGATAGTGGTCTATATTGGATTGGTACAGTACCCCTCTTCATAACTGACCCTTACAAATCCGGGACTAGGTCGGATACTGTAGATGTACACACAACATTATTGAAAATAAAAATGTTTATACAGTTAATTACGTACATTCACATTTGAAAATTTGGATGAAAAGGTTAGGTTTATGGCAAAACTAGACTCCACAGACACAGTCCTATTTTATTTACTGTACTAAGGATATAAACAATTATTATTAAATTTCTTATAAACGATTCTCTAGATTCTTAGGGAAAGTTAGTTAAGCCAACCCCTATTTTGCCCGGGCAGAGACAGTAACAAGAGAGTCTGAATGAATGGAAATATTGCAATATAAATTTGTAAAATGTGTCTAGAACCAAAAAAGCTGTTTCTGAATACAAAGGCTGTCAAGTACTAAAGGCCTTGAACAGGAAGCCAAGTCGAATTCCATACTCAACCACCTATGCAATTTTTAAGGAGACAGTGTATGTCATTTCAATGAAATGTAAAGTATAAAGAAAATCAAATAATTTTGAGAAATGTATAATCAAACCACAAGCCAAAACAACACTAATTGCAAAACAAAAATATTTAGAGATTTTTAGTAGGCAAAAACAAAATTAGTTTAGTTGGTTAACACATAATGATTATTATCCAAATATACTAAAGAAAAACCTGAAATGGCTTCAAGAGGAGGGTCACTCTGAAGTAGGTACACAATACTACAAAGATGACCACTCAAAACTCTCAATTAAAAGTAATTGGAGACATGTTTAACTCGTCAAAAAACAAACATTTTGTTACGATCATTATGTTAAAATAAACTAAAACTCAAGACAACATCTGAGATAGTCACAGATATGTTATTCCACAAAACATTAATGACCTTAAATTGACTACTCAACTTGACTGCACTGACAAGTAAGCTGCAAAATAACAAATTACAGTAAATAACTTGAATAGTTCAAATTTACTTTTTTAAATAACACCTAACAAGACCTGAAGGTCTTCATCAACCAGACAATAGACAATAGACAATAGACAAAGCTTTATTGTACATAACGCCTGATACAATAATTACAAAAGTAATTCCCAAGCTGGTACATGGTCAATTTATATCTAATTTATATCTAGGTTCCTTAATCTAATTATACCCTGACAAGAGTAAAAACTATTACAATTTATCTTTAAAAAACGTCTGAATTTTGTAATACGCTTTTTGGCTCAAAGTCTCTTTCAGTTTATATGTAAAATTTGATTTTGATAAAGTTCTGTATGAATTAGGTAAATGATTGTAGATTTTTAATCCCATGTAAAGAGGCCCAGTTTCAAATTTTGTGTGCGAATGTTTGGGATATTGAAAAGTTTTGTTACTATTTCTCGTTTGATAGTTATGATTTATCTTATATTTTTCAAGAAAGAAAGGATTTGCATGAACATACTTTGCTATTTCAAATATATAAAGAGAAGGTAATGTTAAAATGGAATGTTTTTTGAAAAAAAGGTTTACAGCTTTTTTTAGACTTCTGGTGAAAAATAGTTCTGAGAATTGACTTTTGGCAAGTGAACACTTTCTTGGCCTCTGCAGAGTTACCCCATAGAGTGACGCCATAAGCCAGCAAAGAATGAACATACGCATGATATACTGTCAAGCAGACTTCTAGCGGCGTGACCTTGGATAGTACACTTAGTGAATACCTTGTTGACCTTAATTTTTTATTTAGATGATGAATGTGATCAGACCATCTTAATTTTGAGTCTAAATTTAGACCTAAAAACTTAACAATTTTTGTATTACTGATTGTGGTGTCTGTAACTCTGTTTCTGAGTTTAAATTGAAGAATGTTAGTTTTACATTCATTTAATTTCAGGCCATGGCTCTCAAACCATTCATTGATTTGTTTAATTGTGCTGTCAAAAGTTAATTTAAGTTCACTTAGTGTTTTTCTTTTTAAAAGAGCAGTTGTGTCATCGGCATACAAAGTGAAAGCACAGGAATTTGTGGAAAGGCAATTAGGCAAGTCATTAATAAATATAATAAATAATAAAGGCCCAAGTATGGAACCTTGGGGAACACCATATGTAACGCTGGCCCAGTTAGAATAATATTTTATTGATTTTTTTATTACTATTGTGCGCTGCTTTCGATTGATTAGGTATGATCGTAATAATTCTAGTGCCATTCCCTCCAAGCCAATATTCTTCAATTTGATCAGCAGCAACCTGTGGTCCACACAGTCAAAAGCCCTGGATAAGTCACAGAAAACTCCTGCAGTCAACTGTGACTGATCCAGAGCTTCAAGGACACTACTAATATAAGTAAAAAGAGCATTATGTGTGCTTAGATTTCTTCTAAAACCAAACTGCTCTTGACACAGTTTTGAGTTACATTCCAGGTAATTTGCAATTCTAAGATGAATAATTTTTTCAAAAATTTTTACCCCAGATTACCCCAGATTACCCATATTGGTTGACTTGTCACAGTTTCTCACATGCACATGCAATCTGAAGTGTGTGCTCATCATCTAAAAGATAGCGGTTTGGATGCTTGCTGGTCTTGATTGGAGAGACAGCTGGAAAGAGGCATTCAAAGACCTGAGGATTTTAACAGTTTTGTAAGCCTTTACCTGTTAGAGGTCATCTGCTTCGCTGCGTCAGCTAAATTGAAACGGAACGGAGATGTCCACATCCACAACACTGGGAATGTTTTAGACTTCAATATACCAACTCACCATACCAAGTTACAAGGTTTCAGCAGAAGCCCAACTACGCCGGAGCAATTCTGCTGGATGAGGTGAAGAGAACTAGTCCCGAGAAGCTCAAGAAGAGTCTAACAAACTGGTTGTTCTCATGCCCTTTTTATTTCATCAAATATTTCCAAGGACTGGGAGAATAAAATTTTGTAAAGCCAGACTAAATGTGACCTGTTTCAATTTTTTTAAATGACACAATTTTCAATCTTGATGATTGTAAAGTAAAGAATTTCTCTCTCTCTCTCTGTTTCTAGATTAATTTTAAATCCACTCACCTGTTTTTCCATAAAGTTTATTTTGTCATTGACTTGCTGGTTGTTATTCATTTCTCGAGCTCTTTTACTTTGTTCTTCGTCTAATTTTCTTTTAATTTCTGCTAGTTGTGCTTCTGTTTTTCTACGGACTTCTATTTCGTTTTCAATTCTTCGTTGTGACTGAAAGTTTAAAAAACAATGTACATAACAATAGATCATTTGCAAAGTAAGGCATTTATCGAAAAATTAAAAAATAATTTATTGTAATCCCAAAAAATCCATCATGTTAGAAAATAGTACATTTGACTATTAAACCAACTAGACATTCCATCCCCATTTTAAAATTGTTGCCAGTTTTTAAAATTAATATGGATTTAGTTGACGTGAGCCACAGACAGATTGCACTGATACAGTACTGTTTATTCACTATGTTTACTATTGTATTAAATAAACACTGTATTTTACTTTATAAGCATTTTTCACTTTTCCCGTAACAATTACAATCCATTATAGCAAAGTTGTAGCTATTGTTATGTAAAAACAACAATATGACTGTTCTATAATGCAAACTATTCAATAGTCCGAACTACCCCCGGTCCCAGTAGTTGGATTAAAGAGCTTCTAATGTAAGTCAAACTGATAGGATTGTAAGCTATTATCAATTCTTGAGCCCCATCAACTATCTCGTTTGGAAGGAAAAAGAACAAAAATAGAATTTTAGACACTAGCGCAATCTATGAATAGCTGACAAAACTATGTTCCTTTTTTATAAAAACTCAACGACAGCTGGTCCAAATAAATGGGATGACGATGTCTACTTCAGTAGCCAAAAGTCCAGATAGTAATACATAGCCATTTCAATTTACATAAAATGACTAACATAAAAACTCTTGAACCTGTGGTATGTTGTGTTGTTTGGTCTTTTTGTACAATTTATAACAACTCATGTGGATAGTTTTTGTTTCCACCACCACTCTGAGTTAAACTGGGTACTCCTGAGTTAAGTGGGGGGAATAACTCCAGGTACTTTTGAGCAACCTGGTGACAACTCTCTCACTATTTGATCTTGTCAACAAGAAAAAAAACTTGTAAGATTAAACCGTGTAGGGTGCAAACACATTGCTAACCTCCTTGAGATCGTGCATAGCCATGGCCAGCGACTTCTCCATCCTGGTGGTCTCGTCCCTCAGCTCTCCCTCCCGCTGTGTCACCAGGTCCAGCTGCTCCAACAACACTCGCTGCTTCTCCTCCAACACCTCCACCTCCCTCCGCCCTCGCTCCAACAGCGTCTGCAACTCTCCGTTCTGCTGACTCTGCAACAACATTCTCGCTAGAACAATCTAGTCCTCCTACTCTCATTTATACTAATTATTGACTTCACATTGTTTGAGGTAACCTTTAAGGTAAGATCTTTGTATATTTACTCAATCTTTAAAACTACCTAGTTAAAGAGCTGTGACGCAAAATTCTAGGGGGGGAATAAACTAGTATTCACCTAAGTCAGGCTAGGCCTACCCTAGAACCGGCCACACTCAAATTTCTTCCCCGGAGTGCTCAGAAGGAGCCGAGAAAAATCCAGGGGTCGATACGAAGTTGTCACGGCTTTGACTGATCAATTTATTTAAAATTTAATCGAAGGCTCAGAGCTCTAGAAGCGCTCAGGAAATCCTGCAGACGCCCAGATGGAGCTATGTCATCCCAGCCTTCGTTAACGTGTTGTGGAGAATTTTGCCTAACTTTTAGAATGACTCTGTAGGGCCGACGAGTATCCAATCTTAAGCCAATGTGATATAAATACTCGTAACGAACTTTAAAATATTTAACTAAAGGCCTAGGTAAATAATACGAAATCGAATATAATGTAAAAGCACTCCCTACAGAGACGTCGGGGCCTGATTAATTTAATTGGACGGATAATTTGACGTGAGATGATTTAAAACAAATTTAGTATTAATTTACGTAGCTGATTGTTCAAATCAGCCCGCTCCCAAGACTTGGTTCTTTCACCCGCCAAAGACGGGGTTTAGAACTTGGACGACAAGTCTCGGGGTATTAAAACGTCGAATCGACTAGAATAAATTTAAGTAATAACTAATCGTTAAACGAACAGAATAAACGTAATTTCGTAGCAAATTAATTTAAACGAACCGAAAGATATCCACCGCTAGTCACTGGCAGGCAGGAACTGGCGGGTTTTATGCAAGTCGGCGAAAACTAAATTAATAAAATTTAGAAAATTAAATCGAATTTAAACGGGTAAAAATGAGTGGCAGACGAGTATACGTATATTAAAAGAATAATAAAATGAACGTTAGAAAGTCTAACAACGAAGTTAGCTAACCTGAATCAATAACGTAGAATCGTATGGCGTGATCGTAATTTCGCAAGAGCTTCTCGTGAACAAGTCGACGGTTGAACAGCGAATAATTCTTGTCCGGCTCAAATCATGATTTCCTCGGTCGAGGCTTAATCGCTCTGGTGGTGAGTTCGAGAACTAGCCAACAGCTGATCGGAAATTCACCTGTTGAGCCGGTCTAGTTGTCGTCTGTCGTTGGTCAACAAACACCATTTTGAGGTTAAGTGATGTTGTAATCGGCGTTAAATATTCGTAAAATCGGTCGTTTTAACTTTATTATGTGAAACGGAGTGCTATTATGAATAAATATGTAGTTGTGGGTGTGTTCGTGTACTTCACTGTTATCAAAAGTAGGCCTACGTTCTTTGGCCCATAGCCCAAGCTAGGGCCAACACATAGGCCTAGGATTAGGATGTTGTGGATAAAAATCGGGTAAGTTATGGTGTTTGTTGACTAGCAATACGTTTTTACCCCCCTTAAAATTTGGTACCTCACAGAGCTGATAATTTTCTCAATTCCCTTTCATTAATTGATCATGGTTTAACCAAAGCTCTCAGCCTATATCAGCAATTTGAAGTTTATTTTTGGTTTTTAGGGTCTTTGCTAATAAGTTAAAAAAAACAAGTTTTCAAGTGGTTTTTATAATCTAGCATCTCAGTCTCACTTGAGCTATATTGTGCAGATGTGTCCATTGTGTTTACCTACCCTCTTTTTCTACTACTTTTTGTTGTCGTTAGAAGAATTTTTGTCTCTTGTTTGGATTACAGTAACTCCCGATTAACCGAGATTGTTGGGACAGAGACTACCTCGATTACCGAGAATCTTGGATGTCACGAAGGTTGCATAGAGTTTGATGTTAGGAGTTACAGTACCACATTAGAAAGTCAAGTAGGCCTACTTGTAAAATATCTTTAAACAATATATAGCCAATGAAAAATGATTAAATGTAATTTTCATGCATTTAAACTTTGTTAATGAGTAGCCTATAATTAAAGACATAAATAATACAACAAACATGCTAAACACTTCTTCAGTCGTTTTGAAAAACTTTAAACGTACAGTATTATTAGAATTATGATAAACCAACTCACTAAATTATCTTTGTTGTTTAAAACGCATAAAATTATCAAGTTTTAACTGAGCTATAGTTTGACACAACCATGTCTACATCAAAGCATCGTAATGACCAACATTGCTATTGTTTGTTCTGCAAACAACTCTTCCAGGTTGCAACCTAGTACTATGGGATTTAAGTTTTCAAAGTTATTGCGGACTATTCTTGTGTTAAAATATTCTGTGGTTATTTCAAGTATTTGTTTCAACAAATCACAAATTACCCGCTATTTTTACTTTTATTAATCCTCCTATACTATAGTAAAATAATTAATGTTTTACGACCGAAAACTAAAATAAATATTAAGGTCCATAACGACCTCAATATAGGGAGTGTACTGTGTGGAATTTGTTTGTGATTTTCTAGCTTTGGGTGGGTTAGCACATGTTTTAGTATTTTCCCATCAGTAAATGGGAAAAACCAGATAAAAAACTTTGTTATTTACTAAATTGACATGATATTGTCCAAACTGACTTCTCATCCTAATGTAAAATTTTAATCTTGTTTAGATGTGTGCAAAGTTAAATATTGTTTAGCAAATTGTTCAAAACGTGTTTTACTTTTTAGTTACAATTCCAGAAGTCAAGCAATAGTTTACAAATAATAATCAATTAAAATAGGTTTAAATTGGATCTAAAATAACAAGGAGTAAATTGTAACCTTCAGGTAATAGTAAAATTAATCATTGTTTCACACATCTAACGTTTTACATCACTCAGCTTATATATAAAGTGAAAGCCTTAACTTCTATCAAAGTTACTAACATTAAAAAGTTTATGTAGGCAAAGCACTTACCATATCCACCTTCACCAACCGCAGCAAGCATGCAAGAAAACAGAGTTCAGTCAGTACACAACTAATTATATAGCGTATCTATGAAGGAATCCAAAAAAGATGTATACATATGCTTTCACAATGGCAATAGTTTTTAAAACTTAAGTTTATTCATTTTTACAGTTTGTTTCAGCATGTTGATAAGGTGTTAACTAGGAGGAATTTATCTCAAATTATTGAAACATTAGCTTCCTCTGGCAATGCTAACCAAAATAGAAAGAGTAAGATGTTGAATACTGAATCTAACATGTGTGCATTTTAAGATCAATCAAGTAAGAGGGAAATGCTGAGAGATTTTAATGTAAACTGTTAAACTATATACAAAGTAGGGGTGTGCAATGCATAAAAAACGCAATGAAATTCCGATTCGATTCGATTCGATGCATTGATGGTCAAAGAACGATTCAATTAATGATTGAGTCAGTATCTATATACGAAAAACGCCTGCAGAAAGTCAATGCAATACATGCAATACAGGAGCGCGTTGTTGTTGCCTTTCATTTCATATTATATTCATATTCAAACATCTTTATTCGTAAATCATGTACATTGGTGGTACAGTGAATAGTGTCAGAATACTTAAAATAAAAATACTATTTCTATTTATGGGAGGTGGAAAATTCATCAAAAGAATATAATGCTAGATTTATTAAATGCTCCTTTAGAATTTTCTTGAATTTAGATAGGTTTGTTTTTTTTTTATGAATTCAGGGACAAATTTTAGAAAATCATTACCAGCATATGAGGGTTTTTTTTCAAAAAATTTCAATTTGTGAGGCTGGACAAACTCCCTTCTCCTCCTAAAATTATAAGAATGCACTGAATTTATTACTTGCTCAGATTCATTTTTTTTTTGCGATAAGAATTGTTTCATAAATATATTGCCCATAAACTGTAAAAATTTGTAATTTCTTAAAATGTTCTTTTGCCGAATCATCTCGTTTAAGCTTAAGCATAATTCTGATAGTTTCTTTTTGTCGCTTCAGAATACTATCCATATTTAATATTTTTGTTGACCCATATAATGCTAAACCGAATGAAATATGGGAGTGAATGTGTGCAAAATATATACTTTTTAGGGTTTTCAAATTACAATAAAAGGACATTTTTGATAATGCGAACATTCCAGAGTTAGTTTTGGTTAAAACTTTCTGTGTGTGCCACAGAAATTTGCGAAGGCGTTTTTATTTAATCAATTATTCTTTGCATGTAAATATTGCTTTAATTGTTTTATAATTTTTTGTTACGACATTGCCAATGATTAGAGGTTTTGTTAAGTGTAAGCAGTGTGAGGCATATTTTACTAAACATAGCCAGTAACAACAAGTGACTGCAAAATCATTCTAAAAATAACACAAGACTGAAAATTTGTTACTTGATACTTAACTAGTAAGATTGATGTTTTATACTGATAAATTTGGTATTTTTGTAGGTCTGAAGCTATGTATACCTTGAAGTTTAAAGGTCTGATTATATCCTCTCATTTTGTCAATGTAAACCAATTGAAAGTTTCAGTACAGTATAAATCTTGCAAATGTTTTTATTTGTTTACACCAAAACATAACTTTATTTGTAAAATCAATATTATGAAATAGGTAACATGCTTAACAATATGATTCTGCAAGTAAAAATTATGAAATAGGCAAGTAAAGCAGCTCACTGGCATTTCCAGCAATACAGGTTCTTCTAATATATGATTTAAAATAAATATTTTTTCATCTAAAATTCATTTATGCCATAAGAATGAATAGGCCTGATAACACATCACATCATCAAAAATTTGCATTACACAAATGTGGTAAATTTTAATTAGCCTATTTTATTTTGAAAACTGAGTTTATAATAAAGTTTGCCTATTAGACGCAGTAACAATAAACTTATATTTATGATTTAAATAATAAGTTACTTAGATCAATAGTGTTGTACATGTACATATAAATGATTTTACATTATCCTTTTAACACTTTAATGGCTATTTAGTTTTTAATTTTGATAGATGATATTTTTTTTTACTCGACAAAAATTGTTACAATATTCCCTCTTGCACAAATCATTATGCCAATTACTGATATAGAATTTATAACATATTTGTTTTTAAATAATTTTCACATTAGCTATAAATATTTCTCTTTTGTTCATCTAAGTTACTTCATTCCATTGACAAGTATGAATAGAAAAATGTCGTATTGCTTCAAATTGAGTTGCATCGATTCAAATCTAAAACCTTTAGAATCAAATCGTTGTTTCGAATCAAAAGATTTTTGCTGCTTGGCACACCCCTAGTTATTATTGTCTTCTAGCATAAGACGTGTTATTATTAAATTTTAGATTAGCTAAATAAGCTTTAATAATTATCACAATACTCACCGTATCTGTACAATCTCTGATCGCACTCTTTATTCCGGAGTTGCTTAGTAGCCTGAAAAACCCATCATCTATTTATTATCTTACCTACTGTAATAATAATAACATGTAAGTACATATATTAAAATAATAGGAGTAATAATGTATTTCGGTACTTATTTAAAGTCCCTAGATTGGTGCTACCCTAACCTTGCCCAATGTTATCTACACTCCGACTACTGGAAACGCTCCCCCTAGCATTGCCGACGGCGTCATGGGCAGACGTCCCTACATTTTCCTACATAATTTTACGTAGACTTTTTCAATCTCATCAATTCACAATTAACTTCATTTTTGTCAGTTCTAAGTTTTCTCAATATACCAGTCATTTTTAACTTCACCAGTGCTAGTCATTTCCCATGTTGTTGCCCCCGCACCATTGGTCTACACCGCTTCCATCCCCTGGACTACACACTACCTTGGACGAGACGGACATCATCCACCTTCGAGACATCCGACAAGGTAACGGTAGCACCAGCATTAATTTTGTTTTGTTTAAACTGCCATACGGCTTTCCGCTAAAGACCGTACAAATGTTTATTTTATAAGCCATTTTGTAGAGCTTAAAAAACAACAACAATAATTTAATAGATTGAAGCGTTGTTTACACTAAAGCAGGGTGTCTACTAAATTCTGGATAAAAATTCATGGACAATTCCCGTACATTTAAGGACACTTTGTCGTAACCTTTGTCGGTGTGATTACCGAATATATTTTCCTGATTTGTCAAACTGGATTAATCTTGTTCTTCACTGTAGTTGTACCAGAGAGAAAAGTAAGTAATAATAGAAAAGAGTTAAATTTCAAAATAGAAATTTATCAAATGAGACAAACATTTACTTTGGGTAAAGCTTTATAGTGTAACAGAGAAACCAAATCATCGTCTCCCAGATAACAAAATCCTGAATATCTCCATCGGCCACGAAAACATCATCATATCATATCCGATGTATGCGGATTAGCCCAATCTAATACAGGAGAGCGTTCTTGTTTCGTTTCCTTTGCGAAGGGGGTTTTTGATTAATTCTTTGCATGTAAATATTGCTTTAATTGTTTGATAATTTTTTGTTTTAACATTGCAAATTATGAGAAGCAAACTTCTCATAATTTTTTATGTCAAAACAAAAAATTATAAATATACATATTTTACTACTGTAAACATAGCCAAAAGAAGTCACTCCAAAATCATTCTAAAAGAAACACAAGTCTGACAAATTGTTACTTGATATTGATACTTAACTATCTTGGTATTTTTGTAGGTCTGAAGCTATGTACACCTTGTAGTTTGTAGGTCTGATTCTATCCTCTCATTTGATCAATGTAAACCAATTGAAAGTATCAGTATAAATCATAGATATGTTTTTATTTGTTTACATCTAAACATATCTTTATTTGTAAAATCAATATTATAAAATTGGTAACATGCTTATCAATATGATTCTGCGAGTAAAAATTATGAAATAAGCAAATAAAGCAGCTAACTGACATTTCCAGCAGTACAGGTTCTTCTAATATGATTGAAAATAGGGATGGACGGGTCCCGAAATTTCGGGAATTTTTCGGGAAAAAAATATTCCTGATTATCGGGACGGGATTACATTTGACTCGGGAATTTTTAGGGACGGGATTTGGTCCGATCGTCGGCGATTTTTCCGCTTCGTGAGTGCCGATAACGCCGTTATTGCGAGCGATAGGTCCGCGAACGCAAGAGACGAAATCGTTTCGACGATTACGCCGTGACCGCGGAGTCATAACGACGATCGCCCCGTGGCCACGATTATTGGACCGACGATCAGGCTGTGACCGCGGAGTCATAACGAAGATCGCGCCGTGACCGCGAAGTCCTACCGACGATCGCGCTGTGACCACAAGTCATACCGACGATCGCGCCGTGACCGCGGAGTCCTACCGACGATCGCGCCGTTACCGCGGAGTCATACTGACGATCACGCCGTGATGGCGAGTCATACCGACGATCGCGCCGTGACCGCGGAGTCCTACTGACGATCGTGCCGTGACCGCGGAGTCCTACCGACGATCGCGCCGTTACCGCGGAGTCATACTGACGATCATGCCGTGATCGCGAGTCATACCGACGATCATGCCGTGATCGCGAGTCATACCGACGATCATGCCGTGACCACGAGTCATACCGACGATAACCCTGTGACCGCGGAGTCATACCAACAATCGCGCCGTGACTGCGAGTCATACCGACGATCGCGCCGTGACTGCGGAGTCATGCTGACGATCGAGCCATAATCGCGAGTCACACCGACGATCATGCCGTGACCGCGAATCATGCCGACGATAACCCCGTGACCGCGGAGTCATACCGACGATCGCGCCGTGACCGCGGGTGAGTCATACCGACGATCGCACCGTGACCGCGAGTCATGACGACGATCGCGCCGTGACCGTGAGTCATACAGACGATCACCCCGTGACCCGTGAGTCACAAGTTTCTATAGGTACCTGTAAATTGTTACCCATTTTTTGGTTTTTATAGATCAGTGCCACAAATGGTAAAAATTGATTTCTTATGTCTTTTTTGGCAACAGCAATACAGTACTTTCTTTTTATGCACAGAAAAAATCCCGTCTCGTCCCGTCCCGAAAATCGGGAAGGAAATAAAAATCCCGTCCCGTCCCGTCCCGAACTAAAAATTCAATCCCGTCCATCCCTAATTGAAAATAAATATTTATTCACCTAAAATTCATATATGTCATACATATGAATAGGCCTACCACATCAACAAAAATTTGCATTACACAAAATGTGGTAAATTTTAATTATTGTTATTTCATTCCATTGACAAGTATGAATACAAAAACGCCTAATTGCTTCGAATCGAGTTGCATTATTTATGGATATATTTTGATCAAAGTTGGCAATTTTATTCATAAATTTCATTAAATCTATTGACATTTTACTGAAAACACACTTTATTACCTGCCCTGTAGCAGCAAACCAAATTACTGAGCCATCTACTCACAACTATTTTCTTTTGTCTCCTATCGCCATTTTATACATGTTAAGAGCAAACTGAGTTTTAACGCCTACGAGAAAGCATAGCCTATTTGAAATAACTTACATGTAATCCCTTGAATAGGTGAACCCCACAAAGGGGAGGTGGTTGCCAGAAAAAGCCTTTGGCGTAGGAAAGTTTTCTTCTGGAGTTTCGTCTTTCTCCAGGTCGTCAAAGTGACTGGTGTCGTCATCTCCCGAAAGCTCAGGAATAACAGGTGGTGCACCTACGATTGAAAAATAACTGACATGACTTGTAAGAGAGCTCACATTTGGAACTTGAGCAAACCTCGTCATGATGGATTACCCTTACGTTTAAACTTTTGTTAAGTCTAACTTTCAAAGTATTTAGGGCCTAAATACATTTAGATCTTCATCATCATAGATAGGTTACTGTATTTAAATTATAAATTGTACAACATTTTTAACATGAACCATAATATTGGCAGCAAGACGCAAGACAGTTAAGTATTATCGCAACTGAACAATTTTTATCATATAAATTTAGAATTATTTTTAAAAGTATTTTGCATATTTTCATAGACCCGAGTTTAATGCATTTTTTATATTGCCATATATACATAAAATGTTCACAAGAACTAATAAGAAACTAAAGCCAATGTCAATTAAACTTTAGCTATATATGTCCGTTCTAACTGGAAAAGAAACATCATTTAACTAAGGAACTTACAATCCCTCAAGTTATCAAACGTCCATTGGTCGTTTTGAAAGAAAGGGTGAGACTTGATTTCTTCGACCCCATTTCTGCCTAATCTTTGAGTCCTGGAAGAGAAAAAAATCTATTTACAAATTGTCATTAAAAACCAAATTATCAGTTAAATTAGAAAAGAAAATTGGTAAGGCATTTAATGAATCTTGATCATATGTTAAAATTTTAATCATATGATAAAAGGAGGTTTACACACAATATTTTGACTGCTTATCACCTGAGATTATCAATTTATGGAGAAATCAATTTCACCATGCACGTAATAGCGATTTGTGTACAAAAGAGCGCAAAGTACGTCATTGGCGCTCGAGAACTGTAGATGGCCGCATTAAGCTTAGCTGAGAGCGGCCATACATTCAAGTACGGCAATGGCTGTTTGTGCTCTTAATTATGTTTGATTTTTTAAGGTTATTTTATTTGCTTAACGGTTGTTAATGTATCGTATCCACAGCTGTGGTTAGTTTAGAAACAACAATTGTGAAATCAGCTGATTTCACCAGCGGAAATGAGCTATTTTGCGTACTATTTACAGGCATGGCAATGTGATAATTTCCATGCAGTGGTAGAAAAACAGAATTTCTTTAAGGATTATCTTTCTCAAGGAAAGACAATAGACAATAGACCAGAGTTCTCCAACCTTTTTTACTCAAGGGCCACATAGACAATTTTTGAAAGAAATGCGGACCGGAACAGACCGTCAAAATTTCAGTGTAGAAGGGTAGACCCCCTCAAAATAACCCACAAAGAGGTAGTTTTCTAATACAGTAGACTCCCACTTATCCGGACTCCTCGGGACCGAGGCCAATCTGGATAACTGTTTTTCCGGTTAAACCGACATCCCCAAAAACTCGTTAAAACGGACCGTTTACTGTGATATTTGATATAAATTTAGGAGAGCTTTGTATTTAGACACGTGATCACTGGTCTCAAATCTTTACCAAGAGAACAGTCGTTTCAGTACCTCCCACTTCCTACCGATCTAGTCCAGTTAAACCAATGTGCTGATAAAAATTGTCCGGTTAAAGAGATGTCATTTCTGCCGATTGTAATCCGGTTAAACCGATATCCGGTTAAAAGGTGTCCGGATAAGAGGGAATCTGCTGTATAGGCTCATTGATAAAGTTTTTACATTTCTTTCTGATTTTTGTTCTTATCCTTTTGACTAACTGAAGTTCAGTACGCTTTTGTGAATGATACTGTGACCAAACAAAATAATTGACCTACCTGAAATAATTATTTATGGGTTTATAAACGGTGTTTGTCATAAATAAATCACGATCACTGGATATCATCACAGAAATTTTACTGATACCGCAATAGATGTTCACAGTGCAGTCATGCTCGCGGGAAACAATTGCCGTATCACTGAGACCGCAAAATATGCTTGCGAGTGTTATCACGACCGTAAGTGACGACCACGGTACTGCCGAGACCACGAAATATGCTCGCGAGTGTTGCCGCAATCGCGATTGACGATCCCATTATTACTTAGATTGCAACATTTACTTGCGGGTGTTGCCACTACCATGAGTTACGACCATGGTATCGCTGAGTTGCCGCGATCGTTAATGATGATAAAGAGACTGAAGCAATTACTTACGTTGTTGCCGCCACTTTGACAATCATTGACTTATACCAATTATATAAAAATAATTATTTCCCACTAAGCCTTCGCAGGCTGGATAAAACCTGTTCGCAGGTCTCATCCGCCCACTGCATTAGACAATAGACAAGAATTCTTTATTCATTTAAAGGTCAGTTCAATTGTACATTGAATAGTGTCATTCATAAAAATAAAATAAAATGCTGAATATGATTGCAAAGAGTGACTAATGCAAGATTTAACAACACAAGAAATTCTTTAAAGGTATAGTTTGTTATGTTGTCTGATAAAACACATAATTTTATGAAGTAAAAAAATCTAGTTAACACCTCAAACAGTTACGTCCAATTCTCTACGACTATACAGTGGGCAACTAAGACAAATCACAAAAATAATCAATATAATGGTTTTCTAAACCACATACAATACTTGAGCATTAACAATGGGAACACGGCATGTAACAAATGCAGGTCTGAAGAGACTGCACACCATTTACTTTGTGACTGCAACGCAAAGGAACGAAATAAGAGAAAGAACTTTCGAAACTTGGCAAGGAGTGGACACCAGCCTTTTGACAAGCTCATAGATAAAATACTGCAGTTCATCAGGCAACTCAAGTTGGACAGGTTTTGAAGCATTAAACATGGAGTGCAAAAAGCCCACATCTGACTCGCCTAGGGATAAAGTCCTCCTCGACTCATTCATTCATTAAATCGATTAATCAATCACGTTTCAAAAGACTTGACTACCTGTCAGTAAGAAAGCCAAAGATCAAACTCTTGGCCTGGTGTGAGATCTCAATGTCGGAGGGGAAGTGCAAGGAGTTGCGATGGTCCATGATCTTGCTGTAGGTGCCGACCAGGGAGTCAGCGTAGAACGGAGTGTCTCCAACCAACATTTCGTACAGAAACACTCCGACGCTCCACCAGTCACACTCTCGACCGTACAGTCCCTCGCCTCCCTGAGACTGTAGCACCTCCGGTGAGATGTAGTCCGGAGTGCCCACAGCTGTGTCTGACCTGACTAGACCGTCCTGTCAAACAAACAACTGATAGAAGTAGACATCCACGTTAAAGAGTAGGCAGTTTCATAATAAAAATGAAACTAGGCCTACTGTAGGTGAATTGAACCACTGAGAAACTGTGTTTATTAAGCCTACCGATTTCTGTTGAATAGGCCTAAAACAACTTTTTAACCAAGCTAAAAACTGAAAGGAAAGGATAACAAGGATAATTGATTTTGTATCACTTCAAAATAATATTAAATTAACCACAAAAGATCTGCGTTCAAAACAAAATAAACATACACAAAGCTATATGTTACTTTTGACTTACATCGTCCATTCTCATACAAGTTCCAAAGTCAGCCAGTTTCAGATGACCATCCTTCCCCAGCAACATGTTGTCTGGCTTCACATCCCTGTCAACAAGGTCCAGGTTCATCTTACACTCATATAATCCTTATAATCTAGAAAGAACTACTTTAACACACTAGCTGTGTTACTGTCCCAACCACCCATTGTTGTAGCGTGCCTTTAAAATGGTTTTCATCTTTAAGATTACTAAGTACTTTCTCAACCCATGATGGTCGATCACTAACATTACTTTTAAGTCCAAGTAGGTTTCTAAAACCTAGCCTATCTACGTAAAAAAGAAAAATACAGACATAATGTTTTGTTTAAAGTAGTGATTTAGACTACTCATACAACAAACAATAGGCGGGTCATGATGCGGAGAGAGGAATAGAAAAAGAAACAATAATTTGAATAAAACTTGCTTCTTTAGTCAAAATTTACAAAAATACTCCTATTATTTGGCAGAGTCCTAAAGTAGTGTAAAAAATAGTATCCTAAAAACATAGTACACAGCTGAGTAAAATGTTTAGGCTATATCGGTAACTGGTATTTCCAAGAATAGAGAAATTCCTATGACCATCAAAGTGTGTATGACCTAAACTAAAAATGGTAAAAACTCACCTAATTGTACAACAAAAAATGATAAGGCTATGTAGCCACATACCTGTGAACAAAGCCCATGGTGTGTATGGCGTCTAAAGCTAGAACCACCTCCGCACAGTAGAACTTGGCCCACTTCTCTGGGACATCGTAGTTGGACATCAGATTCACGAGATCACCACCTGTTATCAATAACAACATCAATTATATTATCGTTAATATAAGGTCAGCGATTGGTAAATTGTCATTGAACTGATATGTCATTACCACACAAAAACTGCCTTAATGTGTGGGTGGGTGGATGAGTTACTGTCACAGCCAAACATGCTAGTTGAATCTGGCACCAGGACAGTGTTCTTTACTTCTTTGAAATATATGTTTCAGCCTCTGAGCTGTGATATAATTTTACCTACGACCATTTTTCAGTACAGTTATTAGAATTGAAAAGTATCTCATAACAGCATTGTTTACTTTCATAACAGAATAGTTTTACTCATAACAACACGGGTAACAGACCAATGAGGTTCAAGGATTGAGAGAGGAGAAGTAAAATTGTAATGATTCGAAATTCAAATCAGCTGTTCAGGCCAATTTAATTGTTGACGTGTGCAGTTAGTGTTTGATACAATGTTTCGTTGCATCTCTGTCACTGGCAATGAGAGGTTATAAACGAAAACATAACCTCTTTTAGAAGTTATGAGTAGTGATTTTTAGTAATTAAAACAATGTCGTGGGTAAAGTAGTGTAGGCAACTTGCATAAATAATGTTAACGACACTCGTATAAGTTTTAAATTTTCTACTTGTGTCGTTAACACTATCTTTACGCTTTAATTGTTGCGTAAACTACTATAAAATAGGTAGAAGTTCTGTTCTAAAAATTCAACACAACACAAACTAAATTTTACATTTATCCAATATACAAAAAATAAATTATTAAATTAGACATAACATCTGATGATGGCATTACGACACAGGCATATCAAAATTTACAATAGATAGAGATGTAGACAAACAAGTAAATACTTATTTAAATTCTTTAGTTCATCCCCTAATTTTCTAGCTGGTTCATCACCCTACAAATATTGGTAAGTTGTAGTCAAAATCAATGTGGGGGGAAATCTACCCCTCCCCCATCAAAATTACAAATTTTGGTCTTAGGTTTATCTGTGAAGGGCCCAAATTAAAGTTGTTAGGCAGTCGACGAATTTGTACACAAAAAATGTGCATTAGAGGAAAAGGTTTATTTGGCAGTTGTTATCAACTTTTTACCTGGCATATAGTCCATCACCATATAGAGATACTTAGTATCCTGGAATGCGAAGTGTAACTGCACAATCCATTCTGAGTTTGCATGCGCCATTATATCTCGTTCCTCCCAGAAAAATGCTGAATCTGACCTTTTAATCTGTAAATCAAATTCATAATAGTCAACTTGTTTATAATCCTAGCTGAGAAAATTTTTTAGGTACAAATTGTAAAAGCATGGCATAAAAATAAAAATTACACTCCTAAAATGTTTGTTTAAATTAGCATGTTCAGAAGAAGGCCACAAGTAATTAAGATATGACTTGTTCAATTTTTTCCTTGGATCTTGAAGGTTCAAGATGTTAACACAAAAAAATAAAGTTCCACAATTGTTTGATTATGGATTTTAAAAGATTCAACGGCTGTTAAAATCTATACCTAATAATACACAAAAATTACATCCATTTTTATATTGTAGGCTACTTTTACTAACACGACTATTTTCCATTTATAAATAACTTAATTTAAAAAATACATTGTCACATTCATCTTATCAGTTACTTGTTGCACAAGATTTGCAACCCACTTACCATTTCAAATTTACTGAGAAGCTTCATTGCATAGACTCGCTGTGTTGCTTTATGTCTAACCTAAAAAAACCAAATACTAGGTTAGTTATTGATACATGCTCAGAATATTAGTACTGAATGAACTATGTTCAAAAGATAATCCATTGACACATATTTCTTATTATATAAAAGTTTAAAAATTTATTTTCCATCTAGAATTACAAGAAACTGTAAATGAAGATTAGCAATTGATAGATGCATGCCGTAAAACTTGTGATAAAACTTTAATTCTTGGTTATTATGATTACAGTTTTAATTCTATTATGAATCAAAAAGAACTGCAGATAGTTTATGGGCTAGTAAAGACCAAAATATATAATGTTAGAAAATAACAAACATATTTGGCACAAAGAAGGAATCAGCACCTACCAATTGCACTTCACCAAATGCACCTCTGCCGATAACTTTAATCTGAGTAAAATCTTCTGGCTTCATTCGCAACCTACAAATATCAGAGGCCACCCCATCATCTGCAAATTAGCAAAATCTTTAACAGTTAAAAATACTATGTTATATTGTATCTATTATATTTGTTTATATCCATACCACATAAATTACAAGAAAAACTAAATTCATGTATCATACTGTATTTAAATGAGAAATGTTTGGAACAATCTAATCGTTTCCTAGAAAATAATACCCCCGCCCCAGCAAACCTCCATTAACCTAGTAAGAAATAAAAGTATTTTCCAAAATCGATCAAAATATGTTCATAAACAAGCAAACTACAATAGACTTATTCTCCATAAGAATAACATGGGAATTTTAAAATTACAATTTTTTTGAATTTTCTGCGTAACAATTAGGCGCATAATAACGCTTCAATATACTAAATTATTTGTTTTTTTAAGCTCTACAAAATGGTTTAAAAAGAAATTGTGAAATTTTGTGTTTTTAGGGTTAAAAATGGGAAAAACCTATTTTTACCCCATAAAACACCCCATAAACCCCCGTTCCCATAGTCCGATCATGCTGGTTCGTGAACTCATTCAAGTTTATCCCGCCTTACACCTTCAAACCAAATTTTATCAAAATCGGACAAAAGGATGGACACATATATATATATATATATATATCTATATATAGATATATAAAAATTTGAACAAATGGTGTTTTTGGCCTCTGGGGACATCAAAATGAAAAAGTAAATCGGTCCCGGGCTTAGTTCTTACCATGAGACCTACGGTAATAGCTACTTCCCTATAGGGAAATTCGCTAAAAAACAAAAATTATTGAGTAACTAGGTGAATCCCGTCGAAATCGACGGTTACTCTTGAGGTTTTACGTAAAGTCAGCTAACTGCGATGGATAAAGTGAAGTTATTAAAATCTTAGGGAGGAAAACATAATTATGATTAAGACGATAGTGTACCGGTACCTTAAAAAACGTAGTTGATTAATTCGTTGAATTCAATATTTTCTGTCCTTTCATTGGCTTTAGGTTGCCCAAAAGGCTTTTCAGGAGTCTTACAATTGTTTCTTGTTCATTACTTTTGTTCATGTTAAAGCCTCTTTCACTATATGGGAAAAGGAGTTCATATAATTGCTCTGTCATCTGACGGAAAGAGTCAATATTACTAAAATAACTGGTTCTATCTGCTTTGGAAAAATCATTCAGATCGTATTTGGATTGTATAAGTAAATCACCATCATTGGTCATAAAAATACAGAATTTTATCAGCGGGAGGCTTATTTCTTTTTTGTATTTGATAAAAATATCTGATTCTCCAGAATGCAGTAACATTCTTACTTCGATTTAAGCAATTTTAATTCCTTCTCTTGCCACATCGACCCATGTATTTAATCATCCTGTACTTACTTGCTAATTAACTTATGGAGTAGTTTTGCAATGGCCATATCGATCACATAAAGCTGTGCATGTATTTCGTGAATGGAATGAACCATAATTGTAAGAAATTTGACCACAAATCCTGGACATTTGCGGAACCATCAACCACCAAATCCATAACCTAGTCCTATCTTGGTAACAAATTATGCAAATGCGATGAGATGTGATGGCACTGTTGTGTTTCCGAATGTTTTGTATGTAGTGAGGTTTAAATGCGTTGTTCGACCTAGCTAGATGTGTACATCAAATTAAGAACCCTGTACAATTTTTTTTAAATACCTGAATTGACATTAATTTACCTACTTCACCAAAACCATAGATGAAACAGTCCGTATCCAAAACTTGGACACAGCTCTCATTCTCAACGTACTAATCTATGACACAATTTTCAACCCGATTATCGAAAACTTTTATACCAGTAAATGAATTTCTGGTCTTCTTTCTTGAATTCAATAATATTCTTGAGCCTTACAATATGTATAAGCTAACCCGATAAGGAATAATATGTTCCTTTGAAACTGATATGTCGCACTGATTTCATAATTTCAAATTTTTAAGAGCAATAAAGCAAAGATTTTTTTCACAAAACATTTAAAACGTATCATAAATTCATCATTTTGTTGAAACTATAAAAAAAACTTGCCACGCAGTAGAGAATCAATTTAAAATCATAAATAATAATGTGTAAACATTTAATTTTGACAGTTTCAGTAGACCTTTGAATACAATTTTAATATTAACAGCTAGTTCATAAAGTAGTGTAAAATTATTCATATGGTCGTAATGTAAACAAAACTGCTGAGTGAACTTTGAACTCTGGCCTCTGGGGCAGAGCCCCAAAGAAATTTACCTCGTTTCTCTTTTGAGGGCTCACCTACAGGCCAATACCTTTCTTTAGACACCGCTACCAAGTTTCTACACTCAGCCGTTCTCATAAATTAGCTGTGACAAAACCCCCGTTTTTACTCCGTAAGAATAACATGGGATGGAAATTTAAAGGCCACTGGGGCAGATCCCCGAGGGAATTTACCACGTTTCTCTTTTGATGGCTCATCTACAGACCAAGACCTTTCTTTGGACACCCCTACCGAGTTTCTACGCCCAGCCGTTCTCTCAAATTAGCTGTCACAAAGAAAAACAGTTTCAAATTAATATATAGATATTTACTCCCAAAGAGCTAGCCTTTCTTTTTATAAACAGCTGTTTTTTGTTTTTAAATTTGTTCAATGTATTTCTTATGGGGAAAACCCGACCTTTGAGAGGGTCTCACGCCCTTAAGAGTAGAAATTTTAAAGTTCTAAAACCTTATTGCAAAACTACATATTGAGACGAATCTTTTGACACCTTAAAAGTTGAAATTGGTCCACAAATAAGGGAGGAGTTGCGTTAACAAAATACGGCTTCACGTATTATATATATAGATTTTAATTGTTATAGGCTAGTCCAATAAATCTAATATTTAAATTGCTTGCACAATGTTTCTTAGAACCTAGACTGTGATATTTCAAACTAACTAACATCTAAAAAAAACATCTTATCTTAATTCAAATAAGGAGCTCAACTTATTTTACACAACTTTCTTTGGTTTTAAAATTATATTCTTAGGTATTTTGTAAACTTCTGCTCCGAATAATCATCACAGCTAAATGTAATGACAAGATTGTCCTTTAAAACTCGTTAAAATCTAAGTGTAGTAAAGAGAGAACCATTTCCAACTACAGATAACTTGGCTCACTAGGCCTACTCACATCTTTGCATGTAAGACTCCACATTCTTCATCCTTTTGACTGCAGGATGACCACAGTCTGACACCAGAGCTTGAACTGTGTCCTGAAAACAGTAGGCCTACAGTGTCAGTATAAACTTTAACTAGATTAAGTAAAACTAGTTTTTAGCAGATTCACTTTGCATTCAAACCATTTATACGCACAATGTACTCCCTTATAGATTTATCATCCTTACGCTCCTTTCACACTATACGTTTTCGCTCGTGCGGTTATTAGTCGTATTTGTTGTATCGCATTGGAGCTTATAGCCCCTTTCACATTATACGATTACCAACCGTGTACGATTTTCACCCGCGTAGCGACCGTAGGTGCACACGGTTGGTATCCGACTCCCGCACGAGTAATAGTCGTGTCTACTGCTAGTGGACCATGTGACCATATGGCCCTTTTCACACTACACGGTTGTTAGTCGTGCGGGAGCCCTCCCCGAGTGCATTTCGCAGCGTTTTTGCTATATAGTTTTTATTTCGTTTTTCAGTTTAATTGTTTGGTTATTGAGTTTAATTACCTGTGCGCACTGTATAGTATTATATTATAGTATAGTTCCTGAACGTCGTATTATTTCTTTGAAGATCACTTTTCAACTTATTGTAATTCGTCGAACGATTCTTTCGACACACGAAAATAGTTAAAAAAAACTTGGCTTCATCTTTCCTAAAATCTTCGAATAATGTAATATAGGTTTAAATTACCTGTTTTCTGTCAAAACGATCAGTTTAGAAAACAGGTAATTTAAACCTATATTAGTTTATTCAGACGATCTAGAGGCCATTCCATCATGAAATTCGAATAATGTATTAAGCACACCCACTTCCTCACGTTTTACATTTATGGGATGTACCCAGTGCAGACGGCCGCGTTTATTTCTTTTCCTGCGTCTGTAAATAATTAGCGCGGCAATAATTTCCTCCCGATCCATACTCAACAAAACTTTCAACTAAAGTATCAATGAACTCTGTACTAGTGGAGTGGGGGGTTTTGATTTATTACTCGTACGATTACAAATCGTGTAGTGTGAAAGCAACAGACCCACGACCGTCTGCCCGCACGATTAACACTCGTACGAGCGAAAACGTATAGTGTGAAAGGAGCGTTATGGATCAGCTGAGGGAAATTTAGAAATATGCAAAATATTCTCTTTGTTTGTTGTTCATTTACAAACTCAAACCATGAATAAACTTTTGCAGTTTGTTCTATATACACAATGAAATTAAAATTTGGTAAAGTTGCTATAGGCTACATCTGAAAAGTTTTTCTAATTTTAGTAAGTTACAAGTTCCATGTCTTCCCCATCTTACTTTGGAACAGCTTTATGATAATAACTATAAATTACTCAAATCTGTTCCGTTTTGTGAAACTACAAAAGTTTTTCAATTAGAAAAGAGAAGATTTTGAAGCCATGAAAGGAAAGCTTACCAACAAACAGTCAACATTTGTAACGCTCCTTGGGTCTTGAATTTTTTCTTCGAGTTCCCGAAGTCTACGTTTTCTATCATCATCTATGATGTAGATATCCATTGTTGCTTTTATGTTGCCTAAAAACAGAAAATTAAAAAATGGACTTTTTGATAGAATGCATTTTACAAGTTGGCGCTATTGTAAAAATATAATAAATACAATTGTTGAACAATATGTAATATATTAACACTTATAGGTAGGCTAATGTTTTAAACATTTACAAGACAATAAAAAAGGTTACAATGCAATTCTAAGATAGTTAGATATTATTATTAGTAGTTATATTTACCGGTACCGTCTTCTAAATAGCCTAAATGTTTACAGTGTAGGCATAGCATAGCCTATGTGTAAATGTATTGAATTGTGTTGGAATAAGTATTTTGCTTATTAGGTATATTCCTATTTAGAAACGATAGCCAATTTTAATTTAAATAGTCATAATTAAGTTAACTAACGTAAACTTCATTCATATATGTAAGTTCTCGTTAAGTTCCTTGAGAGGCCCTTAGCATCTTTAAAATATGGATGAGAGAAAATGCACCTTAAAGGCTTTTAATCAAAATTAAGACACAATAGTTAGGTATTGATAGTTTAGGCTTTGGACTAGGGGTAAATAGTTTATATGCCACTTAAGCATTGGGAATGAATAATAACAACTTATGCCTTGGAGTTAAAACATTTTGCTTTGGATTAATATTACGAAGCAATATATCAGTGCTCGCCTTTCCAGACGATGTTGTACTGATGGCAGAAAGCAAAAACTGCCTTACAGGCTTAAAGGACTTAACATCAATGTACAAAAGGCCAAATGAAATCTGGACCATCCTAGAAGCCTCTCTATTGATTATCTTAATTTTGAAATAACACAATTTTAAATAGGTACCTTGGCACGATAAAAAAATTAAATAAAACCGAACTAGCTGAATGTTTTGTAGAGAATGAAATTAAATGGAGATTATAAGAGGAGAAAAAAAAATGAACACACTTTTGGGATAGGAGAACAAGCACTGTTTTATTTACTTTTTGATACACAACATGTGTTAGCAATAGAGAATAATTTAATTTGATTAAGAACACATGTTAGTTGCAAGGAAAAGAGATGTACATTAAATAAAACATAGAGTGTTAAATAATATGAATGGTTAAAGTTTACTGAACATACCGGGGGCCTTGAATCCCCAGTGGATTCAACAAAAACAGTTCACGAATCCACAGTTGGCAGGGGAAACACTTTGTGGGCAGATCTTCTGAGGTTGCCACTTGATGTTTTTAAGTCTATCACTCGCACAACCCCATCAGCCCCTGGATGAACTGCTGTAATTCGAGCGAGAGGCCACGAGAGAGGTGGTGAGTCCATATGTACCAGAACAAGGTCACCCACTTCAAGATTTTTTGATTTCCGAGTCCACTTGGTACGTTGTTGCAAGTTGTTTAAGTATTCTAGGTGCCATCTATGCCATATGCGTTGATGAAATGCTTGAACTAGCTGCCATTGCTTGAGACGGTTTTCAGGAACTGTCAGGAGATTAGGTTCAGGTACTGCTGTGAGGGGTGCACCAATCAGGAAGTGTCCGGGAGTCAGTGCTGCGAGATCCGAAGGATCATTTGAAAGAGGTGTCAGTGGTCGGGAATTGAGCATTGCTTCGATTTGGGTCAACAATGTGATGAATTCAATGAGTGTTAAGACTGAGTTTCCCATTACTCGACGGAGATGATGTTTCACATTCTTTACAGACGATTCCCACAATCCTCCTTGATGCGGAGCGGCTGGTGGATTAAAATGAAAATTGATGCCTTTAAGTGAAGAGAATCGTTGAATCTTCCGTTTGGAGTCTTGACAATAAAGAGATTTTTCAACAATCTTGCGTAGGATAGAGTCAGCACCAATGAAGTTGGACCCACAATCCGAGTAAATGTCGGAAGAATGTCCTCTGCGAGATACAAATCGAGTCATTGCAGCAATGAAAGATTCAGTCGTTAGGTCTGTTACTACTTCCAAATGTACAGCTTTCGTGACGAGGCAGATGAAAGTACAAAAGTATGACTTTATGTGTCTCACTGCCTTGAGGTTGAAGATTTTTACAGTAAAAGGTCCTGCATAATCTATGCCGGTGTGGAGGAAAGGTCGAGCAGGAGTTACACGAGACTGAGGGAGATCAGCCATGAGAGGACACACATTTCTAGGTTTGACTTTGAAACATCTGACACATTTATGGATACGAGAGCGTATGGCACAACGGGCAGACAGTATCCAAACATGCTTGTAAAGTAATGCTTGAGTAAGCTGAGGGCCTGAATGAAGATTGTAGATATGGTAGTGGTCAATGAGAAGATTTACCACATGATGCTTTTTTGGCAGAATAATGGGATGTCGAGCATCTTCAGGAAGTGATGTCTGAGAAAGACGTCCTCCAACACGCAATAATCCAAATGAGTCAATGAAAGGTGAAAGACGTTGTAAACGAGTGGAGCAAAATGATTTCCGTTTGAGGCAGTTGATTTCTTCTGTGAATACTTCTTTTTGTACAAGTTTAAAAATGTGATATTTTGTGTCTTTCAGTTCCTGTGTTGAGATGAAACCTTGGCGTTTTTCAGAACCTTTACAGTTGTGTATGAAACGAAGGACGTAAGCAAAAATCCTAAGAAGTCGTTCCCATGAAGAATATTTAATGAGAAGATTGGTCAGCGTAGATTCAGTGGTAGTTGACACAAGTACAGTTAGAGGAGTGTGTTTTACTTCATCTAATGTTGAGATATCTGTACGTGAAAAAGTTACATCAGGCCAGTTTGAAGGGGGAAGAGAAAGCCAAGAAGGCCCTGACCACCAAAGGGGGTGAGACACAAGCTCAGTGGCTAGAATACCTCTTGAAGCACAATCAGCAGGGTTTTCCTTGCTAGGGATGTAACGCCAACAGTGATAGGGGACAAGTTCTTGTGTTTGGGCGACTTTGTTAGCCACGAATGTTTTCAGCCTGTAAGATGGAGTTTGAAGCCATGTCAAGGTTACTGAAGAATCACACCACAAATAACATTGGTTGAGTGAAATTAAGGGTTTGAATGAAGAACAACAGAAGTTTACGAGTTGAGCTAATAAGTGGGCAGCGCAGAGTTCTAATCGTGGAAGAGTCACCTTCTTGAGAGGGGCGACTCTAGTTTTAGATAAAACCATACGTGTAGTCACTTCTCCGTTGGGTTGGGAACATCGTACATAGACAACAGCTGAAAACCCACGTTCAGAGGCGTCTGAGAAGCCGTGAAGTTCAACACTAGAATTTGGAGAGATTTTCAATGCTCTAGGGATCTGAATGTCTGCAAGTGCTGGTATCGCTGAGATAAAGTTACTCCAAATTGCACTAAGTTCTGGAGTGAGAGGTTCATCCCATTGTAGACCGGTCGTCCAGAGAAGTTGAATAAAACATTTCGCTGTCATAGTACATGGGCTAAGAAATCCACAAGGATCGTATATTTTAGCGACTAGACTGAGAACGTGACGTTTAGTTAGTGTTTTTGGCGGTAGGTTGAGATGAAATGAAAAATTGTCCGAGTCTGGAGACCAGTGTAGGCCAAGAATTGAGAAATGGGGATCAGGTGTATTTTCAAGAAAGACTGGAGAGTCTTTATGAGTGTCTGGAAGAGACTGAAGAAGCTCGGGAGAATTTGAAGTCCATTTTCGAAGTTCAAAGTGTCCACGGTTGAGTAGTTGAATGAGTTGATTTTGAAGGTTCTTTGCTTCATCTACCGTGTCTGCTCCAGTTACAATGTCGTCTACGTAAGTCTGAGTGCGCAAGACATTTGCTGCTTCAGGGAAGTCTTTACCTTCGTCTTCAGCTAACTGGTGGAGGGTACGAATCGCTAAGTAGGGTGAGCTATTTACTCCAAAAGTCACTCGAGTGAGTTTGTATGTGGATATATCTTCAGAGGGATTGTCACGCCACAAGACGAGTTGGAACAGTTGATCGGAAGGTTTGATTAAGATTTGAAGATACATTTGGCGAATATCGCAAGTGAAAACGATATTGTGTATTCTGAAATGTAGCAATATATCACAAATGTTGGTCTGTAATTTAGGGCCGGTCATGAGAGAATCATTGAGGGAAATTCCAGGGCTGGTTTTGCAGCTTGCATCATAAACGATTCGGAGTTTAGTTGAGGTACTGGATGGTTTCACAACTGCATGGTGTGGCAAGAAATAGTGAGGAGAGTTGATATCTAGATAAGGTAGTTTTACCATATGACCTTGAGAGATGTGTTCATTTATATTGTCAGAGTAAGATTTATACAAATCAGGAGAGAGTGTAAAACGTCGTTCAAGTGAGTGAAAACGTCGTTCTGCGATGAGTTTGGAAGATCCTAAAGGTGGATGATTTTCTTTAAATGGTAGCTGAACTAAGTAACGGCCATTTTCGTCCCTAGAGTGGGTAGCTTTAAACAGATCTTCACACTGTTGCTCTTCAACCGATATCTTTGAGGGTACAGATAATTCCTCTAATTTCCAAAATTTCTGTAGAGAGTTATGCAATTCGTTGTCAACCGTTGAGAGCAGAGAGATGGATGGAGTGTTGGCAGGCTGGGAATCGGTTGAACAAGGTGCATTCCCCATAACAACAAAGCCAAAGTGAGTTCCCATCATGTTAGGCATGTTAGGGCCGAGAGAATAGTTTTCATTCGTTAAAAGAAGAGGGAAGAGAGAAGCTCCGATCAGCATGTCAATGGGCCCTGATAAGTGGAAGCTGGGATCAGCAAGGGGGTAAGGTTTTACTTTCAATAGAACTCTTTGTGATATTTGAGATCTAGGGAGATTGACAGATATTTTATCAAGTATGTGCACTTCATGGTTGGATGCAACTAATTTTCCTGCCAGTGTGTTAACAGTGAGGTTCACAATACCCTTTGTGAGAGTTGGAGATTGAGAAAGACCAACTACTTGTAAGTTGGATTTGAAACGAGGTGCATTCAGTAGTTGAGCAGCTTTTTCACTAATAAAATCACACATGCTGCCACTATCAATCAATGCTCTGAACACATGAGAAACGTTATTTTGAGCAGTAACTTTAACCAGTGTTGTGCCTAAAATTACAGTTTTAGGGATTTGATTAGCAGGACTGGCTTCCTGTGAGCAAAGAGATACGGTAGGTTTTTCATTCGAAACATGAGTGGTTGATGGTTGTGATGATGTAGAACCTTGAGATGTCTTGTCATGTTCAAAATGAAGTAAGGTGTGATGACGTTTGTGGCATTTGAAGCAAGATGCTTTAGACTTACATGTTTTAACATCATGTTTTCCGAGGCAAGAGACACATCTGTTGTTGTCCTTTACGGTTTTAAAACGTTCATTTGAAGAAAGAGAGAGAAAGCTAGGACAAGCATAAACCTTGTGGCCAGTTGATGAGCAGACAAAGCAGGGAAATGAGAAAGGATTTTTTGAGTTGTCTTGATTTGATGGAGTTGGAGTAGAGACCATTGTAACTTTCTGAGCTTGAATGAAAGAGGGCTTGGATGTGAAAGATTTGGGTTTAAAATTTGAATTGTGGTTGTTCGTACTTTGAGCAAACTTGGTATGTAACACAGCGTCTTCTATTTGGTTACACTCTTGATTAAGAAACTTGACTATTTCGACTACTTCTGGTAGAGAATGTGTTTCGCATTTTATATTAATTCTAAAAGCCTCTAGTTGTTTTAGAAGGTCATTGTCTAGTTTTCGTAAGAGTATGGTGGACAACAGAGGGTTAGAGTTAGAAGTAATGTCACAGTCAAGAGCTTTAAGTGCTTCTGTGTGTTCATAAAACAAGTTGAGGAACGTTCTGAGACATTTGTTTGAGGTAGAGGAAATGTCCGGTAGGTCGATCAGTTTGTTTAGGTGAAGTGTAGTTAACCTTCGGGTGTTGTGGTATCTGTCTCTGAGGAGCTGATAGGCAATTGAGTAATTGGCTGAAGTGATACTGAAAGCTTTTACGAGATTTAGTGGTTCATTTTTGAGCACGCTGAGAAGATATTGAAATTTAGTGACGTTTGAAATTCTTTCATTCAGATGGATGCTAGTGTCAAATAAGTTGATGAAACTTACCCACTGTAGAGGAGAACCATCAAACGTGATGAGGTCTAGTTTTGGGAGTCTTACGTGAGCAGATGATGAAGCTGAGATGTCACTAATTCTTGTTGAATCTTTACTTTCTTCTGGAACATCTTGCGGCTGCTGTTGGAGAAGGGCTTCAATCCGAGACTTGGCTTCGACGAATAGCAGTCGCAGTTTGTCTTCAGTGTCACTTACTGCATCCAAATCTAATTCTTCTGATATATGTTCCAAGGCTCTTTCCAGGTAATTTTCATAGGCTTCATGTTTCTTTTCTAACTGGTTCGAGAAGTTGTTTAAAGTTCTGATTTGTATCACTGACAAGATTGAGGGGGAAAGTGTTTCAAGCTCTTGTACAGATTTGAGAATCTTTTCAAAAGAATTTTGTATGAGAAGGGTTGATTTGTTGAAGTTTGAGAGTGAAATTGATCTGGTAGCCATATTGGACAAAACAGATGGAGTGAAACTTTACTAAGAATTAGATAGAGTTTGTGACACTATGAGAGTGGGGAGAAACATAAAGAGATTGAATGATAAAATAAAGATATTTCGATAGCTTTAAAGTGTTCTGAAAATTGAATCCAAAGACTGAAATTCAAAATCCAGGCTCGATTAGGACCAATGAATGTTTTGTAGAGAATGAAATTAAATGGAGATTATAAGAGGAGAAAAAAAAATGAACACACTTTTGGGATAGGAGAACAAGCACTGTTTTATTTACTTTTTGATACACAACATGTGTTAGCAATAGAGAATAATTTAATTTGATTAAGAACACATGTTAGTTGCAAGGAAAAGAGATGTACATTAAATAAAACATAGAGTGTTAAATAATATGAATGGTTAAAGTTTACTGAACACTAGCCTATCCGAAATTCAAAGCCGGCCATTTAAATACAGCCAGTAGTAGGCTATGTTTGCCTTATGAATAGGTAAACTTCTATCATCAAAGGAATTTTCTCTCAACGCAAAACTAAAAATTTACAAGACTGTGATTCAACCCATCTTGCTTAGTGTTTCTGATACCTGGACTGTTGACAAAAGTACTAAGAAAAAACTAATCATATTCGAAATTAAATTTTTAAGAAAGATTTTTGGTCCAAAAAGAGCAAATGGTGAATGGAGGATGAAACATAACAGAGGAATAAGAGACTTTTTTTTTAAGAACCAGATGCTGTTATGGAAGCAAAAAACCAACGAATGAGATTGGTCGGGTATATACTAAAGCCCCTGTCACACGGAGTTAGTATTTCCACTGCTAGTAACTAGCAGATAGAACCAGCATCATGTGACTGATTCTCCAGCTGCTAGAAACACTCGCATGAGCTGGTGTCTCTAGCCGCTGGAGGGTTTAAACAGTTTAATATTACAAGCGCTTGAAGAGTCACTAGCAGGTCACGTGACCACCCAGCTGTGGTCTCCAGCGCAATTCCAGCTCCGTCTGACAGTATCGTGCTAGTTCTTGGTTCTCACAATAAGAAAAATGAATTTAATTGAATTTAATACATTTAAACTAATCAAGAAAAAATGTAAAAACTCATGTTTTTTACATTTTCAGACTTGAAAGTTGTAGCGCTAGTTCTCCATTTTATTACTCGACGTATAGGCTACCCACGGGCTCCTCTGCATGGGCATGCGCAGAAAGCTCTTGGAACTGTTTCCGACTTCCGAGGTAACTATTATTAATTCCTTGAATAAAGTTGTGGTGACAGTTAAAGCTATATAAATTTTAAGTAGCCTACATGATGGGATAAAATCAACTTAACTTATACATTGCAAGTATTAGGCCTGTAGCTATTACTATAGCTTTCATAATAACACGTCATGCCTTTTTTAAGCAGCTCAAAAGGAAAGATCTTTGCATTTACTTACAAAGGCCTACAGTACTGTGCCAAGATTGCTTAAGTTATTTTCAGGGTTCAAAATTCTTTGTGTTGGATCTTAAATAACTTAAGTTCTTAGGCTGATAACCCTTAACTACTTTTAACGTATACACACTGCTACATGATTAAGTAATTAGCTCAGTGATTTGTTATTTAGGCCTATAGCCTATATTAAATTGTTCATAATTACACTCAACTACAGTACAACTTAACGATAGTTAGTTGAGGTAACAGCACTCAACTGCTGATTCTTCTAATGTTATCTTTTACGCAGAGGATACGTATATCAACCGGCAGGGACGTCACCAGGTTGTGGGGACCTGGAATGCCATTAAAACAACCCTACAAGGTTCAGCCATCGGTGTTGACGATGTAGTGGATAGAGTATTTGGTTTATGTACAAAAGGTAGGCCTACCTATCTAGATTGAATCCCATCAGTGACATTAACTTTTTGTCAAAGATTTTGCTTGGAATGCCATTTCTTCTTAACTAACTTATAAGTTTAGGCCTACATTATTTGTTAGAATTAGATGCATTTATAGTTTTATTTTATGAACAGAATTTAACCTTCAGTCGATTTTTTCATTAGGCCTAGGCCTATCAGTAAGTTTGGTTATAGTTAGGTTAGGTTATGACAATAACTGCCGTACGCCTAAGTAATCCACGTCTGGTTACTGGACGCATATCCTCTGCCACTGTAGTTTACTGTAGTCTGTACTGTAGTTTTAATCCCTAAAATTTGGTAGCCTAAGTTAAAACTCCCCTTTTTTAGTCGTAGATCATAGAACCCATGATAAAAACCACTTAATTAACTTGCACATTAATTTAAGGTTTATCACTACAGGATCGAGTTAAACAAAATTTACTCTGTCAACTAGAAGTTAGCCTATATTCGTTTTTCAAAATGAATAAGGTCTTGTTACTAGAATCAATCAACAACCATGTAGCTCTCAGCCTTTTACCCCTCATGGTTATGATATCATAATTGTAGGGAATGTGTTTATTATGCCAATACATAAACTCAAAACATAAAATGACACGTTTAAATACTACGAATCCATAAAAATATCAACAACTAAAACACGAATCATTACTCATGTTTAGCAATCAGTCTGACGTCTTACCATTGCCTTATAATATGGAAGTAGCCTACTCTCACAATAAAAACAGTTGATTTAACTGTAATTTCATCGACGGTAATACACTTCTATCTCCAATTATTTTAAAATGCATGCGATTTTAATTATTTGAAAACTTACCTCTATCTTAGCGAACAACAACAACTTTAATAATATTAACTAAACTCTCCAAAACTGAAAGAAAAATTGCTATTCATTACTCCGACTTAATACATTAACACCATAACCATTGTTCAATTCTTCAATCCTCTCCTCATTACTTGTACTTCTTCTTTTCTTCGAACTTCTTGAAACTATAAGACATCATAGAGTATTTAGGGAGTATGTTTTATCTATGGTATTAGTATATGGGAATTCAAAGTCCTTGAGATACATTATGATTTATTCTAAAACCAACATCATTGACTTTGGAAATGCTGAGAAGACTCACGGCACGGCCACCTTTAACCAGGCCGCAGCCTTGTAGAATTGGCAACGTCGCAAGTAGGGTTGTTTAGTGTCAGTCAGACGTCCGATAAGATAACATGGGAGACAAGTGACACACGGCCGCCTTTAACTCCAGGCCGCGGCGTTCGAAGTGGCAACGTCGCAAGTGGTGTTGTAAAAGCTGTTTTGTTTGGAAGGCCTAGAGTGATTGTTAAACCAAAAAAGACCAAGAAACTATCAAATGATTGGTATACAGCTGAGCTTGGTAAATTTAGGTTGCTTGTCCAGCTGATATTTGACAAGTATAAAGCTGAAGCGTCAGTAGAGCGAAGAGATAGGTTATATGCATTATACTTGAAGGCAAAGCGTAACTATCAGGCTAAAGTAGATGCTGCTAAAAAGCTGCATACTGTACATAAAATTGAGCGCTCCAATAACAAGTGTAAGGCAGCTTGGAGTGTCATAAACGAATCTAGAAAATCAAGAGCAACCATTAGTAGTCAAATAAGCCCTGATGAATTTAATTCCTACTTTGTAAGTACTGTAGATGACATTGTTCATGACATGCAACCTGACAGTTCCGTTGCTGCTCTAGCGGTGCCTGTGGCACAACAAAATTTCTTGAAATGGAGACCTACAACTTCAGCAGAAATCATTAGAATTACTAAGAACTTCTCAAACTCCTACAGTCCAGACATATATGGTCTTACACCACACATCTTGAAGCATATTATAGAAGCTGTTGCTCAACCCCTCTGTAAGGCTATAAATGGCTGTCTGTCAACGGGTGTTTTTCCTGATTGTCTAAAAATCTCAAGAACTGTTCCTATTTTCAAGAAAGGAGATGTAAACGCTGCATCGAGCTATAGGCCGATATCCATCATTCCCTGTTTGGCAAAAATACTTGAAAAAATCATGCAAAACCAAATTGTAGACTATTTTGAGACTAACCATCTTTTCTCAAATTCACAACATGGTTTCCGTAAAGGAAAATCTACCGCTACAGCTCTCATCTCCCTAGTGAAAGGAATACAAAATGCCTTTGAGGACAAGCATTCCATGTCCATTGTCCTATGTGATCTGTCAAAGGCGTTTGACGTTGTCTCCCACAGTATTCTTCTTCAGAAGCTGGCTCGATATGGGTTAGGTGGGATTGTGCTCAAAACACTAGACTCCTATCTTTGTGAGAGGAGCCAGATGGTGGCCATACAGGGGGCTCTCTCTGCTCCAGCTAAGATGGACCATGGTGTCCCGCAGGGATCGATTTTGGGGCCTTCATTGTTCTTGATCCTGATGAATGACCTTGGTAGGGATGATGAAACCCTCCTATACGCCGATGACACAACTCTCTGTGGCAGGGGACAACTCCCTCTTGAAGCGGCAGCGAAATCTGATGAACTGTTCAACAATGCAAGAAGCTGGTTTGGGCACAATGGCCTTAAATTAAATGAAGCCAAAACTCAGAAGCTTCTATTAACGCTCAGCAAAACGTCTCCATCTCATGATGAGCCAGTAAAACTATTAGGGTTTGTCTTGGATCCCAAGTTACAATGGGACTCCCACGTTGATGCTGTGTGCCTTAGGCTAAGGCGTGTAATTTTTCTCCTCAGAAAACTCAAACATCAAATCACGCAGAAGTACCTTATGACAATATACTTTTCTTTATTCCATAGTCATATAAATTATGGAATCTTACTCTGGGGCCACTCATCATCAGGGTGTATCCGTATACTGAAGCTACAAAAACAAGCAATAAGAATTGTAACTGGAAGTAAACGATCGCAGCCATGCCCAGACAGCACACTTTCTCCTCAGGACATCCCACGGATATTGCGACAGGATATGCAAGATATCCCATAGTGGTCCTATGGTCAACTTGGGATATCACAGGATATCCACAGGAATGCGTAATGTCCCCGCCCGGGGATGTCCTACGGATAAGCTCACACTCATATCCGTGGGACATCCGAGGTCATCCCAGGGTAGTCCTCAGGACATTCTCAGGACATATGGGACTACTATGGGATGTCCCTGGGATAAAGTGTGGTCTGGGCCTGAACATAAAAAACACAAAATAATATAGATTTAGTATGAAAAGCTTAATTATAAGTTTAGTAAACTGATTAAATAGTTAATAAACACAAATTTTGAAGAAAAAAACGAGAAAAAAGTTTTTGGCCCAGACGGGTTTTGAACCTGGTACCTTCCCCTTGTGAGCCTCTTACCTTACCTCCTGAGCTATTTGCGCTTGTTGATTATGGGTGTTTTCAAGTGGTTAAAGAGTAGCCGACAGTTGCAATGGTCGCAATACTTAAAATATTTTTGATACTACAGTATAGGCTATATATGATTCTGTTAATCTGTTTAGGCCTCAAGTAGTTGAATTGTTTTTCTGGTAGTTGGAGAGGATACTGGTATTTGAATATAGATTATTTAATCACCATTAGATTAGCACTGTAATAAATTGATTGTTATATGATTAAAATTAGTTTTTTGTTGTTTTATTAATTTAATGTTAGAATTAAATTCAAATTTCACACAACTATGATAGAACTCTAGTTTTCCTGAACTCAGTGGTAGTAATATGTCAGTAAAGTAAAGTCAACCCTTGCTAGCCATAGTATTAACAAGACATATTTTCAATCTGGGAAACCTTAAACTTTTAAAATAAATTACAAACCTCAACATCTTAATGCGTGGGAATCTTATTTTTAGAAAAAAAAAACATACCAAAATTATTTGTTAAATAATGAAGACGGCCCAATTATAAATTCGGAATTACTGAAAATAATTACATCAAGAACAACACTGTAACATATCCAAAATTCAAAAGATTAATTTTTCTAATATTATTTTTTATTTTTCCAATATCCTTTAAATCATCTGTTTTAACTTTGTTTAAAATTAATTTATTAAGTAAATATTTACTTTCTGTACTAGTGTAAACACAGCCTGAAGATGGAAACCAAATTTCTGAGAGCACTAGTGAAAAAAACAAATTATTATATATTGGCCTTGTTGAACATTTAAATTTAGATATACTGTACATTTCATCAGTGGTAGTATTTTTTTCTTCAGTTTGTTACCGGGACATTACGGGACATTACAGGATATCCAGTGGATTTTTTACATGTCCCGGGATGTCATGGGACATTCTGGGATATCCTATGGCATTCGTACATATCCCGGGACTTTACAGGATATCCTGAGGTTAACTTACAAATCCCGGGACATTACGGTATATTGTAGGATATCCTGTGGATTTCGTACTCGTCCCGGGATTTTGTGGGATATCCTGAGGATAGCGCACATATCCCGAGACATTCTCAGGACATATGGGACTACTATGGGATGTCCCTGGGATAAAGTGTGCTGTCTGGGTGTAAACCCATCTTTAAGCAACTTAACATATTGACAGTATACAACCAATATATATTCAGTTGCCTGCTTCATATAAAATCCAACTTGCATCTGCATGAAAACAGAGGGGAACAGCATGATCACAACATTAGGGGAGCACACAAACTGAACACAACTAGATGTAGGCTGGCTATGACAAGAGATAGTTTCCCGCAGGTTGCTGTTAAGATGTTTAATGCCCTGCCAAAATGTTTAGTAAACATGGAAGATAAGGTTTTCACCAAGAACTTAAAGGAACTTCTCCTAGCAAATCCATTTTACTCAATTGAAGGATTTTTTGAAACCTCAACAACACTGTCGCTAGCATAAGCATCCACCGCCGCTGCGCAGTCAGTATATTTTAAATGTATGTTTATTTAATTGTAAAAGTGTAAATAGTAGTTTTTAATTATTTTGACGCTATCCATCCGGCCCAGGCTGGTCAACGATGAAGAGGAGGTATTTCAGGTATTTCGGTATAAGCATCTAATGGTGTTTGTGTATTTTCGAAAGATTGGTTACTGAACTATGACAATATTGACTCCGCTTAAAATGTACAGATATATAGATTTTTGATTCATTTTGTTTCGGTTTTCAATTCTGTACGTTTTATTTTCAATATTTTAATACATTTATGTTCATAAATTTAAATTTAAATCAATAAAGTGCGAATTAATGAGCTGATGTCACCTGTCTGCCATGTTATCTTATGGGACGTATGTTACTAAACAACACCACTTGCGACATTGCCAATTCTACCAGGCTGCGGCCTGTAGTTAAAGGTGGCAGTGGAAGACATCAGCTCATTAATTCGCACTTTATTGATTTAAATTTAAATTTATGAATATAAATTTATTAAAATATTGAAAATAAAACATTTAGGATCGAAAAACAAAACAATATGAATTGAAAATCTATATCTGTAGGCTTACATTTAAAGCGTAGTCGTCCAGTAACGTATTTTTCTAGTAATCGTGCCAGTAACCAAGCTGTTATCAATATTCCGGAGTACGCATTCCGTGGTTGCTGTTGAAGAAGAATCAAGAAATCTTTTATTTCCTTTGATCCATTTACAGACATTGGCATAGTCAATAAATTAAACAAATGCATATGATTCCAACGACAATAATTACAAATGATCAATTAACAGTAACGAGATGTGAACCAATGACAGTCAATAACATGAAATGAAATCTTAAAGTTAATTATAACAGGACATGATAAACATTCTTCTATTGTATAAAAATGATTGGTAATAAGGAGTTCTCGGATAGTTTAATTTTAAAATATCTCATAGAAACAAGTCGGGCAGTGTCAGGCAGTTTATTGAAAAATCCCACTTTTTAGTTAATTTTGAAGAAGTTTCCTGTTTTTGCTAAGCGGTGCTGGGGGAAGGTCAATTTTGTTTTTCCCTCTTATGTTGTGGCCATGGAATGTTTACAGCTGCTACAACACCACTTGCGACGTTGCCAGTTCGAAGGCCACGGCCTGAGTTAAAGCACAGATAATATAACATATTATCTGTGGTTAAAGGCGGCCGTGGTCTGACGTGCCAATAGCCTCTGCCTTTTTTACTGTTGGCTGTCAGCGTCAGCTGTCAGCTGCAGCTCCCAGCTGTCACTGACAGTCAGAAGCAGAAGTGTAGGTTATGTCAATAGTCAATTTATTTTTAATTTTGTTTATCTCTGTTAAAGTTTAACTTAATCAATGTTAGTTAAACTTATTGTAAGTATAAGTTTAGTGGAAGTGATAGTTCTAGAGAGTAAGCTAACCACATCCTTTAAAACTTTAAGATTTTACCATAGATAAAACATTCATTTTACTCTGTCATCCGGTGAAAATAAATAGGCCTAAGCGAGGGGGCAAAATAGCCTAAGTAATGTGTACATTAAAAAAATAAATGGCCAAGTTTATTGAACACATGCTCTCATATGGCATCAAATATAAGCTACAGAAATAGTTATTTGTGTAACTAGTGGGCAAAGTGGCACGGCACGGCTGCACTTTACTTTAGGTCCTACACTCATTCGAATGAAACAATCGATTAATCAATATATCGATCGATATTTTCAATCGAATGAGTGTAGGACCTAAAGTAAAGTGCAGCCAGTGGCACTTTGCTGCACACGAGAGAAATGTTTACGCACGAGCCTTAGGCGACTATGGAAAGTTTCTCGTTTTTCCAGAGCAGCAAGGCTCGTCTTCCCCAGAAAGACGACATTACAGATTATGATGAAACTATTTTCATTGTATTCTCTACATGCCTGAGAAGGTTTTTAATTACTTGAAACGTGTTTAGGTCTGTTGGTAATTATATAACGAACACTCAAAAACCTAGATTTGTGGGGTGGACGTATTTTGTTTTAAGTTTTACTATACAAGTCAAGTGATCTATTGTAAATGAAATAATATAATCTGTTCCTAGAATATTTCACATCTAACACAAAACTAAGGAAATCTTGATCTGTGATAAAAACTTATTTAACATGTTAATTATACTATATAGAATTTTACATTTTATACCACCATAATGGATTTACGCCCTTAGGAAGTTGCTCATCTTAGTAAATACAGTAAATGGTGTTTGGGTTATTTCTAACAGAAAATATACTATAGTATTTGACAATGTGAAGAGAATAAGTACAAAGCTAAAAGCTAAATAAAATGCAAATAATGCCATTGACTATGGAACGGGTGACGTGTTGCGTAATATTATGAAATAGAGTTTCGGCTGTTTGTGATTTTTTTATTTACAAACATTGATGAAACTGCCGTTGTATTTTAAAATTCGGGTTACATATGTTAAATTATATGTAGTGAGAGTTTTTTTTTTAATTTTTCATACTATTGAATGTACATTATAACAAACCATAAGAAAAGAGGCCTGACTAATGTTTTTAAGAGAAAGGTAGAACATTTAGTTGGTGTTGTAATTTAAATACTTATGAATTTACATTGATGCTATTTGATACACATTAAATTATATTTACGGTAGGCTATACTAGTATTACACATCTACCATAGCCATGTTCTACCACTTCACCTAAAGAATAGAGAAAAATCAATTTAAAAAATTGCAACATAGGCTATCACAAATTATTCCTGAAACTAAAAACATAAACATAACTGTGAACAATACTACTTTGACAGTTAGTTCTCATTGCATATCACAGTATTTTGTTGCTGTTTAGTTCAAATTGGCAGTTTTCATAAATGCAAAATAAATATAGTGCTGTGTGTACTCTGTTAGTAAATCTTATAAGTTTTTAATGCTTTTAATCATAGAACCAACTTTTTTAGTTGAAACAGTTGCCTAAATTCTTTAATTCCCTTTAAATATGAATACTCATAAGGTTAACATGGGGAACTACAGAGCCACTGGGGCGGAGCCCGAAAGGAATTTTGAGATAAGAGTATTAGTCAGAGAAATATAGGATATGACCTTAAAAAAATTGCAAGAAAACATTTTATGGTTTTATTTTGTAGTGTTGGGTTTGTAGAATGTCATACTAAAAGTTGCCAAGAATCGGTGCACGAGGAAACCATTAAAATCACAATTTAAAATGGCGGCTTTTCCCAACATTGGAAAAATATTGAAAAAAAGATACCACATGCACTTAGTATGAACATTTTTTGAGAAACTGACTTGGGAGCACCACCGATATTTATTGGGTCGTTAGTACTCAATTTTTAAAGGGAACGCGTTTTTGGCTGCCATTTTGGATCCGACATTTTGGACATAGATATATATTTTTAAATTTAATGATACCGTTCTGACACATCATTTCAAACTTACAGAATTACACTGTTTTTAATACCAAAATCTGTTTTTAAATATCTTTTTTCGTTTAGAAGATATGTTCAAACAAAAACTCTCCCCCATACATTTCTTATGGACGTTTCGTAGTTTGATCATTTAAAAAAATGATTTATCTTATATCTCCAGTTCTTGTTAACGCTTGCAGTTCGTTCTAGCCTTAAAATATTCAGTAATGTAAGGGCTTCCATTTGAGCTCTTGAGCATTAAAATTGACGAGCTAAAGACCAGCTACGAATCTCAGAACATTATCAGTTTTAACTTTTTAGAAATATATTTTTATCAAAAGATTTATAATTTGGGTTTTAATACGTCACCAAGTTCTTTCTGGTCTTAAATTACTCTGTAAATGTTATTCTTTAATTTTATTAATCACTAAATAAAATCTGAAAATTTTAAAATGAGTCATGAATCTTTATTTAACAGTCAATTATTTCTTTTTAGAAATTTGTCTTTAGTTAAGGACATATATACCAAACCCTAATAACTCCCAATAAGTAATCCATAGCTAAAATAAAAGTCAATAATGTTACGAATTATTTAAGACTAAAAAGAGTTTTGGTAGTGATTTAGAATTGGGAATATACGTCCTTGACTAAAGACAAATTTCAAAATAAATACATTTTCATGATTTCATGATGTAAGCCTCCGAATCACTTTAGTTAATTAAAAATGGTTTAAATACCTTAACTGTCAGACCTTGTTTTGGACTTAATTATTTTCTTTGTTTCAGGTTGAGAGATTATGGCAGAGAGCAATGCTCCGTTTTCAGTTGAATGTGACTTCATCAGTATCCCTAGTAGTTTTTTGACTCCAGGAAAGTTTTTTGATTTAATTGAAGATGAATCATTAATTTGCGGTATAGGTCCAAACACATTATTAGTTAGTGAGACAACAGCGAGAAGATTAAACATTGACCTCAAAAATAGTTGTCAAGTATTATGGCTGGTGTTGAAATTAGGTTTAAGTAATTTAGGATCATGCACTAATTTCAAAACGGATCATGCTCTTGAAACCAAGAGGCTATTGCAAGTTGTAATTGACACGAGGGTAAAAGATGATTTAGTAATTACAAGTGAAGAATTTTTCTATAATTTAGAATATTGTTTGAGTTTAAGAACTTCCTGCCGGTTTACCTCAGTAATGAAACTTAAAACGTTGCAACTTTCACTGGAGAGACGTTTAAAAAATTTGCCAACTAAAGCAACAAAAGTGGTTTTGTCTCTGATACAACTGGAACCCAGCACTAATAATGACTTTGTTGACAAAGCGCTGCAAAGCTATTTCACACTTCCAAGATACGTATGCAAGAACGATACTTTTGGGGTTTATATTCCTAAACACCACAAACTGGATACAAACAATATTAATATAGATGTATTGTATTTTAAAGTATGTCAAATAGAAGGATCTGCCGATGATCAGAGTGATATCTGTCAAGGGTTCTTTGTTGATAGCTCTGTCACTATCTATCAAGTTCCAAACAATCAAGATTTGCATCCTCCAAGAAGACTAGTGGTTGATTGTTCTAGTCACCAAACGCTTGATGAGTTGATAAACAGTGAACTGTTAAACATTTTCTCCTTGCAAGGTCACAACCTCACCCCTCATTGTTTGAATGACACATTTCAAGTTGTGTGCAGCTGGGTTGAGCCTTTCCTCTCTCAATACCATCATCTGCAAGGTAGGATAGTGTTTAAAAGAAAATAGCTTACTAATTATTCCATAGAATTTATATCTTGAATAGTTAGTGTATTGTAACAATTATTTCCTTTAACCTACAATTTTGTTTGTTAATATTTGAGATCAGTTTCGCTCAGGCTATGTAAAATCTGAATGTAACTGAATGTAAACACGTGTTTGTCAGAAATATTTACATTTAGGCTACATTTACATTTACTGTTAACATTATCAATTTCACAATTTTTACTGAACAAAAACAGAGACTAAAATAAACATGCATTATTTGTCAACATTCCTAGAATGTACAGAAAAAAGACTGTAGAAAGAGGGAGGGACGCAATTTTCTATAGAAAATATTGAGTAAAACTTTCAAATGTAATTTCAATCAGAAAATAAAATTCAAATTGTCAATCTGTGCAGATGCTGAGCTAACTCCAATTTTCCTTTTATCGGGACCAAATGGATGTGGAAAAACAATGTTGTTAGAAGCTGTAAGCCGGTATTTTGGAATAAACTACTGGAGGATAGACTGTGTTATGGTGGGAGAATCAGTACCTGGCCAGACCGAAGCAAAGCTTAAAGCTATTTTTAGTAAACTAAGCACGATAGCACCAGTCATTTTACATCTCAGTAATATTCAGGTAAAATTTCTTGCCGCCTTTCTATTTTCTATACAATGTTTTAGTTATTTATAAGTTCTTTCCTTGATTATTAATTTGCTACCAAAAAAGTGATTAAAATTCACATCAATGTGTTCAATCCAACCTATGAATTAATTAGTATCGGCTCAGGAGAATGGTGTGAAAGAGAGGAAGCTCACTTTCCAATCATCACTAGCAAGGTTTTCTATTTATGTCCTATGATAGAAGTATGCTTGTAAAAAAATGACTTTTTAACCTAATGATGTTTTACCTTATAAATTGACTATATAAGAAACTAGACATCTTGATAAAAAATAATGCTTCAGTTTAGATAGTTCTTTTTCAAGATACCTTACAGGTTAAGACAAAGAAAACTAAAAAAAATTCAACTCAATTTTGAAGTGTGTCTTATAAGCCTGTTTTCTTAAGAATTAAGTAGTGTATGTCTCTACTCCATTATATGCAACAGTTTTTTTAAAGAACTGGATGATTTTTAGGCGCTATTTGAAGATGCCGAAGGAAAAGACGATATTAGAGTTTTGGCTTGTTTTGAGCATCATATCAAGTCTTTGAAGCCAAAATATCCTGTGATCATAATTGCTTCAACAGGCAACATCAAATCAATAAGTTCCAACATCAATCAATTGTTTTTGGAGACAACAACAATAAAATCTCTAAATCAAAGTGATAGAGAAGAGGTTTTGTCGTGGTTTGTTAACTGTTATCAAAGAGTTCTAGACAAACAGATAGAGCAAGCCGTAGCATCTCAAACGTCAGGGTTTTTGCTGAGAGATCTAGAAATGTTAGTTTCTCTAGCTTCCAAGTGAGTAGACCATGGCAAGTGTGTAATATTAGGTGATACATTAATCTTAGTTAGCAATGAAAATGACTTTAGGAAACTCCACCTCGTTGGCTATTGTATTCTAATGATGGTATAGTAAAATGTAATGGCCTTAAGTTATAACATAAGGTTTGTGAATGATTACCTGGTATCAGCAACAAATGAAGTAACAAAACACAAATTTAATACATGATCATAATTCACACACATCAATAAAAAAATACATTGTAAACTTACAGATGCAGCACTGCCGAATATACCTTTGCATAAGTAGTACTAACTGGTGGGTGAAAAAATGCCATTGAAAAGTGTAATCAATGAGTATTTCCCGTGACAGAGGGGTTTTGATTAGGCTAGCTAAGAAGATAATATAAATTTTTAAGTATCGTTAGGTTGTGCCAAATTCGTACAACCTCATATTTTTTATTGGATTACTATTGAAAGACCAGATTGACTTTTTAAAGAATTCCTTGATAAATAGTGAAAACACGTTCTACAAAAGTACTTTGTTTGTAATCACGATAACGTTTACAGAGAGAAGTACTGTAGACTTAAACAAGAACAGACAGATGATGGAGAATTTGTCTTATCGGATTTCTCCAAAACTAGTGGTGAGTTGGGTTTTTGTTCTCAAATTGAAGTCCCTAAAATCTGGTCTCAAACTTTATTATGTGGTTATTTAGCCAAACAATTTGTATATAGTGATGCCTGGAAAGCAGTCTTTACTCCAGATTGTACAACACTTGTTTTTAACAAAAGTTTACAGCAATCCGAAGAATGCTAGTTTTTTGTTGACAAAATTTAGATGTTTTAAACAGTTCCTCTGTGTTTACGACTTTTGTTTTCCATAAGGAGTTGTAAACATCTATGTACAGTGTTTATTTTTACACCAAAGTTTGCAAAAACATGTTAAGAAAGTATTTGTTGACTACGACTACACTGGCTGCCAATTTATGTATGTTTTAAAAATTTTCTTCTAAACTCTGGTGTAAACGAGATTTATGCATCTTACTCAGTATTTTTAACTTCCAAATTTATATCAGTTACTAATTGTTTATTGTATACAGCCGTTTTTGTTGAGTAATTGTTACATTAAGAGTTGTAAATAAAAATGTTATTGTTTTAATGATGAATGCCAATAAATTGGTCTTCAAAGCTTAAAGAGTTTTTAAAATTATTTTTATAAAAATTCTCAGTCCGCTTGAATGTTATTATTATCAGTCCTAAAGTTATTATTTTACTCAATCTTTTTTAGCTAATACATCAGAATGTTTGCAGGAACTATGCGGAAGGTGTTCTCAGAGTCTATTGGTGCGCCCAAGGTGCCTTCGGTGTCTTGGAAGGATGTTGGTGGCTTAGAGCACTTAAAGAAGGAAATATTGAGGTCATTTAGGAGCAACTTGTTCACCACGGGACTGAGAAGATCAGGTAAATCTAATTCGGAATCAACAAATAAACCAATTTATAATCTAATAATAAATAATAATAATAAATCTTTATTTCTCCACAAGTAATACAATAAATTTACAAAGATCTATAAAAACAAATTATTTTACAATGTACAGTAGACTCCCCTCTTATCCGGACACCTTTTAACCGGACTACACTCAGCGGAAATTACATCTCTTTAACCGGACAATTTTTATCAGCACATCAGCTTAACCGGACTAGATCGGCAGGAAGTAGGTGGTACTGAAACAACCGTTCTCGTGGGAAAGATTTGAGACCACCGGTCCCGAGGAGTCCGGATAAGAGGGAGTCTACTGTAACCAAAACTTATTGTTAAATCTATTATTAGGGTTTTTCTTGCACATTACTATTTTTGAACTGCAAGCGTGTATACTTTTTTGTAATCTTTTAGTTAATTAATTAGCCTAATTAATTTATTCAAGACAATGACAAAGGGCATTTTAACACCAATCTACATAAGCCTTATACAAGGCTTGTCCGTCGTAGCATTTCTTGATTTGACTTGTGTCTAAATGCATCACGTTGAGTCAGCAATATTATTAGTAGTTTTTCCTTCCTAAACAGTAAGAAAGCTTGAGCCAACAAACTTAAAAACTAATTAACATGAGTATAAACATATACAATTTAAACATAAAATAGTTGAGCAAAAGGTACAAAATTGGTATACACAGGGTGGGATGAAACCGATGATCCGATCTATTTTCTGACGTCCACTGTTCAGCGACAGGTGGTCTGAGGGTAGTGGGGGTAGACTCGTTAGAAAGCCTACACACTACTATTATGTGTAGTCATAGAAGAGTGGTTGCCTGAGCTACATGCGTTTGTCATCAAGTCCTTTTTAATAAGTAATGATTCAGTCATTGCAACTCATCAGCAGTTCCACTCTTTCAATTAGGTCGACATGGTGAGGTTCCGTCGCAATTATCTGTATGGATAATCAAAACATTTACAGATTAATTTAAATTGATCTGTAGGGATGAAAAATATTAAGATTGAACCTCAAAATTTGTGTATCCGAGCGGTCAACATGTCCAAAGCAACAGCTTGTTTTCGGGTGGGACTACGAGGACTGTTATAATTTTAGCTGTGCCATATATTATCTGTTGATTTGACAAAATTTTGACTTTTATAAAAATTTGTCGTTAACAAAGGGTGTAATGTTTTCCTTGTACACAGTGCTGGATTTAGGGTACTTGCAGCCCTAAGTCCCCAAAAGTCATTACTAGTGGAACTCGCCACTTAGGGAGAACTTTCCTGCAATCATGGCGAAATCGACTATCTCCCGTGATCATGGGATTGTTACCCGCAAGATGATGAATATCTACCGTGATCACAAGGACATCATTATCAAGACCCAAATTTTAGCAAATTACTTAATTTTTTTTAAACTGATTTTTTTCAAAACTTTGCAGCTTTAGTCATAAATTCAGCATTGCTTGTACACATAACAGTTTAACATTTAAACTTAAGTTTGTTTTGTGCTGCCTTATTAAAACTGTGTTTTCTTATTAATTTGCTTTGTGGATTCTGTACTGTTCACGCTTTATAATTCCAGGACTACTGCTCCATGGACCCCCTGGCACGGGTAAGACTCTGCTAGCCAAGGCCGTCGCTACTCAGTGTGGACGTAACTTTCTTTCCGTCAAAGGTCCAGAACTGCTTAACATGTATGTCGGCCAGAGTGAACAGAACGTTCGAGATTGTAAGTCAGCTATGTAAGTCAATGCATTCACATACTGTAGGTTAGTTCTAGGGATGGTCAAGTCTCGAAATTTCGGGAAATTTTCGGGAAATTTTAAATCTCGTTACACGAGACGAGATTTCTTTTTGACCGAGATTTTTATCGAGACGAGAATAAAAAAAAAAAATTAAAAAAAAAAATTAAAAATGCCTGCAGAAAGTCAATGCAATACCCGCAATACAGGAGCGTGTTGTAGTTGCGTTTCCTTTGCGGAGGCGTTCTTATTTAATTAATTCTTTAAATGTAAATATTACTTTAATTATTTTAATAATATTACTTTAATAACATTTGAGAAGTTTTGTTAAGTGTAAGCCGTGTGAGGAATGTTTTATTACTATAAAAAGTCAAAACAAGTACCTAACTATTTTATAAAAATTAATATTGCTTTTATTTTATGATTTATTTTATTTTAGGATAAGTTGAACTCTATCCTAACTGATATCACTATGTTTCCTAATCGTAGGCATTTTTAATAAGTTAGGCGTGATTAATAAAAAAATGTTATGCTGATGGTTTTTAATAAAAGATTGTAAATATTCTTGCCTATTATCATTATTTTTGTATTTAAACAGTCATCTAACAATGTTACAAAATCAGGTAAAAATTTTGAACGTGCATTTCCCGTTGTGTATGAGAAGGGAAATCCCGTCTCGATCTCGTCTCGAAATTTTATGAGAAATAAAAAATCTCGTCTCGTCTCGTCTCGAACTAAAAATCCAATCTCGTCCATCCCTATTAGTTACCCTAACAAAAATTATGTACTATTCAAACTATAAATCATGGGTATGCAGATTTTACACGGATGAAAATTGTTATTATTTTCAGATTCATCTAATTTTAATAATTATTTATTAACATTTTTAGGCTACTCTGTACAGTTCATTTTTGTCTGTAAATTTTGATTTAAAATAATTAAGTTTAAAAAGCTGCAATTTTGAAAGACAAGTACCGACAAATAATGATCATTAGATTGTAATAATTGTTAAGGTACGGTAATCATTATTTTCATTTTTCAAAATCTCAACAATGACTCCCATAAAGATTATTTTAAAGTACTAGAAAATGTAAGTACATGTTGATAGGAAAACAACTTATAAAGGCATGGTTATGACTATTTATGTAATACTATTGCTTCAACTTGAACTTGCAATCTCGCTTCCATTTTAAGTTTTCATAACTGCGCAAATTGTTTACTCTACACCTTTGCCTCTGTATACACAATGTGCACCTTTGTGTGTTAACAGTGTAGTCCAGTAACTCCACTAATCAGTGTTGACGTTTTATACATTAATAACATATTTTATTTTATTGTATATTATCATGTCCTAGTGTTTGAGCTGGCCAAAGCTGCTTCGCCCTGTATTGTGTTCTTCGATGAGCTTGACTCTTTAGCTCCAAACCGAGGACGGAGTGGAGATTCTGGTGGAGTAATGGATAGGTAATGTCAAATCTAATATTGTTGTAGGTTGTAGGCTGTGTTAAGATAATTCCAATTGACCACCCTTTCCCGATTTGTCAGTTTATAGTCTTCTACAGAATTTGTACGGAACATTTGTAAGAAATTCGTAAGAAAGTGTTTGACAGGAAGGAACATTTTTCAGATGAACATTTTTGCAGGTTTATGCAAGCTTCATGTTATAAAAGTGATAAACTTATTTTAAAGTCAGGTAACACATTTCCTGTCATAACACACTTAAAAACCCAATTGAATGATACTTAACATAACAGGTCGCAGCATAGAACACAAGTGAGTCATACCAAGATTTTTTAGCTTACGTTGAGTGGAAATGCATTGGGATGGTTCGAAGCAGAAATTTGAAAGATTAATGTAATCAAATCAAAAGTTAAATATTGTTATAAGCTGTGATAGCTTAATTACGTTTAATACTATTCAATGTCATATTTCGTGAACTATATTAGCCAATTCAAAATGGTTTTTCATTACATAACAATCAAAATAACTTTCTTATTGTACTGCAGTAAAATGGTTGTTTTTAATATACATTTTTGGAGTTAAAGTAGGTTTTAAATCCTTAGGCAAAAAAGTTATCAGCTTTTGTCAGATCTTTTTCAGATATTTTCAGATAATCTGTCATGGTGACATTTGGACGTCGTGCAACAGTCAAATATTTTATATTGGACATCGTGGAGCTCGAAAATTATATGTTGGACGTTGTGACGTTGACTTATATCATTGGACGTCGTGCAATGCATCTGTTGGTTAGCGTGGGAACGGCAATCCCATTCTTATTTTTCCAGAAGTCCTATTAATAGGTGACCACTGTATTTCTGAGACCATGCTGAGCGTTCCCACTTTTGAAAATATACGACTAAGCCACAAGGTATGGTTTGGTAAAAAGTCTCAAGTTAAGGCTTTGCTACCTAATGTTAAAACTGAGCTCATTTAAAAAAGAATTTACTATTGATGAACATACAGGAAAAATGTTACAACAATACTTATACAGATATTATTTTAATTACTATCTTTTCAATTGTCTCATAAAACACTGGACTAAAATGTTGCATTTAAGATAGTGTGAAGGATTTGTTGTGTTGCAGAGTTGTATCACAGTTACTAGCAGAGATGGATGGTGTGAGTAGCTCAGGAGATGTGTTCATACTGGGAGCCACTAACAGACCAGACCTCATAGACCCGGCCCTCCTTCGACCTGGCAGGTCATATCTTAATACAGTGTAATAGTATAGGATGAAACATAGAGCGCAAGAGACTCTTAGTGATGGATTGCCTGTAGTTACTAAGTAAGATAGCTTAATTTCTCGTGTGGAATTTGGCACAAACTTAAATACAAGTGATATTCAGAAAGTAAGGAACGGTTCTGTCTGATGCCGCTTGGCACGCTTTCAAGTACATAAATGTTTCCTCCTCAGTGGTTGTCCAACTATCATAGCGAAAGTGTTCTAGTTCTATTCATATTCTATTGGGATGTGTTTCGCATCCCATTGTTGCAATAAATCAAAAATTTGCGCTGCAATTTAAAATCCCACCATTTGCGAGATGGAGTGTGTATATACTGGTATGGGATTTGTTGGCAAAAAACTTTAAACTTTTATCCTCAAGGGTTTGATTGAATTGTACAGAAATAAGAAAATCAATAAAAATTCTCCCTGATAATGGTGCATTTAGTTTTAAAATGACACAATCGTCTATGCTTATCAAGGTCAAGGTGCAGAGAGGGTAGGACTAGGCATATGCGCGGTTGCCATGTTGCAACATGTCATAAAATGGGAAAAATAGGCATTTTAAATGTAAACTTTTGTATTACCCAAACGCATTGTACTGTATAAATACTTAAGCACATTTGTATTTTAAATTCAGTATACATTATTTTAGCTTATTTAGCCTAAGATATATTTATGAAAGAGAAACTCAAACAATCTAGGAATAACGTAGATTTTCTCTATATTACGATTAATTAATGTAAACCAGCCTTGAAGTCCCAATCAATGAGGGTTTACTGTTTCGCATTTTAAACTACAGTTGTTTGCAGGTTGGACAAACAGCTGTATGTGGGTCCATGTGAAGACAAGGACTCCCAGCTGAGTGTGCTAACTGCTCTGACACGCAAGTGGGTATAACTTTATTATCAAATCTATTTAATACGTTTTTATGAAATGGCGATCATACATAGTAGGTATTTTAAGCCAAGTATGAATGGAGATGAGTGTAGGATGAGTGGCGCGATCTTGTAGTCTTGTTAGTGACTAAGGCCGTTATTCCTTAGACACAGCTGTTAATTAATAGCCCATACAGCTAATGGCAACTAAGGGACCTACAGTTTATAGTGGAATCCGGACCACATTTTTTTGCCTTGGTATTATACAAATTGGTCTAATTTTTAGGATAGCACTGCAGGTAGTCGTAGTACTCTCTCGTGCGGACGTTAATCCACATCAGGGAGGATCGCATCCACAGTGCATGCCTATAATATCCACAATTCGTGACCTCCTAGTAGTTGGATTACAGGACGACGCCACCCGTCCCAGTGATTCTTAGTGTGTCAAAGTTAGTTAATCCAATTGTTATCTTCGAAACATTGCTTTGTTACAAATTATTTCAGTTACAAAAGACTAGTTAAGGTTTTCTATTTCGTACATTACAGTAGAACCTCTTTAATCCGAACCCCCCTAATCCGAACGTCCACTAATCCGAACCCCTCATTGCTGTACTCTATACACAGTACAGCAGTTCTTTATTGTATACTGTATTTAATTTACAGTAGTGTTTATTCACCATGTTAATTACTGTATTAAATAAACACTGTATTTTACTTTATAAAACCTTTTTTCACTATTCCCAAAATAATGTTGATCAATTTTAGCCATGTTTTAGCTATTGTTATGTAAAAACAACAATATGTTCTGTAATCCGAACTATTCAATAGTCCGAACTACCCCTGGTCCCAATTAGTTCGGATTAAAGAGGTTCTACTGTAACTGGATACTGCTATAGTTAATAATTTATTTAATGTTTCAGACTGAGGCTAGCCTCTGATGTGGACCTACAGCAGGTAGTGTCCTCTCTGCCCAGCAAGGTGTCGGGAGCTCAGATCTCTGCGTTGTGTTCGGCTGCTTGGCTAGCTTCAGCCCGAGAGACCATTCAGAGTAAGTATTTCCTATTGGTTGTACAGATGTAAGTTTCACAATCTGATACTTTTACAAAGGGATTGGTTTTTTTAGTTGATTTTGCACTTAATAATAATCAAAATGGACAGTTTTGTGAACAGGTTCTTTGTGGGATTCCAATGAAATTGTAGATATAAAAATTCTGAAACTAGGTGTGTGACAGCAGCACGACAGTGCAAGTCAGGCGTCTCGTCGCGCCCCACCCTGCCCGGTTCTGTGTGTGGCCGGCCTTTAATCTATGCTTGTGCTTGATAGGTGGACAGTACAAAGAAGACCCGACAGTTGTGGTGAACCAAAGTCACTTTTTATCGGCTCTAGGAACTGATCTTGGCTGACTTTTAAAAAGTGAAACTACAGACAATTATATTATGTAATATGAAAATAAAAAAAGATTACTTGCACATCATTCAATTTCCTGTTGTAAATCTTACCTAGATTGACCTACACAATAAGATTAAGATTTGGATCCATGTAAAAAATGTAACTTGACACATTCAGAAAACAGTGAATCGCAGAACAATAAAAGAATCAAAAACCGCAAAAATTACGCCATTGCCGTCGCCTACTATGACGTCATGGCAGAGGAGCATACTGCCTGTAATTTAGTGTTGCTTTGCACCTATGCTCCTCTCAAATGTCTTGTTTCACTCTAATGACTATTTAAAGTGTTGGATCTTGGTATTGCTATGCGTTTCCTGCACCATTGCAGTATACCCACAGTTGTCAAACTGTTTGTCATAATTTCATTTATTTCTGTAAACTGGTTTATGCTATGAATAAATTCATAAATTATTTTGACGGGGAACAATGTACATTCAGAATAGTTGGTTACAATTAATTGAGTTAGGTATGAAAATAAGGCAACAAACCATTAGTTTGAGATTCTACATATTTATTTATTCAAACTATAACTAAATAAATAATACATAATCAAAATGTACAGTAAAATACATGACTAGCAATTTTCCAGAGGTTGAGTCAACATCTTTAATATCACTAACAATGTTCTTGCTACTTCAAAATGAAATGTTTGAGTTTTGTCCCAGGATTATAATTTTTGCCAATTGTGATTATTATTTTTTTCCTACAGTTACCTGACAAAGTGGGTTTCCTTGTACTGATTATAGCATACAAAGTAGCTAATTGCTGCATTTACTTACTTTTGCTGCACTCTTTTTTTTTGTCGCACTCCAGTATTCCAACCAAACAACATAAAAACAGTGTACTTTTATTAGGCACGTAATATGTTAACGCTTGAAAATAAGTTGGTAACACTTATAGATACTACAACTACAATCAGCTGGTGCAGCTTTTAATATTTCGTTCAACGCTTGGATTTAACCTAACCTAAAAACGTGTTGAATAGTGTTTGAAAGACTAATAATTATTTATATCATGCTTTATAGTGAATGTAGGAAAAATATAATGTGTAACACGAGTTCAAAGTGCCACTTCACACACTAGTTACAAAAATAAATATTTTAAAGTTATAAGTTTAAGCATAAAACTAAACATTTTAAAAACTTTAATTAGTTCAAACTTAAAAATTCATAATAAACATTTGAGTTTGTAGTAAAATATGAAAAGAATTGTTTGACAAAACCTCTGGTATAATGTTGAGAAACATTTATGTAAAAGATAATTTATTCATAGTAAAGCGATATATCAATAACATCTGAGGTCCAAGTCCTTACAACATTTCCTAGTTATAAAAAACATTTTTACTATTTTTTTTTTATTCCAGTGATATACTGGTAAGACTAAATTATACAAACAATTTGAATGTTGACAAAATTATGAGTAAATTATAAGGAAAACAAGTTTTATTTGTGAAACCAAACTGGAATCCATTCTAGTAGTCTGGTGATATAGGACTGTTATTTGTAATTAGTTTTTTATTGTAATAATTGATCAAAATAACCTTGATGAAATACTCTTTGGATGTGAAAATTCCCTTGGCTAAAAACACTCTCACTTATTTTTATTTTTTTTCTACCTTGAATAACTAATTACTTAACATGATTCATGTGAAGAGTGTTTCAGTCTTGATGTTTTCAGTAATCTTTGATGTCCAAGAGGACAAAATATTTACATCCATACCTAAACAACAATAACTATACTTAACAATCATAACTAAAAGTGTAAGTACAAATAAAATGAAATGCTGTCCTGAGCAAGTGGTCAACTGTAAGAAACAAACTAAAATTCACTAAACATCATTATTATTAATATATTTATTTAATTAGTAGTGGTGTAATTTTAGTCATGTCTAGTAAAAAATATTATAAAACTAATTAAATAAAGAAAAAGGGATGAGACTGATTAAAATGTTTTTCCAAAAGTTTAGGATTAAATAACAGTGTTTATGTTGTGTAATTTTTTTATGAGCCCCTGGACTAATTTTCACGGGTGAGCTAGCTGAATTCTATCCCTTAAATTGGCTAACTCTGGAACTCGTTAGCGCTATGTTAAACACCCTATCCTCAAATTTGGTCGATGAGAGGAACTCTCTAACTTGTTCGGCTTTCAAATTGGCTAACTCGCTCTAGTGCCAGATTGGCAAATTCCGTCCTTGTACAGAAGTCGCTAACTCGGTCCCTGGGCGGAACTTGCCGTCCAATGGGAGCCAAGCACAAAGATTGTTGACCAGTGTTGCCGAAAGTGTAGTACCTACTATCGTATCGGTACCATAATGTACGTATCCTGCGAATAATAAATAAGAAGTTTGGTTCTTATTAATATTTTGTGTATTATTACTGAAATAATTCCGAATCATAGTATTAGTAGAAAAATGAAATAGTTTCGATATTTTTGTATAGCAGGTACATTAGACTCCCTCTTATGCGGACACCTTTTAACCGGACATCGGTTTAACTACACTGAGGGAAATGACATCTCTTTAACCGGACAATTTTTATCAGCACATCCGTTTAACCAGACTAGATCGGCAGGAAGTGGGCGGTTGATTGATTGATTGATTGATTCTGTAGGGGCGGACCTTGTCCTATTGCACGTCAGCCACTGATGGGCTTTTTGCGCTCCCCACATGGTACTTCAGAGTCCGTCAAACCTGAGTTGCTTAATGAACTCAAGCATCCTGTCAATGAGCTCCTCCTGAGGAAGGTGTCTGCCCCTTGTCATTACACCAAGAGTACTGTCCCTTACCTCATTCAGAGCTGTGCAGTCGTAGAGTAGGTGATCAGCAGTCTCCTCTGATTGCCCACATTTCCTACACGCAGTGTCACCATTGTGGATCCTCAAGCGATGCAGGTGTAATTTCAGAAAGCCATGTCCAGTGACCATTCCTGTGATCTGTCTGAGTCGCCTCCTGTCCAAGCGTAGGGCATTGGAGGCGACCGTCTGGGAAGGAGAGAAGAGGGTGAGCTTACTTACCCTATGGTGCTGAAGCCTAACCCATCTTTTCCTGTGTTCCTCCTGAGCCCATGCCATGACTGAGTGACATGCATGCCCACGAGAGATTCCACAGAAAGGCTGTGGTCCCACGAAGTTCTCTGGTTCTTATTAATATTTTGTGTATTATTACTGAAATAATTCCGAATCATAGTATTAGTAGAAAAATGAAATAGTTTCGATATTTTTGTATAGCAGGTACATTAGACTCCCTCTTATGCGGACACCTTTTAACCGGACATCGGTTTAACTACACTGAGGGAAATGACATCTCTTTAACCGGACAATTTTTATCAGCACATCCGTTTAACCAGACTAGATCGGCAGGAAGTGGGCGGTACTGAAACGACTGTTCTCGTGAGAAAGATTTGAGACCAGTGATCACGTGTCTAAATACAATGCTCTTCTAAACTTGTAACGGGCTAAATATGTAGGGGGGTTAAATAATTGTAATGTTATTACCACGAGAATTAAACAGGCAAATGTTGGAAATCTTGGTTACTGACTGTAAAATAATCTAACCAGACAAATTCCTAAATATACCAAAATAGGTAAAAATAGGCCCTTTGTATATGTGTATCTGTTTCAGCAATCTTTATCATGCAGTATTTTTCAAGACAATAATCACCGCTATCAAAACAGGAAACATATTTTAAATCTCACTCTTCGTGAGTTACAATTTTCCTCTAACAGCCTAATATCTTACATAGATCCACATCACTTTGTTCAAATCAATTATCTACCAAATTGGACATAACAACTTTTCAGCAAAAATTATCCTGCTTACAAAACCATTTCACAGCCTTTGTTTGCAATTCAACTTTCTTAAATATGGCACACTTAACAATTCTATAACAAGAAATTACCCGATGAATTTATTTATAGTCTCTAACTAACTCGCAATCTGCATCCACTAATAATGAGGAACAAAAACCAACTTCATTTCTTAGAAAACACAACTGAAAAACTGGAATGTTTACTAAGAAGCTGATCTTCCTAACATTTTACACAGTAAAAGTCAGGAGCGACACTGTAACTATTTACAATAACTTAGAATACTCAGAAAAATTTCTTCACTATTTTCTTAAAAGGTCCAGGTTTCTTGATAGGGAGGAATGTCTTGTTCTCCTTATCACTGTTCTCGCTGCTGCTGCGGCCTATGCGGTCCTGGCGTTGTGCCACTGCAGTCTGCACATACTGCGGAGGAGGCAGCACTACTGCGGGGACTGGGGGAACAGAGGCTACTTCCTCAGTCTCCCACCACGCTGCCACACTCTCCCCACCGTTCTGGTCTAACAGAGAGGTAGACCCAGTGGGAGCCCTTTCGTTTTCCAACAAAAGAAGTTCTTTTCTTCTTTTCCGCCTTTGTCGCCTCGTCTCCCCCTTGGACACTTTGCGCTTGGCTTCAGGCAGTAGCAGCTCCTGATGAGTGCTCCCTAGTAGAAGGATAACAGGATAAATGTAACATCTTCTGGAAAAAGTCCACTTTGCACCCACAGACAGCCAACATGTGTAGAGTTCTATTTGAGTACAAACTGAACCTTTTAACATTTACCAAGTCGTTTTACAAATATTTTCAGAGTTGTTCATGATTGTGCTTTTCAGACCAACCCATAAAATTTAGTAGTTTTAATTAATTTGGCCTGACACACTTTGTTTCTACTGTTATTTATTTTTTGGACAGATATATGGAGTAATTTATAATCTGTCTGGTACTTAACAAAGCTTAAACAATATCCATGTACTATATAAAGTAAATGGTAGTATAGGTATTAGATTTGCATTATAATTTCCAAACGAGCTTTCAACATAAAACATTTACATCACAATATGTGTAAATGAAAACAACAATTCACAAGCTAAGTGTTTTATAGGCTACATTGTTACTTTAATTAAAAACTAATACTGCTGTCCAAATTGAAAATGACACAAACAACATTAATTCAACTGAGAAATTACGGTTTAATATTGCTACTTGAAATTTCTACCTGCAATGATGAGTGCCTCCTCGCTGGGCCGCCGCTTCTTGGCTGGAACACTAGACTGTGGCAATACTTGGTCCACAGACTTGCGGCGAGACACACTGCCAGTGTTGCCAACCCGAGGCCACGGCATGCTGAACTTCCGACGAGACACATCCACCTCAGGTATCCAGCGACAGATGTAGAGGATCACTGCAAAAACCACCACCTCCACCAGCACAATCACTCCGTGCTGACCCATCACTGTGGCCTGTCAACATACACAGACTTGACATGGATCACTGCAAAAACCACCACCTCCACCAGCACAATCACTCCGTGCTGACCCATCACTGTGGCCTGTCAACACACACAGACTTGACATGGATCACTGCAAAAACCACCACCTCCACCAGCACAATCACTCCGTGCTGACCCATCACTGTGGCCTGTCAACACACACAGACTTGACATGGATCACTGCAAAAACCACCACCTCCACCAGCACAATCACTCCGTGCTGACCCATCACTGTGGCCTGTCAACACACACAGACTTGACATGGATCACTGCAAAAACCACCACCTCCACCAGCACAATCACTCCGTGCTGACCCATCACTGTGGCCTGTCAACATACACAGACTTGACATGGATCACTGCAAAAACCACCACCTCCACCAGCACAATCACTCCGTGCTGACCCATCACTGTGGCCTGTCAACACACACAGACTTGACATGGATCACTGCAAAAACCACCACCTCCACCAGCACAATCACTCCGTGCTGACCCATCACTGTGGCCTGTCAACACACACAGACTTGACATGGATCACTGCAAAAACCACCACCTCCACCAGCACAATCACTCCGTGCTGACCCATCACTGTGGCCTGTCAACATACACAGACTTGACATGGATCACTGCAAAAACCACCACCTCCACCAGCACAATCACTCCGTGCTGACCCATCACTGTGGCCTGTCAACATACACAGACTTGACATGGATCACTGCAAAAACCACCACCTCCACCAGCACAATCACTCCGTGCTGACCCATCACTGTGGCCTGTCAACACACACAGACTTGACATGGATCACTGCAAAAACCACCACCTCCACCAGCACAATCACTCCGTGCTGACCCATCACTGTGGCCTGTCAACACACACAGACTTGACATGGATCACTGCAAAAACCACCACCTCCACCAGCACAATCACTCCGTGCTGACCCATCACTGTGGCCTGTCAACACACACAGACTTGACATGGATCACTGCAAAAACCACCACCTCCACCAGCACAATCACTCCGTGCTGACCCATCACTGTGGCCTGTCAACACACACAGACTTGACATGAAAATTTTAAATAAATCATGTGTAAACCTAATTTAATATTGCACAATTTAGTTTAACAAAATTTAAAAAATCCAAAAATCATTACTTTACACACACAAATTAGAACATGACGCTTTTTTAAATATAGAATATATAAGTATAGATTGTGAGTATTGATGACATTGATAAGTAAATCTATATGGTTTTTAACCTCATTGAAGCTAGAGTAAGCCAGATAATGAAGAATTACCTTGTGTTGCCAACTGTCTCTCTCTTCCAGCAGTTCCTTCACAGCTCCAGTCAGTGCTTCCATCTAAACAAAGGATTATCTTGAGTCTTTATTGAACCCTTTTCAATTGTGCATAGTTAACCAAATTTGTAGTTAGTAAAATAATTTTGATTGGAAACATATTCTTGGCACTTAACAGTAGCAGTAGCACCAACCTGTTGGGCCTGCTGCGCCAGCTGTTCCATCAGCACCCCCTCCCTCTCCTCACTTCTCCGCCGGCCCTCCCCCACAGCACGCTGCAGCTCCTCTACCTGGCGTTTGTATCTGCGGCTCAACTCCTCCAGATATTGTCCACTAAGAGACATGTTGCGTTCTAAGGCCTAACAGAGAAATTTACATCTTTAAAGTTTGTAGTATCAAGCATAATAATGCATTTATTTATGGCCACTTTGGGGTAACACCTTTACGAGAATGTGTAAGTGGAAAACAACATGGGGTATGTAAGGGTATGACATAGTGAGGAGATTTAGCACGATGGTTTTTTTAAGTTCCAGCAGGAAAAACGTTTAACATTTAAATATTGAAATGAACGGTATTGTAAAGAATTTAAGAGTAGCCTGAAATCAAAACGGTTTTTAATATATTTACCCTTGATGGGTTTGCCCTCTAATGAAGTTTGATTTTTTTTTTATAATATGAATATGGTAAGTAAGAGGAGTTTAGGTAAAACATCAAGTTATCCTTTTTCAACAGAACATAATATTTTAAACTTATACAGCCAAAATGTCAGTTTGAAGGACCTAATGTTTGCAGAATATATTAAAAAATAAAATACAATACTCTGGCAAAAAATGTTGGCAACAAAAATGTTTAATAGATCAAAAATCAAAAATAAAAAGTCTCATCCAAGTCTCCCCACCGTTTGAATATTCCTAATAAAAAGAACTAGGCCTAATACAGATAATTTTCTATTTTTTTTCTTTCCATTTAAATTGTATCAAATCTTACCAAAAAAAATTAACCGTCACTTAAGACATAACATTTCCTACCTTGATTCTATTAGCGAGCCTGACAAAGACCGACTCCTTTTGTGGAGCCGGGGGAGTCCGGGGGCTGGGAACAACAGCCTGTTCTAGCTCAGAGAATAGAGAGTCCAGGGAGCCTGTGTCTAGAGGGACTGTCTCCACAACCAGTGTCCCGTTGTCTCTGTCTGACGGAGGGTTGACAGTTGCCTCATTACCTGGACAACAACAAGTGTTAATGAACAGACTTTTCTAGCTCATAGAAGAAAGAGCCTTTGTATAGGGGGATAATATCCACAATCAGTGTTCCGTTTCCTCTGTCTGACGGAGGGTCGAAAGTTGCCTCATTACTTAGACAACAACAATTAACAATTTTTTTAGGTTGGATAATCAAGACAATGAGTGTTCAACTCATAAGGCTAACTACTACTTCTTTGTAAACTCACTCTCAGGTGGTGTAGGTATCACTGTAGCCGTCACCTCCAGGGTAGAGTTACTTTCCTGCGTTGTAGTGTTGGGTGCTAACTCAGCCTCTGTCTCCGTGAGTGTGCGTGACGGCCGGATGGGAGGGGGAGGGGGGTGAGACGCTGATGTGTGTACCCGTGTAGCTGTCCCTGCTATGTCCTCACTAATGTTACTGTCCACTACACTCACAGTAGAGTCTGGAAGTGCTGGAGTCGGTTCGTCTGTTTCCAAAATGGCCTCTTGCTCGGTAACGTGCTCTCGACTGATGTTCAACACCACTTTCTTCTGGGCCACCTGCAAGTGGTATTAAAGAACAAATAATGTGAACTGTACAAACAAGATCAATGACATTTTAAAGTTTACATTTTGCTCCTTGATTGTATGCATATTGGTGAACGGTGGTAAAATAAAGAGTCATTAATGAAAGTTTTTTTTTAGAAAGATGAGATTCAAGCCTAAGAATTACAGTATACACGGTGTTACAAAAAGAATGGATCAAATCAACAGTATAATATACGTGTTATCAAGGGTCGTAGAAAAGCCAACTATGGCTCATTTTAAAGCTGGCATCTTTAAGTTTAATAAAAATAAAGAATAAGAAATTTAATAAAAAAAAGAACATTAAAAAGTATAAAAAAATATTTTGGACAAAAGTGCTGCATAGGTCAACTACTACAACATTCTATAAAAAATAGCTAAAAAGTTGAATTTTTTTAGTTTCTATTTAAATAAAATAATTTTGCTGTCTGTCTTCTGGGCCTTCTGGGAAGGGTTATGACAAAGGATTTTTTTATGCTTTAAAAAGGTTAGGGGTATTCAAAATCCTTAGAGTACTCAAAGCATGACTCGTAAAGTAAAAACATTGCATAGTTTCTTACTGCAATGTTCTTTATACATTGCAAATTTGAAATATTCTGAATATTTAAATCATAATATTTGAAATCATAAAAAATTAAATTTTCCTGAAAACATAGCAATAGTAGTTTGACTAGAAAAGTCACTAAGATGCAGCTCTTACCGCAAGTAGGTTACACAGAGCAGCTATAGTCTCCGATGGTAACAGAGCCTCCAGGTAGTGTATAGGCAGGGGGGAGGGGGCACCAGGACGGGGGGGAAAGGGGGCTCCAGTCCTAAGGTCTAGCCCTCTCTCAGCACAGAACTCACTGGTGGTGACGGCTCGACGGACAAACGGAGACTGTAGCAGTTGTGACAACATGCTGACACGACAACTCATGACGTCGTACATCCTAAACATCCAGCAACAACAACAAAGTTACAGTACTGGCAGAGAAATTTATATCTAATAAACATTCTCTGGTGATGACTGCTCAGCAGACAAACGGAGACTGTAGCAGTTGTGACGACTTGCTGTCACGACAACTCATCACATTCTCAGCAACCATCAACCCAGAGCACATGAAATGTTATTTTTGGATCCATAAGGGGTTGGCTATAAACTGACTTAAAGAACATAACTAGCCTACAATTTTAGCCTACTTAATCAGTTCTCATGTTTATCCAGAACTAAAATATATATAGACAGAAATCACCTTTTCTTTACAATATTAGAGATTACCAAAATATTTGTAAAAATGTAATAAACCTTTTCAATTTCCAAAAAAAGATCCACACAAGACAGCTATGAGAAGCCTACCTGTGGTAGTATTCGTCAGAGCAGTTGACACACACTGCTATGTGGCTGGGAGTGACACAAGGTTCTGAAGGTTCTGCCAGCTGATCACCTCGCAGTACTGTGCTGTTGCCCTTCCCCTCGCCTGGACTCTTGGCCAATGCCTCTGCAGCCTTCTTCACTATACTCAACACCGCATCTCGTGCACTTCCAAACAGATTCTTTGGAGCACCTCCTTCTCCTGTGAAACATTGTTGGTTTTTAAATCCAGTTCTTAGGCAGGAGACATTATTGCAAGTCAATTGACCACTTTTCTAATTTAATTTAACCTATGCACACTATTCAAAAAATTCTTCTTACAAATAGAGAGAGTTTTGTCAATACCAAAATGTTCTCGATACCAATACCATTTTTTTACTGCACAGAATTTTCTATGTGGATGGGTTATATCCAACCATACCAACCCCTGTCTTTATTCGTAAGACAAGGTAGTTTTTTTGGGTGTTTTTGAAGGAAAGACAAATTCAAAGCAGGAACGATAAATGACTTCTCCAGACTCTAAACCCAGATAAACTTAATTTTAAAGTGTAAATTATCATAGTTTACCTCCTTCCCCCACTACCTCGACATCGTCATCATCTTCCATAGCTCCATGTAAACCAGGATGACCCTCATCTACAGTGTCCAAGACCTAACAACAACCATTACAATCAGCAGAAAAATAACAGAGTTACGCTACTGCTTCATTCCTTAGATGAAAAATATCTTTAAATGTTCACTAACCATAAACACCTCGTGAGAAGAAGATAAGAATAGTCGTAAAATAAAGAATTATGAAGAAAAAAATGTCAACTAATTAATTCGGATAACCTATGAACTATTCAGTAATTTAGTCAATTTATCAGTGAAAGACTGTCACTTTATTTGATTTGCTGTATGAGAGACATGTGTACACTGTTGTGCATGTTCTTGATACACACTTACACACTGCTGTTCCAAAATAAACAAAGTAAACTAAAAAAATAGAACAATGACAATAATAATCGGGAAATTTAGTGTGAATTAAATAAAAAAAATTTATAATAACTTAAGTTGAACACAACACTGCACCCTGTATTTATAGGAATTTTTACACTAGGCCTAAATAAATTGAGTCTCAACCAATAAATAAATCAATCAATTAATTTATCCATAAAACACAATCGGATACATATCGGACACTAATCAGTGCAAAATAACTAAGGTTTGTTTGCACCAACATAGGAATAAAATACCCCCGACACAGCAAACCTGCAGACTAAGCTAATTTCCATTTGCCTGAATTGATTTTAAATCTATTTAAATAAAATTAGGTTTAACGAGTACCTAGGTTTGCTGATACAGGGAGGCTAATAAGGTGTGGTTAAAAAAATCATTTATTACCCCATAACACCCCTGTAAAACCCCGTTCCCATGGTCCGATCATGCTGGTTCGCGAACTACATAATTCAAGTTTATTTCGCCTTACACCTTCAAACAAAATTTCATCAAAACCGGAGAAAAATAACTCAAGTTTTCAACTGTATGTATAAATCTAAATACATATATAAAAATTTGAACGAATAGTGTTTTTGGCCCCTAGGGACATCAAAATGAAAAAGTATATCGGTCCCAGCTCCAGGTCTAATCGTGCCACCTACGGTAATAGCTACTTCCCTAAAGGGAATTCGCTAAAACACTTTTTGTATCTTGCGAGCAGAGCTTGACTGCTTTCAGTTACCTGAAGTTAGGCAAACTCAAAAAATGGTCGATACATATCAATAGACCTCTTGCTTGACTCTATATTTTAGAGGCAATTTAGCCAAACTTACAATAAGGGCTCTTTTTAACTGTGGACAGTGATGCAGCAATTCTCATGATGCAACAATGTCAAAAATGCTGATTAGTGAGCTTCTAGAGTAATATGTGTTGATTGATGGATAAAATGACTAATGCAGCCCAATACTTTGTATGTTAATAGGTACAAAAATTACATAAAAAATGTACATCCAATCTTACAGCTTAACCGTATAACGGACTTGTAAACTTTTTTTATTTCAGTGAAATGCGTGCAAACTGTTAATGTCGAGTGATGTTTACCTCGATCTCACTGGTGCCGTAGACTCTGAACAGAGAGACGGGACAGTAATGCTCCTGGCCGTAGTGAGAATGTACCTCCACCTTGACATACTTGCCAAAGTGAGACGAGTGTGACAGGTTGAACGACTGGACATTACGCTCATCCTGTCAAACAAACTAAAGTATTGACACAGCACGGTAATATGAGTGAGAACTGGAAAAAATAAAGATGAAATAAACTAGGCCGGTTTAAATAGCCAAAACACAGACAAAACTTTTATTCATATTTTAGTTAATACAAACTGCTTAATTTATTTTTAAACTTACAAAATACTCAAATAATTTACAGGAATAATACATTCCCAGGTTTTTTAAATTTAAGGTTTATTTCACAGGAGACTATGCTATATACCTGAGCTGTAAATCTGCCAGCCACGGCCCAGTCACGAGTGGGATAACGATCACTCAGGTACACAGAGAACTCCTTCGGGGATGATGAGAACAACTCAAAGTTGGCAATATCCACCTACCAGACAACATTAAGTCAATACATAGAATACATATGCAAACACATAAACTGTTTTAAAATGCAATTATTTCAGAGAGGTAATGGAGCTCAATCAGAGGAAACCTCTTAGCAAAACAGTTTCAAACCATGTAAAACGTATGATGAGTATTGAGTATTTTAGTTTTATAGGTACTGCTTAATAATTATTGAATCACGTAACTCTTGACATAAGGTTCAATTGCCACGTTCTCTTAATTTTTTTAACTCACTGCAATCCGAAAGACTATTTTTTAAGGTTATCTTAATCAATCAGAAGATAGCTCTTTTCTGCAACAGGTCAAATTAATTTCAATTTGGTGGCCCCTGTCACTTTGGTTAGCCAATAAAACTAGCCATCAAAAATACTTGACTGCTTGCAAAGCTTGCCAGGAGAGCTACCCAAAACAGATAAATTATTTACAAACATATTGGTATACTATAAAATAATTTTTTCTGTTGGAAATATTTAATTAATAATTTTGAACTAAAACAACTATCAGCTGGTTAGAAGAAGAAGAAGCCATGGTAGCTGCCCAGATGAAAAAAGGAGCCAGCCACACATAGCAGCAGAGAAAGTTTTTGGAATAACTCTACGCTGTTAAGTAAACGATCTGGCCAACACAATAAAATTGGCCAATGAAGCAAAAAAATGAGATCATTCATTACTTGAAATATGAACACCTGTTTGAAAACTATTGTGTAGTATAGAAGGGATTTAAAGTATTCATGTCAATTATGCGACAAAAGATAGATAATTTTGTTACCTTTTTTGGCTGGATGGCCTCACACATCTCCACTATAAACCATGTCCTGGAAGTGCAGGTGTTGAGGAGGTATTCATCTCTAGAAGAGGACAACACGGCCCCCGCACTGACTGCCTCAGGGTTGGACCCGACCACCTTGGCCCCACAGTCGGGACTAGCGTAGTTCTTGCTGTGTCTCACCTTAACACCCCCGCCACCACCTCCCCCGCCAGTTGCATTCTCTCCTGCAAACAATATTTACTGGATGTGATAACAAGTCTAGCAACGCCTAAAACAAAGATTTACACTTTTTACACTACAAGACAGTAAATATATCAGATGGTAAGTGGTCATCGATTTTGATTGGACATTCGGAACTGACAGGCCAATTACTAAATTTCATTGCACCAACTGCAATATCACGACATGCTTAACCAAACCTATAGAATTATACATTTTGGTAAGGTAATCATGCTCCGCTATATGTTGCTACCTAAAGAAGGAACCTAATCAACACAAAATCAGGATTTAAAATGTGCCAACCTTTTTTCTTTTCAGCCTCAGCCAGTTGTTTCTGAGCCCACTCGCTGAAGGAAGGTATATCCTCTTGGGGTGGAGGGGTGGGGGGAATGGCCACTGTGTCATTGGTCTCTTCTGTTACCCCAACTCTTACATCTCCCCCTTCCACCACCTTCTCCTCCTCTGTGTCTTTCTCACCCGCCTGTGAAGCAGTTTTGATTAAAAATATGAACACTATAAAATGTAAATTCCAAAAACTTTTAACCATAAAGTTTTAAATCAATGGAAAACTAAAAAATCACTATTCTTCAATCTAGCACTTCAAACTTGAAAATCCTCCTTGGCATAACCGGTACTTCGTATGATTGTCTGACTTGTTTGATGTTCACACCCTTCCAATCATCAAGTAATCTAACAAACAGCAATGTCAACAAACCAACGGCGCCAGCTGGAACAGCCGTTGCATAGCAAAAATTCAAACCAAGCCTATAAATATCTAATGGCTGCTCGCCTTAGTTCAACAGCTGAGCTTTTCATGTAACACTCTTCAAGTGATTTTAAAATACTATTTCTGGTACTAAAACATATACATTTTATGAAAAAAACTACATATAAATGCATTAATACTTTCCCTACTACATTTTACTACCAAAACTTTACTGGTTTGTGGTCCAAAGTGTAAGTCAATAATAAGAAAATAAGTTTTAAAAATAATAGTAGAGGGGTATGAAAACAATTTTATGATCAAATTAACAAGTAAGAACAATAAAATAATTTAAATTAAGTAATAAATAAAAAAAAAATTATTTTAATCCATATTTTAAACATATACTTTTGTGCAATAGGCCTACTGATATTACCTGAGGTGGTGGTTGCGAGTCCTGTCGAGGTTCCGCCCGTACGATATACTGTGTGTCATTGCTTTGGGAAGGAGCGTCACTGAGAGTCAAAGGGATGGTAACAACCTGACCTGAGGTAGTGTTGGAAGGTTCAGGTGTCACTGAGGCCGCAGCTGCCTGTTGTTGTAGCTCTGATGTGGCAGAGTCTACCAGTGTATACACTACTGCTGCCTGCCCACTCTCTGACAACCTGTATACAACATGTGAGTTAGTAGGGACAGGTGTTGTGATGTGACCTGAGGTAGTGTTGGAAGTGTCAGGTGTCACTGAGGCCGCAGCTGCCTGTTGTTGTAGTTCTGATGTGGCAGAGTCTACCAGTGTATACACTACTGCTGCCTGCCCACTCTCTGACAACCTGTATACAACATGTGAGTTAGTAGGGACACCTAGGTGTTGTGATGTGACCTGAGGTAGTGTTGGAAGTGTCAGGTGTCACTGAGGCCGCAGCTGCCTGTTGTTGTAGTTCTGATGTGGCAGAGTCTACCAGTGTATACACTACTGCTGCCTGCCCACTCTCTGACAACCTGTATACAACATGTGAGTTAGTAGGGACACCTAGGTGTTGTGATGTGACCTGAGGTAGTGTTGGAAGTGTCAGGTGTCACTGAGGCCGCAGCTGCCTGTTGTTGTAGTTCTGATGTGGCAGAGTCTACCAGTGTATACACTACTGCTGCCTGCCCACTCTCTGACAACCTGTATACAACATGTGAGTTAGTAGGGACAGGTGTTGTGATGTGACCTGAGGTATTGTTGGAAGGTTCAGGTGTCACTGAGGCCGCAGCTGCCTGTTGTTGTAGCTCTGAGTTGGCACAGTCTGTTGTGATATAATTCCTTGATCAACATTGTTATGTAAAGAATTTCCAAATAACTTCAATTTTCACCTGAAGTCATCTCATTTTTTAGGGAGACCTCTGTCTCAGAGAGATGATCTTCTCATTAATTGCACCTAAAATGACAACTCAGCTCAAATTGAAACAATAAATGTTGTGTCCCTGAAAGGGGTAAATTGCTTACACCACTTCACCATTAATCAGAACTTACACAAACTGCTTTAACAATGCCAGCCCTGAAACCCTAGCTTAGGGTTTTAGGGGTTCCTCCTAGATAGCAACACATGCATTGTGCAGACTATAGCAATTATACTACAGTATCACCTCATTCTCAAGGAGTTTTGTTTTGTTACACATGACATCGTCTTATCTAGAACCCACAAGATATTAAATTTTAAGTTTTTACTTGTGATGGTTTTATGTAATTTATAAAATATGTCTTATTCTAACCAAGACTACTTTTTTATTTTACTTCCATATTTTTACTGCAAAATAATTGACACAATTAAATAATGTAACAAACAAATAGAGGTTACTACAATCGTATGAGTCTAAGTAATCAATAGTGCTGCTGAACTTCCAGCTACAACATTAGAAAACATTACAAACACTGTGCCCACTAGTGTGGTTCCTCACCGGACAAACGCACACCAGGTGAACGCTAGAACGCCCAGGTAGAGGACGGCCATATGCAGCAGCTGAGAGTCTGGAGGCGGTGAGACGCACACCATCAGATGTGCTGCGGGCTGCGGAACAATACAACTTGTACACTACTGGCAACTGGCCAGGCGGAACTACACATTCTACTCCCAAATTGCGAGTTACAGCCAGTTTTAGAATAAATAAACCTGCCGCAGCAAACCTGCAGACTAAGTGAATTTCAATTCGTCTGATTGGATTTCAACGAAAATGTTTCCATACAAGTCATATTTATTTCCCCCTTTAAATAACTTAAGGTTTAATGAGCACTTAGGTTTGCTATGGGATAAAGTTTTTTTTTTGTTTTTGCTATAAGGTTAATAGTATAGGATGAAACAAATAAATTTGCCAAATTTGATCAAAATATATCCAAAATCAAGCAAACTACAACAGTTTTCTTTTCCTAAGAATAGCAAGGAATGGCTAAAATTTAGGCTACAGTTTTATTCTACGTAACCTTATGAATTGATATAAATTTGAACGAATAGTGTTTTTGGACTCTGGGGACATCTAAATGTAAGAGTAATTCGGTCCCGGGTCTTGGTCTTTCTGTGCCACCTTTTGGTAATAGATTACTCTATATAGGAAATTCGCAAAAATGAACATAATCGAATTGAACCACTAACAGAGTGTACGGATGAAAATGTTTGATTTGTGTTTTCCATTAAATACGTCACATTTTAACAAAAACTAAGGAAGAAAATATCATTTAAACTGTAGCTCAATGATTATTACCATTGACTATATAACACTAGTGTTATATAGTCAATATTATTACTCAATACAATAATACTCAACAAATAGTTATGGGGAGCGAGATGGTCTAGTAGTAGAGCGCAGGACTCTGGTCCGAGGTCCCTAGTTCAACTCCTGCCAATCACCAATGGATTCTATTTAACATTTTAGGTGCAACCTCCAGGTGTAACCTAAATTAATGTGAAAAACAGTCCCGGGCGAGAGTATAGTTAAAAAAAACTAAGAGTTATGGTTTGTGTTAAGATATTGGACGTAATATTAAATAATGACGACCAACCGAAAAAGAAACAATAATTTTTAACTTTCGAAGAAAGTAGTACTGACTTTTTAAGGTATCACTCCTGGACCAAAGACAAACTAAAATATCACGTAAAAAATGTCTAAAACCCAAAAATTACCCGGACCACCACCATTTTGTTTTATACCCTAAACTATTTTTGTTTGATAATGGGTTTTGTAGTGAATTGAAATTGTGTGCATAGATGAATTAAGGTAATACTTAATTGGTAAATGTTCAACTTAAAAACCTAAAATATGAGGACTACTTCGTTAGCCATATTCTATTTTAACAAGCATTTTTTCCACTCTTACTTTGACTAGTAGCCTACAAATTACTGTACCTATAACACAGCTCACAAAATCAACAATAACTTTTTTTACAATTTAGGACTTTTTGGACACAAAATGAACACAGTATGAAGGAGTGTTTATGAAATGTTCACGAAGGCCACATAGCAAATGTGGTGACAAATGTTAGTGTTTACATTGCCATACGAGTTGACTATCAAAATATCTAATGCCAATATTGATTCAACAGATTTAAAATTAACTAGTCCAGTAAAATAGTATACTTCCGTTAAACAAATTTTCGGGTGGTTTTTATTTCATTGGTTCCTTAAGTAGACTACGTTTCGGGTACTAAATCCGATTTTGAAGTTTCCTAACAATATATCTTGAGAGAGGACAGAACATTGAGCAATTTCATAAAGCAGAATTGTTTAAATGTTTGCCTTTAATTAAATCTACCTACCATTTATTTCGTAAACAATTTATATTGACAAAACAAAAGTAGAATTTCCAAACGAATTTCCGCACCTAAAGTAAAAGTAACCCTAGCGTTTTGAGCTTTATGATTATTTTCGTTAATCACAAAAAAGTTGACAATGGTATACAGTTAACATAAAATGAACACGCAATAGAAGATCGAATAGAGATACTAACAAACTAAATGTAAAACTAAAAAAAGACAATCACCCTAACTGCAATGTACATACAAATATGTAGAACACAACATGAATATTCAAAATGTCAGTCTTCTTTAATGGGGCAAGGCAACTGTATTGTCAAGTCGGTCACCTACTTGTTAACATTTCTTTGTTGGTGAACCATAGGCCTACCGATTATCGTCATCGCCGGCTGCCTGACGTGATGACGAAGAACAACTTAACTGAACGTAATACGGGGTAAACGATAAACATATTGACCTACCAAATACCCATTTATGTCTTATACATGTAAGATGTGTTTAAGGAAGGTACATGAATATAGAAGTTGTGTGGAAAAAGTGTCAATTTAATTTATTTACACCTACAAACGTTTATTACTTTTTTATTGTGGAAAAAGTTTATTGATTTTAAATTATTCAATAATCATTAAATAGCCTTTTGAAATTAATTACAGTCACATTTTGGAAACGAAAACCTGGTCTCTTCAAGCAGGCTTACTCCTTATCCCCAGCGAAGAAATTAACTATTCTTTCATCCAATGTCCCATATAGCCTATCACCGAGCGTTTGTTCATAGGACTGAACATTTTCTTTTAAACCCCGAGTTTCTCTGAGTTGTCTCAAAACAGCCCGACCACAGACAGTGGCCCAACTATGAGGGCCTATAGAGACCCAGGGACTAAGACTATGAGGGCCTATATAGACCCAGGGACTAAGACTATGAGGGCCTATATAGACCCAGATAACCAATCTTTAACTACATTACTGCAGTTACAATTATAGTCCTTAAAGCAAATTAAATTATAAAACAGTTTTCATGCTTTGCACCTTTTCTATAGCTGATTCGCAAGTGTAAATTGAAACAGAAATTTATTTTTATATAATTTCGATTCTTGAGATTTAGTTCTAAAAACTTTTGAGCTTTGGTTAGTTGAGTAACAATATTGTACGCGTTCTGAGCCCCAAGGTATATTTCACCAATCAAAGCATATATTGTCCTTTACCATTGACTGATCAATAATTATTGTTATGTGAACGACGAACGGCAGTTCGACTATGACACTTGTGATCTCTTAATTATGCCAGCTGCCACACGAAACTATTAGCACAAGAAATGTTAACAATATAACAAATTGTTGAAAAGGAAAACACTGACAGATCGAAAATGCTCACCAATGGTAAAGAGGAAACAGAGAAGAGTATAAGTAGATACAGAGGAGAGCGCACATGTTGGTACTGAGGCTGTATGCGGATGAGGATATACGACATGGCTAGGACACGGCGAACATGAGAACAGCATAACAAGTATAGTAGAGTATCAGGTGACAGTATCAGGTTGTCTACGTCATGCGTCATGGTAGGTGGCGAGGCGTCTGTGTCTACCTGACAAATGTTTTCAGATATGTCTACGTAGGTAAGGGGCGGTATGATGGAGGAGCTAATAGCAACAACCGAGCGTTATGTTAATGCGACATGATTAGGTAAATCCGCCAGAGATTGCTACTGAGGACGCTCGACCGAACGCCATCGCCGGGTTGTCTGAAGGATATAGTTGACATTGAGGGGTGACGAGTATAGAGAACTCACTCTCTACAGCTTCAGAAACATAATTGGCGATAAAAGTATCACGCTTTACAACTTTAAGTAAAGTGAAAGTAAAATCAATAACTGTAACGCTGTGCAAACATTGTATCCCATTGCAGTATTGTATTGACAAGTATGAGTAAATAGAGTTGATAGTCAAATTGACCAGTATACATAGTAGCTACATGAACACCTATGTACTTTTGTCATTTATACACATCCGTCGCTCAAGTACGATGTTTTCCGTAGCATGAAGCATGCATATATACAGTATTTTTTGAAATTATGTACAATTCGTGACAAAACAAATTCTATTCTTCAAAACTTTGTTGATACTAAGATAGTTTACAAAAGATTAAATAGTTGACCTTCCAATATGAATTGAGATAGAAACAACAAAATAATTAACACCAGCACACTATGTCAGGGGCTTATATAGGCCTAGATCGTTTTTATTAGAGAATTTCCTTTAGGGAATAAGCTATTGCCGTAGGTCTCATGGTAAGACCTGGACCCGGGACCGACTTACTTTTTTGTTTTGAGGTTCCCAGAGACCAAAACACCATCTATTCGCATACAAACGCTTCAATATACTAAAT